ATCAATAGAGCCCCCCCCCTCCTCCTCAAGAACCCCAAAAACTGAGGCCATATATTTAAAAATTTTGGAAGAGGCATCCTTGTCTATCATAATCATGCACTTAGTTTGTTTAAATAATCTCCAGTAGCAGAGAAGAAGATTTTCAAAGAATCAATGCATTTTCACTATATAATCAATAGAGCCCCGCCCTAACACCAGAACCCCTGACCCTGGGGTCATGAAATTCACAATTTTTGAAAAGGCATCCTTATGCATCATAACCATGCACTTAGTTTGTTTAAATAGTCTCCAGTAGCAGAGAAGAAGATTTTCAAAGAATCAATGCATTTTCACTATATAATCAATAGAGCCCCGCCCTAACACCAGAACCCCTGACCCTGGGGCCATGAAATTCACAATTTTTGAAAAGGCATCCTTATGAATCATAACCATGCACTTAGTTTGTTTAAATAATACCCAGGAGCAGAGAAGAAGATTTTCAAAGAATTAAAGCATTTTCACTATATAATCAATAGAGCCCCGCCCTAACACCAGAACCCCTGACCCAGGGGCCATGGCTTTCACAATTCTGGAAGAGGCCCACCTCCTCATCATAACTATGTACTTAGTTTATTACCTTAATGCCCAGGAGCAGAGGAGAAGATTTTCAAAGAATTAATGCATTTTCACTATATAGTCGATAGAGCCCCGCCCTAACACCAGAACCCCTGACCCTGGGGCCATGAAATTCACAATTTTGGAAGAGGCACTCTTGCTCATCATAACTATGTACTTAGTTACTTTATTAAATATCCAGTAGCAGAGAAGAAGATTTTCAAAGAATTAAAGCATTTTCACTATATAATCAATAGAGCCCCGCCCTAACACCAGAACCCCTGACCCTGGGGCCATGAAATTCACAATTTTTGAAAAGGCACTTTTGCTCATCATAACTATGAACTTATTTACTTTATTTAATACCCAGGAGCAAAGAAGAAGGTTTTCAAAGAATTAATGCTTTTTCACTATATAATCTATAGAGCCCTGCCCTAACACCAGAACCCCTGACCCTGGGGCCATGAATTTCACAATTTTGAAAGAGGCACTCTTGCTTATCATAACTATGTACTTAGTTCCTTTATTTGATACCCAAGAGCAGAGAAGAAGATTTTCAAAGAATTCATGCATTTTCACTATATAATCAATAGAGCCCCGCCCTAACACCAGAACCCCTGACCCTGGGGCCATGAATTTCACAATTTTTGAAGGGGCACTCTTGCTCATCATAACTATGCACTTAGTAACATTATTTAATACCCAGGAGCAGAGAAGAAGATTTTCAAAGAAATAATGCACTTTCACTATATGATCTATATAGCCCCACCCTGGGGCCAGAACCCCTGACCCTGGGGCCATGAATTTCACAATTTTGGTAGAGGGCTCAATGCTTATTACAATGATGCCAACGTTTGACTGCTTGATGTCCAGGAGTAAAGAAGAAGATTTTTAAAGATTGCATTATTTTTGGTGGTTTTAGCCCCACCCCTCAGGCCCCAGGGGGGAAGGGACCATGAAATTCACAATTTTTGTTCCCCTTCACCCATAGATGCTATATACCAAATTTGGTTGAAATTGGTTGAGCTGTTCTAGAGAAGTAGTTAAAAATGTTCAAAAGTTAACGCACGACGGACGACGCCAGACGAAAACAGATAGCAATAGGTCACCTGAGTGACTCAGGTGACCTAAAAATGGCTTAAGACCCCCCTCCCCCCCCAAAAGAACGTGGATCCCACCATCACCACCACGAAATAGGTGTTTTTCACGTTTGGGAAATGCATTTTCCGGTTTTTTTTTTTTTTTGCTTGTCAAGAAATTTTTAGGTTGGAAATTTTTTTGGACTGGGGTGGAAGCCCCCCCCCCCTTTGGAAAAAATTCCTTGATCTGCGCTTGAAAAGAGTCCATAAATCTAACACCAATTCATGGGAAATGCTGAAAATTGTGATAAATTACAGTGATGTAACTACAGGATTGAAGTAAAAAGAAAAAATTGTTGTTTTTCCTTTAAATTAAAATAAATTTTGAAACAATAATTATTTGTTTGATAAGATATATTGTTAACTTTTTAACTTGAATTGATAACAACCAAAAGGAACAATCCACACATAGGGCTGAATTATATTTATGATTTAAAACAAACTGTAATATCATGAAAATAATTTCAATCACGCTACATGTATCTTACATTTTACACTCTATACTGAAACACTTTGACAAGTCCACCATAGTATCCCACCCACAGTGTAGACTTGTACAGTGATAATCAGGTTGGATAGTTCACTTCTTCCTCTGATAGCAAGAATTTCAAGAACTCCCCGTCAGGATTCAGTAGATGGATATTTTTGCTAGCTCTGTCAGTAACAAGGATGTTACAGTGTGAGTCACACTCTACATCAAATGGATCAAAGTTCCCTGTCAGGTTCTGTCCACGGTAGACAGACTTCAAGTGACCAGAAGTAGACAAAATCACTAGATCACCTGTGGTGTAACTTGTTCGGTTCACAACACAGACATCATTGTTACTGTTCTGTTTGACAGTTAATGGCAATGTAAACAGTCTGGTCTGACCATCCTTCTGGTACTCATACTCATGGATGACATCACCTGTCACTGTGATGTGTCTCACCAGACGTCTGCTGTGTGACTCTAATTTGTAACGATCTGATTCACTTTTTACCAAGGTAACCAGTAGTCCACCATCCACCGACTGACAGATTCCTCCTGGTACCAGTAGATTTGTACTGATGACTGTAGAGACAGATCCTGATTGTGACAGTGAACGGATGGATTTGTTTTTAATGTCAGTGAAATAAACATCACCATTATCAGTCACACACGTCATTAGGTGTGATGTTATATTTTTGTTTTTTCTCACCTTCTTTGTTTACTTGTTCAGCATAAGATAATTTAAATTCTTTTATGTAACACTGAGCTTCACACAATGCCCTCAACAAAACTATTAATTCATCTCCATATTTAAATGAGCTTGTTGCAGTCAAACTGATATCTTTCAAGTCCAGAGTTTTTCCAATTAAAATCTCCATAACATCATCTCTGATTTCTCCTTTACTATACCTTACTGAATGTTTAAAGTCCTTTATATCAACATCCAGACCAGCCAACAGTTGTGTCAGTTCTCTGTGGTTGTCAATCATGCCGTAATCTGACATGGCACTCTTGCTGTCCTCCATGAACTGAACTGTCTCTGCAATTGATTCCCTCTTTTTGAATAACTCAGATTTCACACTTTCCAACTGATCATTTTTATCCTTCAAATGGTCTCTCAATCTTCGTTCATTTCGTTTCTTGATTTCTGATAAGCTGGTAATTATCTCATCATAGTGCTTCTGAAGCTTTTTAATCTCAGAGTCACAAAGTTCTTCATTTTCTGTGATCTGTTTTGACATCTTCTCGATCTTCTCTTCAATCCCAGGCAGATCCTCTTCCTTGATCTTCTTCAGGAAATTAAGTAAACCTCTCCTCTTTTGGTTGGCTGCCGTTGGTATAGTGCTCCATTCATGATCTCTATGATCTGTTTTGGCACATTTACCACAAATAAATTCATCACAGTCCTCACATATCACATCAATAGGTAAATCGTGGGTTTTACACATTTCAATATGCTCTTGAGGAGAGCCCAGTGGATGTTTTGGTTTACTGGCTGCCATATTTGTTGAATGTCGACTCTCTATAACCTAGATTAGGTATAGCTTGCTGTGCATTGTCTTACCCGGTATTTAAACTGATATCATATGACAAGGACATGCAATGCTGCAGTATATTTTAAAATTACATGTAACTAAATGTATTCATTTGTCACTGAATAAACGGCATGAAAAAAGTGAAGATAACAAACAGCGATCGATCCCATAAACCATTTGTGAACAGGGCATAAAAAATTTATCTTCAGAAATAACAATCATGCACAATGTTATGCAAGATTTATATAAACTTCCCAATTTTGTCTTTGAAAAAACTAAAGCCTTAATTTAAATGCCCAGTAATGAAAATTTTGCATACCGCAAATGTAGCAAAAAAATTTTTGAACAGCTACATACATGTATAATTTTGTTGTTGACCCGGTCCTTCCGTTTGTCCGTCACAAATCTTCATCTTCAAGCTTCTTTTTTAATTTAAGCAGCAACAAATTTATCTTCTAAAATATGATAGAGGGTAATTTTCTACAATTGCAATAATCTTGCAGTTACATTTTTTATTCTAGGGACTTAATAGGGGTTAAAATTCAACTTTTTTCTAAAAAAAATAAATAAAAAATCTGCACCCCTTTTCCAAAAAACAAAAAAATTTAAAAAAGATTCAAAATTTGTCAGCTGTGAAATAATTTTTTGTTAAATAAATCAATCAAAATCATAGTACTTCTTAGATCCGCACTGTATACACTCTGCATATGCTTAAGAAGAACAGTTAGAAAGATTTGTAAAAATTTTGTCTTAGTCACCAGCAATCTGATTAAATTCAGATTTTTGTTGCGCTACAAATTTCTATCAATATATATCAAATATGTGACAAAATGAATGACAGGAGGTCTTTTAATAACAAATACAACCAACATTCATAATCATTTGAGTACCCAAAACAGTAAATCACAGTGCATAGAGAATAAATGAATATCTAAGCTGGTAGTTCAAAACACATTGCTAAAAAGAAAGAAGAGCTTGTGAAAGCCACAGCTGTAATCACATGTTCTTTTTTCCTAAATGTGGATTAGTATTTCCCTTACAAAAAAGACTCAAATATGAATTCTCTCCCATCTCTCTTTCTCTTTCTCTCTCCCACTCTCTCTCTCTCTCTCTCTCTCAAACATAACAAAATAACAAAAACAAAATTATAAACAGTTAACAGAACCATCATTATTGTCACAAATTCTCTTTGTCCACAAGAAAACTGTGTCCCCTGCACACTGAAATTTGTAAGTTGTCCCAAAAGAGCAGACAAAGAAAGACCGGCAATCCCCAGGGACAGGGAGGTATTCGTTGTGTCTGTTAGGTTTACAGGGGTCTGTAGAGGCCGGTGCTGTGGGGCGGGGGATAGTGGTGGTGACCAGAGGAGTGGTGGTCTGTTGGATTGGATTGGTGGGTAAGAATGCTGAAATCATACAATAATACTGAGTATAAAGATACGTAAGTATTCTACAAAATTGAATATTTAATATATTAATGAAGTTTCAAAAGAACAAGCTTGCAATAAATCTTATAAGTACATGTAAAGCAATCACGACATATTTAGCTATGTCCACAAAACACTTCTACACGCTACAATTGCAGATACACAACTATTCACATTTCAAACAGTCACCAAAACTTTAAAAGACAAGTAGTTCTTATTACCTGAAAAATCCACAAATGTTCCTGGGAAAAGTTCTATCCCACTATTACTGGTACCTAAAATGTATATATTTAAAATAAATCTCCACATTTCGTATAAAACAAATGATGATACAACATGAGAACAAAGGGTCCAAAGGAAATATAAACTACAACCCTGCTGGAGAAATGACCTGCACTACTGTAAGTGATTTGTTATTGCCTCTTTATACTAAGCTGAAGAAAAAAAAAACACATAGACATTTGAAATTTAAAGTTGGGGGGGGGGGGGGGGGGAGGGGGTCAATGAAGAAACAAAAAAATCCCCACAGTATCAATATGAATAATATGAAGAATAATAATATGAAGAAATGAGAAAATTCAAAAAGGGACAGCAGAGGAAACAAAAATTACTGCAGTCCACTCTGGATTGACTTTGGATTACTGTTTATTAAAGCTACAGAATCAAACTCCTTTCAATCAAATATCTCTTTAAGCATTTTGGGAGGACTCATGTATGTAATAGCCACTAACTATCTGTCAAAAATACAAGATGGCACACAAAGATAAGAGAAATACAGTTTAACACTGTTATCTCGAACTTTGATTATCTCAAATACCATGGATATGTCGAACCGATTTGGAAGTCCAACATCTTATTCTTTCCCAACCACTTATTCAGTAAGTATTTTACCCTTGATACCTCGAATTCTTAGATACCTTGAATTTTTTTCTCAGTCCCTCTGTGTTGGAAATAATGAAGTTTGACTGTATAAACTCTTAACTAACATCAATAATGTTCAAGTGAATAATAATGATGTTTATTTCATATAAAGTAAGCTGCATCAGACCTCTGTCTCCTCAAACAAGAAGTCTGTGAGCCAATGCTCACTAGTAATACCCCCGCTCTGATGTGAAGATACACTCTAAGCACGGATTAACAGGAAGTTGACATCGGATTCATACAAAAATGAATCCCACCATATGGCATGCCAAAACAAAAAGTGTGTTAAAATTTCAAGCATCTGCGATGAGCATTTGCTGAGAAAACTGCGACGAAAATTTGTTATGGTACAAACAGACACACAGATAAACAGGAAGTTGACCACGGATTCGTACAAAAATGGATCCCACCATATGGCATGCCTAAACAAAGAGTGTGCTAAATTTTCAAGCATCTGCGATGAGTAGTTGCTGAGAAAACTGTGACGAAAATTTGTTATGTATGGTACGGATAGAGGCACCGATAAACAGGAAGTTGACCACAGATTCGTACAAAAATGAATCCCACCAAATGGCATGCCTAAAAAAAAAACTGCTTTAAAATTACAAGCATCTGCTATGAGTAGTTGCTGAGAAAACTGTGACAAAAATTTGTTATGTATGGTACGGACAGATGCACGGATAAACAGGAAGTTGACCACGGATTCGTACAAAAATGAATTCCACCACATGGCATGCCTAAACAAAGAGTGTGCTAAAATTTCAAGCATCTGCGATGAGTAGTTGCCGAGAAAACTGTGACGAAAATTTTGTTACGGACAGACAGACAGATACACACACACAGACAGACACACAAGGGTAAAACAGTACACCCCCTCTCCTTCGGAGCGGGGGTATAATTAATCTTTCTCTAAAGCCATCAGAATAGACTGACTAGAATCCAGTAGAATTTGTCAAAGTGTAGATTCTAGAAATACATTACAGAGACGCTGTCTGTTTTGAATCAGACTTACAAAGGAAATATCTCACAAGTTAAGTGAACAGTGAGGTCATACGGGTATCAATCAGTCTATGCTGTCAACTCCACCATATCCAGGAATGATATCAGTTATCACGTAAATTTTTTTTGGTGAAATATACAAGAAACAGATGAGTTGGTGATTCTTCCTCATCAAATCCATTAAGGTGACTGTGACAGTTGTATTAAAGGTCAGTCTGATATTTTGTACACATATTTAAGTTACTCTCGCTGTCAGTGACTTTATGTAATGTGGTTGAAGTTTAATAAAAAGAATACTAGTAACTAGACAAAGTCATGTGTTTACAACATTTTATATAAAATTTACACTTGAAATATTTATGTGAGACAAAGCACAATTTTCCTTAAAATAATAATTTCTTTATTTTGCATTTCAATTTCTTTTACAATAATCATAAATATAGATAATTATATGAAGTCTTGGCAAGATTTAAACAATTCATTTGCCTCAACACAACAGTTCACGACAAAGTGAAACTCATGAATGGGATGAAAATAACCAAATTAATGATATTATACAATTTACATATGCACTTCTTTTTGTAAAATCTTTCCTCAAATATACAATGTTATTATAGCACAAGTATAACCTGGTCTTTTAATTCAAAGTATATACTATCATAAAAAACAAAGTATATTCTATCATAAAAAAAAAAATGAAATAGGACCGGGCATTAAGCACTGTCTTTAAAAGTCTCCTCTCTCTTGGTTATATGCAGTTTGAATCAATGACACAGTCTCCATCAGCTACACTGAATGAGTATCCACTAGTACACTGTAACTCCATAGCCTGGTTGCCAAGACACACGTAAAATTTACCACAATGTCCAGGATCTCCATAAAATTTCTCATAGTATGATGTGACACCATCACACATTTCTGTAAAGGTGGAATAATAAATTCAGTCAAAAGACTGGAATATATAAGCCACATACCCTGAGTACTTATTGCTGTGATGCTGGGAAAAAGCTGGTATATTACCATGATGTAGAAAGCTGGTACACTGACAATAACTGGCATCTAAAGCAGGTATAGTTGTAAATCGCCAAGGTTTAGAAAGCTGGTACACTGATAATTATCATATGGGCATTTTAAGTTGGTACATGTATACTTGTAACTCATGAAGTTGGTGCACAGTAGTGAGAAAAATATAGCATTTGTAAAGCTATAGGAGTGGTCACCTATGTCCAGTGCTTGTAGATAAAATGAGAACAGTGTGCATTTATATTAGTAGGAGATATCAAATAATAAGCATCAATTTTTTTTAGAGCTTATAGTTTAAAATCACATTTCAATCACAGCAGAATATATAAATCAGAGTTCTTCATGTATATTGTATCTAAATTACTTTGTTCTTTAAGAAAATCACAAAGACCTGCACTGACATTTTTCAAAGTGCATACTTTCAATGTCAGTGTGATAATATTATTGATGTTAACTCTTGAACATATACTATATGATTCCATCGTTACATGAATACCAAAAATATCCCCAATTCTTGAATTTATATACAAGCAAATTAAAGTTTGCATGGAGAAGAAAAATTAATCAAGAGTAAATCCATGAAAATTTCTAACACTTGTAACTTCTTTTGAGAAGGAATTTTTAAGGCAATATTTCATAATCTTTTTATTTTCAATCTCAGTTTAATTGCATACAATGTCATCAAAGCCTCTGAAACGTTATACAATGTCACTTTACTTGTAAACTTCATAATTACACAACTGTCCAGTACTATATACATGTGGAATCTTTGACGCAGCTCTTCGTTGGGAGATCAAATCTCATTCTCTCTGGAGTTCTGGGACAACTGATTGTTTGGGCGTTTTCTCTCATACACACAATAAACTCATAGCATTTGTCTGTCTTATAGAACACCTCGCCCTGGGTTTTCTCCCCTTCACAAAATTCTGGAACCAGAATGGAACAGTTTAACTTCCTGGGTGGTTTCCCTCTCTAACAAACATACCCTATCCAATGCTGCATTCATGTGTTTTATATGCAATTTGAATTACAGAATCTGATGATAACCAACTTCAATACTGCTTTCCTCCATGCTCTGTTATCCAAAACAAGATTCCATTTATACAGAATTACACCACTCACTCTAATCCTACCTCCTTGGTTATTCTTCATTCAGCAAATCAAGACAAATACTGTAATCATCCATGATCATGCACTTTGTCCTCTAATAGTAAGGAAAATCTTTGTTTTCATGAATTGGAATATTCAAGACAAAAGTAAGATGATTTTCAAGCCAATCACTTTCATGATAGACAAACAAAAAAACCTTCTAAATCAGACCTTCTCCCAGAGTGTGCAAGAGTAAAGTATGGGAAAATATGGACTGGTAGGCAAACACCTCAAAGACCATGCAATAAATATAGATATAGCATTCAAAATAACACTGAATTATGCAGCTTATCACCAAATTCAGATTGGACTACATAGTCATTAGTAATATTGTCATAACTTATGTGCAAGTTGTGGTAAATTTCATAAATACTTGTATGATACAAATGTACAATTTGCATGCATGTTTTCAATCTCTTAAAAAAATATTCAGTCATTTCATTAAATCAATCACTAGATATCAAAGTTACAAAACTATTTAAATAATACCTTTCTACATAAAGGAACTGCACTATATGCTTAATTTTTACCTTTCTACATAAAGGAACTGCACTATATGCTTAATTTTTATTTGAAATGAACTCATCTCTTTTAAAAGTACACAGTTACAAAAGTTGTAATGTGAAAAATACTGCAGATGAATAATCTAAACATTTCCTGTAATTTTTTTTTTTAATAAAAACTTGATTTTGTGTTTTAATCACAAAAGTATGCTCAATTTAATAAATAAAGGATTCCTATTAAGTTCAGTTTTTCACTTACTTTCTGGTTTCATGGATGTCTTGCCAGCTCTCATGTTTCCAATAGGAAGTGCTGTGGTGACCACCGCCACCGTGGCTTGCTCTATAGCTAGGGACTGTTCATACACCGCTAGAGGACCCACCACAATGGAGATCTGACCATTGACCGTGGTACGTGGTGCAATTTCTATCAGAATACCAAAGATGTACTCCTGCAAAGTCTGATCTTGTTGACCTTTGAACTGTAGCACAAAATTGATTTTCTCTCTTGCCCCATCTGTCCTGTAATTTCAATATAAAAATATTTGTTGATGATGTATTGAATAACTCTGTACAAACTTACACATTGCAATGAAGTAAAGGAGAACTGGTAGACTAAACTTAACATTGTAAGCTATTTTTTTTTGCTCATACATGTACTCATTCATTTTATTTTATTAAAATCCTTCATAAACAGTATTATACATGATAAATAAGTTAGAATTGCAGCTTACGTGATAGAAGCCACTTCACATTTTTCATAAATGTCCCTGAATCTGTCTCTTCCAACATACAAGTTGGTCAACTGAAATTTAAAAAATAATGCATTTATTCAATAAACACAATAATTTGTAATAAAAATATTAGTATCAAGAGAATTTTATCCAAATGTAAAAATAAATAATGTTATAGTAGCAAAAGCTATACTTACACTGAAAACATGGAACTAGGGTTAAAGTACACAGATAATAATAATAGTACTCACATATTGACAGAATGGATCAGCAATAGCTTTAAAGGCTGCTGACTGGGGGTTGGCTAAATCCGGAGTCCAGGTCAAGTTCAACAACACAAAGGAGGCATTGATGATTGTATTCACTGATAAAGTAAAGGGTCTTTGATAAACTACTGTGTCTTAGCATAGAAACTTAATACATGTACATAGATCCATTAACATAGAATAGTTAATAATTACACAAATTCAAATAGTTGACATTATTAATGACTCAAAGACAGATGAGTGGAAATTAAACAACATTTTTTTGTTGCAAAGTTTCTTTTGTTTCAAAGAATTCTGAACACATTTATTTTTATCAGCATGCAGGATATAGACAAATCTACCTGGACTTTCAGTGGTCAGTACGTAGTCCTGTATCAGATAGTTGGAGATATTGATGGGGAAGTTCTCCATTTCTCCTCCCAGGTAGACCAGTTGCTGACCAATGAACATCATGTCCTTATTCTCAACATTGAAGTGGTCAGCTCGTTTGCTGATGATGTCCTGGATAACTTCCTTTGGAATCTCCTCAGTGCCGTTAAATATCACATTAAAGGTCAAGGTGTGCACAGGTGTGTCTCTGTTACAGAAATTAGGCAGGGTAAAAATTGCATGGATTTTAGTGGGAAAATTCTGAGATTTCCTTTTTCTTTTCTTAATCTGTTTCTTAAAAAGTTCCATTAAATTCTTACATTTAAAACAGAAAAAAATTAATGTGATTCCAAATAAATGGTTATAATGAATAGGATTTGGTTGCAATAATTATGCAATTTTGATTGAGCACCAATAAGCCAGCTTCAATAAAATCGAATGTCAAATGCAATCTTTACTGTAAAACCAGAAAATATGGCGCACTACTAATTTTAGCACCTTTGGCGCAAGGGCTCCTGAGCGCTAAAATTTATTGTGCGTTAACAGATTTCTAAAATTAAACTTTTTTCATGTACAAATCAATCACTCAAGTACATGTAAACCGGAACGCGCGATTACGTAATGTCGTAAGGAAGCTGTATTTTTTGTATACACACTCACACAGGTTAACTGTAGGATTGATCGAGAAAGTTCTGCCAAATTATGAATTAATCAGTTAAACTATTGTTAGTTGTTACCCGGTACTTATCATTAGCACCTTCAAAGTTGGGCTTCTTGCCATGTCTATCATCTATTGCCTTGAGGTGAAAAATGCGATCAAGCATGGGCGATCGACCTTGCAGGCAATATCTAATTATGTTTACCAGTTCCTTCGATGCATGCATGGTTTTAATAAGAAACTAGTCATGTTTTCTTTTATTAAACAAGATGTGTTTGTGAAACACTATGCCCCCGATGGTAACACAATTCTGGAGTGGGACGTAGACTACAGTGCAATAGTTATGGCCAACGTTAAAGTTTTTCAAATGTAGGTCAAAGGTCACAGTTGAGGTCACATGATCAAAAATTTCTGTACCAATGGAAAGGTCTTGTCATAATGAACACTCATGTCAAATATTAAAGCCTTACCCTTGACAGCGCAATAGTTATGGGCTAGGTTAAAGTTGACAACAGACAGACAAACAGAAAGACAGGACAAAAACAATATACCCCCAGGATTTTTCGATCCAGGGGCATAAAAAGTTTTAAATCAACATTATGCCACGTCCATGTGCTTGCATCACTACGGAAAAATGAACGATTGTTTACCTGTGTACGTGAGTTAGAAATCAATGCTATTGCGTTTGTGTGCTTGAGTGACTGCAAAATCAAATACGGGCATGGATCAAAGAAAAAATATTACATTTATATATTTCGATGACAAGCGCTAAAATTTATTTGCGCCAATTCATTTCCACTTGCATTTGCGCTAAAATATGTATGCGCCAAATTTTCTCGTTTTACAGTACGTAGTATTTTTACTATTTTACTGCATTTAGCATCCATATATCTGACCCAAAATAAATCACCTACTAATTAACAAACATTTAAGCTCACCCTATTTTTGTGAAGAAACATCTGTAGAATCTATCAGAGAGTTGGCTATTTTTGAAGAAATTGTCAATCTGTAAAATATTTCAAAATATTATGAACTTTGTACATATATGTACCGGGGGTATATTTCAATTGCTTGAACCTATATCCACCAGCAGTTCAACAGATTTTACCTGGATAGCAGAACTATTGTGATCATTTAGAATTTAAAACATGCAAGTACTTACATCACCACAGAACAAATTCTCAAAGTCCTTATAGAGGGCTGAATTAGCATCTGCATATTGAGGGTTGTAGGAAAACTCATGGATGAAGTAGGTCATGTTGGATAGCCAAGCATCTGAAAGAAGTAATTCAACTTTTAAGCTGCTAAGCATGTACTTTTTAATGTTCCAGTGCAATCAATTTTTACACTTTCTTCTTCAAAGTACATATATATATATATAAATATTATATAAAGACTAAATATGATAAACAATTTTCTAATGATCTATAACAATAAAGCACACTGCTACTGTTCATGTAATTTCAATATTAGTTCAGATTACTTGTGCCATATCATTTTGCATGGGATTTTTTTCAAACAATTGAAAAAAAATCTGTATAACATTTAAATCATATCAGTCATATCAAATCAATGCACAGAAAAAGATCATTAGGAAATTCTAATCGCTAGAAAAATTTCCAGAAATACTGACCATGCAAGATGTACTCCCAGCTGTCATAGAACACCAACAGATCGCCCACGAGATGTCCTAGATTGTTCAGGTACCTATATCTTGGAGCATCCTCAAATATAATGCCTGAAACTAGATCTTTGTATTCGCCGATATTTACTAGGCCACCAAACTGAAGGTCAACTGATATGGTTGTTGGATTGTTACTGAAAGAAAAAGCAGTATACTCAAAGCCATTTTATTAGCTACCCGGTAGATTCTTTTCTAAACTTGAAGCAATTTTATTCTCTTTATATCAATGCTGAATACTGTATGTGAGATTTCACTGTCTTACCCAAACTGAACAACTTCACAGCCTTCATATGTTGGGAAAATTCTTTTGTGTGATCTCATCAATTTGTCAATCTGTTGGGAAAGAAATAAAATTTAAATCTATAACACATCTTCAAAAACAACTTTATTATAAAACCAATGAGAATAACATCACCAGATAAATTCATGAAAAACTTTATAATCTTTCAAAAACCTTGTTAAACTTATGAGAAACACATTATGAGATAAATTCATACTCAGTGTAATTTACTCACATCTTGACAGAACAGCATTGCATGCTGTTTGTATCTGGCTGAGTTTTTGTCCATCAGATCCGTGGTGTATGTCAAATTGAGGACGCGGAATGTCAGCGGAACCGTGGTGTAGTCAGTGTAATACTCGGAGAATATCAGGAACTGTCCCAGCAGGTAACCCAGGAAATTCTTGTATCTCTGTAGAGGTTGCTCCTTCATCAGCTGGAAGAACTTCTGTTGTAGCTCGGGAGTGAAATGGGTTCCCTCAAAGGTCAGGTCAAAGTACACTCTGGTTGGATTATTTCTAAAAAACAAAGGAATCCTTCTTAGTCATTTCAACACTTCAGTGTATTCAAGGTTAAAAAAAAAGCAAGAACTACTGAATATATATTACATGCACTTAACAAATTTTCAATAATTATTAAGTACATGTAATTCTGAAGAATATTCTTTAAAGAAATATGCAATGCAAAATACAAGTATATATTAGTTTGAACTGTTGGCTTACCCATACTGTTTAACTTCACATCCCACTAACTTAGGCAGGTCAACACCAAAGGTGCCAACTAATCTTTCCAACTGTAAATCGAATAAGAAAACATCATTATTACTGTTTCTTTGTTATTTTATTGAGAATTTTTTTTGCAATTCTTTCTCTACTTCTAACCAATAGCATTGTAAAATTTCAAAATTGAATTCATTCTCCTTTTCAATTTAAACTTTAGAATTTACATGAACCATTCAATATTTGAGCAAGTTGTCAAAAAACTGGACTACATTTACATGTACATTGCAAGATGCTGCAAGTCACAAAATGAACCACACAAATTGATATGATTTGCATTCGCAAAAATGATCATTATCAAATCTTCCATAAAGCCCTTTGGGCAAGATGGAACTTGATCATGTGACCAACAAGTACATGTATCTGTATCCCAATACTTATAAATTCAATTTTTATACACAGATAAAAAAAGAAGAAAAACAGTATATCCTTACATCTTTACAAAGGTCAGCTGAGTATTCTTTGAACATGAAGGAGTTGGGGTTCCTCAGCTCATCTGACCAGGTCAGGTTTAAGATCTGTAAGTCCATGGGCAGTTTGGTTGTGGCGTAATCATTGATGTGAACAAAGATATCTCCAATGACCACCCCCTCTGAGTCCTTGTAGTAGTAATGAGGCAAGTCTTTGTAGATAATGTCCAAGATCTGTTTCTCACTTAGTGAGGGCTGGTCACCAGTAAAGATTAGTTCCCAGTTTAAAGAGGTGGGGTTGTTACTGCAAGAAATTAAAATTTTTTGCTCAATTTCTGGTGCACCTTAAATACTTTTTCCTAAATATTATGATCAGATATTATACTTGTTGATGACTAATCAAAGTGCTCTGAATGTAGGAATGTAATACATGTATATATATATATATATATCAAATAAAGCTACATTTATATATATTATACTATATAATTATATCATTAATGTCTCATTCTTTTTTTACTATATAATTATATTAATGTCTCATTTTTTTTTACTATATAATTATATTACTAATGTCTCATTTTTCATTTCTTTGACTAAACTAACACTCTTTACAGCAATACTGAATGTATTACCCATAGGCCACAACTCGGCATTCCTTGTAGTCAGCAAATGCATTGGGATATTTTCTTATAATTCTATCAATCTGGAAGAAAAAAAAAATGCATTTTGAACAATTCTAATCCAGTAAAAAATTAAAATAAAAACACAAGAATTCAATATTTTTACTTTTTTTTTGGCAAGTCAAAACTTACATCTGCACAGAACAGATCTGCATGGGCTCTGAATTCATATGTTCTGTTGTCAAGTAAACCTGGGGTGAAGGTTAAATTCCTGGCAATGGATCGGAATTTAAATCCTGTTATGATGGCTGGAGGGAAAAAAAGATACAATTTTCATTCTCCCCCAAAAAGGACATATATTGGCACAAAGGTTTCTACACAGTAAAAGTCTTGTAATAAAAGGGAGGAACTAAATTCTGGGTTTTTTTTTTCAATGTCATCAGTTACTGGTCTGTCAAAATTAATTACTGCATTTTTCAAATCAAAATTTTCAATCTGAAAATATCAAGCCTCAAAACCCTTACAAATACATGTACATGTAGCTAATGCAAGAATGGATTTCTTGCCATATCTTAAAATCCTTCATGCTGTACCAGCACATAATTTACACCTACCTGTTTCACAAAGAGGACCAGTGAAATCAGGAGGACAGATGCATGTAAATGAGCCCTGGTTGTTGATACACTGAGCCCCATTTTTACATGGTCTGTCATAACATTCATTGATGTCTAAATGAAAAACAACATAAATGAAATACACTGGGACTAATCAATTAACTGTACACATAATACATGTACTTTATAATATGCTTACAGCCTTACAGTTAACTTCAGAGTCAGTCAAAATTGACGGCTATATCTATAATTCCTTTTATGAAAATATCATTTGGTTTTAAATGTATATTTGATATTAGGATTTTCCACTTAAACTGTGTTACTTATAAATGGGCTTTACTTAATACAATATCCTCATACAAATGTATCTGTATTAAATAAGTCTCACCAATTTCACAGTTTGTGCCCGTCCAGCCTGGGGGACAGATACACTTGTAAGACCCCGGTGTGTTGACACACTCCGCTCCATTCTGACAGGGTCGGATAAGAAGACACTCATTGATCTCTACAAACATAAAACAAAACTTCTACAGTCAAAACAGTCAATTCTGGCTCAAGAATCTTGAAATATACTTCAGAAAACTCTAAAGGTTTCCATGATATTGAACTGAAATTTATTTACTTTTAATATTTACTGAAAACTGACTTGCATGTATCACTGAAGTAAAACCTGACTTGCAATTATTACAGAACTGAAATATCTACTTGCCTGTATCACAATTCTTTCCTGTCCATCCTGGTGCACAACTGCATGAATACGATCCAAAACTATCATAACATGTGGCCCCATTCTTACAAGGTCTGTATAAAACACACTCATTGATGTCTGAAAGATACAATTTTGTTACAAATTTCTTTATGAAATCAGAAACAGAATTTTCAACTGGGTTAGCACTGCTTTTTCCTAACACTTAAGAAACTGAAATTCTTAGGGCATTATCACAACAAACTCAAATAAACAAAACAAAGAAAAACTAGAGACCAACACTGTGAGGTTAAATTTGCAGAAGATTCCCAGGTGTTGATACCAAATGGTATTCAATAGGGTCTGTACCTCAAGTTGTAAACTTAAAGAAATAAAACAGATCACCAACACTTGTACTGTTAGTGATCAGTTTTATTTATTTAAACTCAAATAAAGTCAAATTAAAAAGATATACACTTACTGCTTTCACATCTCTCTCCTGTAAATCCTGGAGGACATGTGCACTTAAAGCTTCCCACCAGGTTCTCACAGGTCCCTCCGTTCAGACACGGGTTGTTTAGACACTCGTCTGTATCTACAAAGGAAAAAGACAAAACATTCGATTCCTGAACTTACTGTAAAATCTTAACCAAGACATATGTAGCTAAATAAAAATGAATCAAAGTTTCTTCAATAAGCACTTGACAAATGTGTTGAGCCAAAATTAAGATTTTTTGGTGCTGAGTCTACACATGCTTGAGGGTTTTGAACTACACTTTATAACAAACAGACTTGCCATTATCACAGTTTCTGCCTGATCTCCCTGGGGGACACTGACAGATGTACGAGCCCACAGTGTCAATACAGGTCCCTCCAAACTTACAGGGGTTACTTTTACACTCATCATGGTCTGTAAATATAGGAAAATTCTCCAGAGTTAGATTTATTCATATTTCAAATCACTTTGAAAAGATTCAGCGAAATCATTCACTTATTTAATCTTAAAGTTCAATTCTATATGGCTGTTACTTACTGTATTGACAAAGGTTGCCTTCAAAGCCTGGTTTACATTTACAAATGTAGGATCCTGGCGTGTTCTCACAAATAGCATCATTCAGACAAGGATTATCAATCAAACATTCATTAATATCTGAAAAAAAAAAGAAGTTTTTGTCAAGCAAAGAATTGGCATACACCTTTTCTTTTACATGTATCTAGGATATACTGTTCACATTTTAAAAGTATAACTGTTACATTGAACTACTGGCCAAAATTCAGGGGTTTTCTACTTTTTTGTGACAAAACATCAACTTCATTTCAGTATCTTTGTTTAACTTACCAATGTGACAATATTTCCCCTCCCATCCGACCTGACACTGGCATGTGAAAGACCCTTGTGTGTTGATACAGAGAGCATTGTTCTGACACAGGGTGGCATTCAGGCACTCGTTCATATCTGAATTAGGGGAAAAAAAACAATCAGTCCTACTTAATCAAAATATATTTTAATCAGTTTCCAAAGTACCCCAATTCCTTACCTAAAACACTGGAAAGATACTTGGACATTTTTCCAGACATCTACATGTATTTAATATAATATACAGTGTATAAAAGACTACACTATTTATTTAATGTACACATGGTAGTTTGATGTGAAAGTTGTATTTTGTCCTTCTTAACAGAAAGCTTTTTCATTAACACACACTAAAATTGTTTGAAATTTTCAAGTCTTGACAACATTACCTTGTTCACACATATCCCCTCTCCACCCTGGAGGACATTCACATCTAAAACCTCCAGGTGTGTTGATACAGGTAGCACCATTTTGGCACACCTGCATTTTACACTCGTCAATATCAATGGTACAGTTCACCCCCTCCCAATGTTCTGTACATCTACATGTGTAGCCGCCGAGTGTGTTAATACAGAATCCTCCGTTCTGACAAATTCCCACAAACTCAATACACTCATTGATATCTGAAAATATGACATATATATCTTATGAAGGCATAAATCAGGTAGTTTTATGAGGGTACGAATAAATATTTGAAGTTTACAATTACAATTTTCATAATAATAACATTGGGGGAAAAATTTCACCATTTTCGTCAACGCATCCACCACAGATGTTTATGCTTGTGTATTGACTATAAGAGTTATCTCCCCTAATTGAAAATAAATGTACATACATCTCTATATATATTAAATCTATGGATATAATATTTAATGAGTGCTATGTATAAATGATGTATTGATATAACTGATGTAATATGATATAATTGTTATTTTGTTTTATTTGAGGGCTATTTATTTTGTTCACTTGAAAATTTTAGGCCCTGATGGTGTCTGAATAAAGACATGAACTCCAAAAGGCTTGTTCATTTATTCAACCACCTGTTACAGAAAAAACAGTTCTCACAATTTAAGAAATCTCATTAAACCTTACCCATAGTGCAGTATTCTCCTGTGAAGCCAGGGGGACATTTACACTGATATCCCCCATTGATGTTGATACAAGTTCCTCCATTAAGACAAGCATTAGGATTCAGGCATTCATTCTTGTCTGTAAATATCAAAGAAATCAGTACTTTGTAAAAGATAAGCCTATAATATTCACTGCATGCATACAAAGCTCTGTCCAAATTTCTCATGAATCTTTGTCCATATCATTAATAGGTGAGTAATACAATCATCTGCTTAAATTCTCTATTCTTTTGACAAATTCTTTTATTGTCCTAGAAGTTTTATATAAAATTATGCAGATTTATGTTGAATTATGTAGATTTATGAACCTTTGTCACAGAGGGGACCTTCCCAGTGAGGTGGACAGATACACTGGAAGGATCCTGGGGTGTCTATACACCTAGCTCCATTCTTACAGGGATTGGACAGACATTCATTCACATCTAAAGAAAGAAACAAAATCAATAAATAAATTAAATCTACTTTATAGAGAGAGATAGAGAGAGGGGGGAAAGGGAGCGAAAGAGAGAAAACAGAGAGGGAGAGGTTGAATAATCTACAGCTTTACCTCCTGTACACAGTTTTCCAGAATAACCCTGAGGACAGATGCACTCAAAAGACCCATCAAGGTTTTTACAAGTTCCTCCATTTCGACAAGGGAACTGCAAGCATTCATTTACATCTACAGGAAACAAATGTAATTGATACAACTGTTAATTCACTTAAATACAAAAATCATAGCTTTTTCTATGCTTAGTAGAAAATATACAATTTCATATCTTGATTGATAATGATATTCCTACCTTCATCACAGAGAGCTCCCATCCACCCTTCACTACACTGACAGGAAAAGGAACCGGGGCTGTTGATACATCGGCCACCATGGAGACAAGGATTTCTTAGACACTCATTGATATCTGTACAATTAGAGTAAAATTTCAGTAAATCTTTAAGTCAAAAAGTCTCAGAATAAAATAAAAGAAAAAAATTAACTCCTTATACTGACCAATATCACAGAGTGGTCCCTCCCAGCCCAGAAGACACTGACACACAAAACTTCCCAGGGTATTCTGACAGGAGGCCCCATTTTTACAGAGGAACATAGGACATTCATTTACATCCTCACTACAGGTGGGTCCCATCCAGCCCGGGGGACATCGACAGATAAAGGAACCGTCAGTGTTAACACAGGTCGCATTGTTCATACATGGGTTCATCAAACACTCATTTATATCTGCCAATAAATAAAGTTTACAATGATTAATTAAAAACAGTTATTCAATATTATTGTAAAATCTTTCTATAGTGATATATATCATATTTTATAAATCTCCATATTAATAAATAGTAAATAAACAAATTACAACATCCACACTACTGACCTATACGACAGCCATGCCCCGTCCACCCTGCTGGACAATTACAGGTGTAGTTTCCAGCCAGATTGATACACTGTCCACCATGTTCACAGACACTGTAAGCTAGGAGGCACTCATTTACATCTGAAAAAAAGCAGCGAAACTCAAAATTTTTACTTGAAAGTTATTTTCCAAAAGAGTAATTGTTTGGAATAAAATCTACCAATAATAGAAGCAAATAGAGACAAAATACAGGTTTAAACAAGATATCTACTGGCTATAATGCTAATTAGACTCGTAAAATGTGAAACGTAAAATAGATCCACAATGCCATTATAAGATAATTTCATTCAATTGCATTCAGTGGTGTAAGAGGAGTTGCAGTTAAGAGATGGCTATCCTCCAAAGTGAAACAGATGGACAGACACCCTCATCACTATATCCCCCCCCCTAATTTTCAAGCAGGGGGTATAAAATTGATGTACAGAATTATGTGTCTTGGTGAAATTGGAAATTGGACCAAAACTGTAGGAGGAATAGTATTTTGACATTATCTTGGTAAAGTCTTGTAGGATACCAAATTTATAGGAATTGGACCAAAAATACAGGAGTAAATGCATTTTGAATACTACTGACAGATTAACAAAAAGAAAGACTGAGCATACCTATTTGACAGTTTTCTCCTTGCCAGTACTGTGTGCATCTGCAAGTGTATGAACCATCTGTATTTATACAAGTTCCTCCATTCTGGCATGGGTTTCTCTCACATTCATTGGTGTCTGAAAATTAAAGATTATAACATCATTTACAAAACTTGTTTTTTTTTATCTTAGCCACAAAGAAAAAGAAAATTTTCTGTTGGTTTTAAAAGATTAAAGAAAAACAAGATCATTTCAGCTTTTACTTTAATATACAGGTATTAACAGAAAAAGATCTTGAAAACCCCTTACCATTTCTACAGTCTTTTCCTGTGCGTCCTGGTTTACATTGACAGACATAGGAACCAGGCGTATTGATACAGGTCCCACCATATAAACACGGATTCAGGTTACACTCATTAACATCTACCAAAAAAGACAAAACAAATAGGATCAAATGCCTCAATACTGTAAAAACAAAAATATTCATTGGGAATTACATTCCATTTATATCAAATAATGAAATTAAATGTTAAAACAACAAAATTTAGTCCACGTGAAATCACTTAGATCACAAATTTACAATATTTATCCTCATCAAAGTATTTCATTTCTGGAATAAATATCATGATTAAATCACCATTACTAACCTTCAGAGCACAAGGGTCCCTGCCACCCATAACTACACTCACAGTAAAATGAGCCGTGGGTATTCCTACATGTTCCGTTGTTCTGACATGGATTTTTTTCACATTCATTTCGATCTGTCAAAAAGAGAAGTCAACATTCTTTAATCACTGACACTCAGATTCTAAAAATAATGGTAAAAAGAGAAGATAATTTTAACTACAGTAGACTAATTTGGTTTGTGTAAAATTCTATCAACTTGAATATGGTCTACATCTCCAAACAGAGAAGGCATCTAGCCATCAATAAAAAAAACATTTTTCCAACTTATCAGCATTATTAAATTTGTCAAATCTAAAATCAGCAAATTTTTTAATGTGCATTGAAATTCTCTTGCTTAAGAACTAATTTCCACTTTTTCAGTAGTCTTTGCATTTATGCGTGTGTTGACTATAAATTGGAAATTACTCAATCACAGACACTGACCTAGCTCACAAGTTGGTCCGGTGAATCCAGGAGGACATATACACTGGAATGACCCGTCATTATTCATACAGGTACCACCGTGTTTACATGGGAAGTACATGCACTCGTCCTTGTCTACAAAATAAAGTCAAAATATCAGATTTTGACATAAATTTAAATCAACGTGTACCAGGAATATGCTATAATACGTAACAAAGTATTCCAGATCTCTAAAAAGTTTTGACCAGTATGCTGCAACTGGTATCTAACAAAACATAGCAGTGATTTCCTTTTTTCTCTCACCTCTGTTGCAATCCTTTCCAATCCAGCCCTCTGGACATTCACATCTGTATCCACCCATCAAATTGACACAGGTACCTCCATGTAAGCAGGGGCTAAGGGTCAGACATTCATTGATATCTGCAGAAATCAAAATGAAAGTTGAATCAGTCTTATATCAAATCGAATTAAAAGACTTTCTCACTGAATCAAGTAGATAAAAGATAATTCTATAAAACTGATGCATGAACAACTATCAAATAAAACATGAGAAGAAGCATCTTAAGACTGACTTTCTCATTTAACAATCTGGGGATGTCATTATCAGCAACACAGAAAAAGCTCCTCTGCATTTCTACAGGTTACCTTTTTCGCAGTATTTTCCTTCAAATCCATCCCTGCACACACAGCGATATGATCCATCCAAGTTTTGACATGTCGCGTTATTCTGACATCGAATCATTCGGCACTCATCTAGGTCTACAATAACATTAGAGAAAAATACTAAAAAACATTATTCATTTCTTAAATATTCATCAAATTTGAGTACCTTCTCAAATACTTGCCTAATTCACAGTTTTTGCCTGTGTACTGTTCTGGGCATTCACATATATAGGAGCCATTGGTGTTCTTACAAATGCCACCGTGAATGCATGGGTTGTTAAGACATTCGTTAACATCTGAAATCATACAATTACACCACAGTTAAAATCACAAACTTCACACTGGAACATCACATTAGACTTTCTACAACCATGGTCTAGTCCTAAAGCATAAGATGCATTTAATTTGAAAATGTCAAACAAGAGCATATCTGCCTTCCTACCATCTTGACAAATATCTCCGGTCCAGCCCATTTTGCACTTGCATCTGAATGAACCTATCGTGTCTCTACACGTTCCACCATGCAGACAAGGGAAGTTAAGGCATTCATTTTTGTCTGTCATTAAAAAGAAAGAAAATTAACATCAATACATTACAGATTTTGCCCGGACAATGGTCTGTTTACAAAAACACTGGATCAGGTGACAGGTTTTGTCTTTCTGTTATAGTAATATATTCCCACTTACTCCTCTGACATTGATTTCCCATCCATCCTGGTGTACACTCACAAAGGTATCCTCCTTCTGTGTTGATACACTTGCCATTATTTAAACAGGGATTGCTGTCACATTCATTGGTGTCTTGGAAAAAAAAAAAGCAGAGAAAATAATTACATATTGGTTCTAATTTTAAAGCGAAATAGAATTTTTGTGTTTATGAAAAAGAAAAGAAAACTATGTTACCATTGTTACATTGTGGCCCACTCCATCCCTTTGCACAGAAACATTCATAACTTCCATACAGATCAAAGCAGGTTCCTCCATTAAAGCAGGGGTACACATCAGCTTTACACTCATTGACATCTGGAAAAAAAGGAATAATTTACTAAAAAGTTTAATCTATATCCCTATGTACATGTACATCAAATTTGTAAGGAATCAAGCCTAAACTAAAATATTGACTCTGAAAATCTTTTACAATGATTTTACAAATCTTAAACTTACTTTCTGTGCAGTGTTTGCCAGTGAAGCCTGGGGGACAGATACATTCATAGGCACCACGAAGGTAATTACAGGTGCCCCCATTGTGGCAAATGTCAGGATTCTCCGTGCAAATATTCACAGCTATAAATAACATCAGTTTGAAGAAATTACATAACCCAAAATTGAGATTAATGATAAATGCAGTTTTGCTTTTTAAAGAAAATAATTTACATTTAATACAATACATCAGACCTGAATCATCACAGAACGAGAGCTATAACTTACGAGTGTCACAATATTCTCCTGTCCAGAGATCTGTACATTTACAGAAATAGATTCCATTCCTTGAGATACACTGTCCATCATTCAGACATGGAGTGTGTAAACAGGACTGCTCTGAAATACAGGATAATAAAATCATTTAATATAGACATTTATGCACTATCAAACTCTCCCAATATGTGAATAAAAAATTAACATAGCTAAGAAAAAAACATAAAAACATGTAAACATATCCTTTGAACACAAGAATATCACACTTTGACAGAAATACAGATTTTTTTCCTTTTAATTTTTTTTTTCTTTTTTTTTTTTAAGTTTTTAATAGTTGTACACAGACAAGCCCTTACCAATGTCACAGTGCTCTCCCTTGAATCCTGGTAGACAGGTACAGTTATAGCTACCCATTAAATCTGTACAGGTGGCTCCATTCTTACAGACATCCACCATCTCTACACACTCATTCTTATCTGTAAAATGTAAAGAAAAGTTTCAATTTAGCAAAACATTTAAACATCAATCCTGCAAAAAAATTTGTATCTATACTCATATCAGTTGTACCAATGATATCTTTTTAATTTCTAAAATCTTAACTATCTTACATGAACAAAACTACATGTATTGTGCTTTCTCATATTCAGAACATTTTTCAGAGAGAGAGAGAGAGAAAATAATTATGGTATTGAATCTTTATCATGTGAATCCTTTTATAAAATAGATCTACAAATTCTTACTTAATTCACAATGTGGTCCCATCCAGCCTGGCTCACAATCACAGATGTCGTATCCTGGCATACTGATGCAATGTCCATGTCCATGGCAGAACTGAGCATCCAGGCAGTAATGGATATCTGAAATATACCAATATCAAATAATAGAATGGTCTTCCACCGAAAATGGAAGATCCTAATCATAATCATATACTGTAAATGGAATATGAAAATTGATTGAAAAAAAAAGTCTTCCTTCAGAAAAGGGGAGACAACTACACAAAATATAAAATATTTAAAGAGATTAGTTAATGTTCTATACTTTGGGGGTCAGGAGAACTTGCGATTTCATTTTTATTCAATCTTTTATAAAAGTTGTGTGCTATATTAATGTCTGTGCAGTACATTTCTATATACAGTAGATAGACTTCTGTAGAGGTACTTTTTTCTGCTGGGATTAATAAATGCTATGTAGGGGTGTTAAAGTGAAATTTTGCATGAAATTGTTTGTATAATTAATGCTAGGTTTATATTATCTTAATCTTGTTGATTTGTAGTAATTGTTCTAAGCTACAGACTGCAGTGATCTGTTTATGTGATAAGGTCATGGCCGCTCATTAAGATTTTGGCTGGGAAATTTAGCTCTCGTATCAGCATTACTGACTTTTATCACCCGAGTCTCAGGGGGATTGAATGTCTGGAGTGCTGACCATGAGAAAATGCAGAATTCATAGTGTTCACAATTAACTGGTTAATTTAGCAGTGATTGACAGTCTGTAGGTTGGGCAGTTCTTAATATTTAGCATAGAATTTGTGTGTTCAATTAGTTACTCAGTCAGGTCCTGTGTGTAAAGTGTTACATGGGAATACAAAATAAACTTTGTTGGAAACTTTGGGCGTTTTTATTTAAAAACAGAAAAGTTTCGGTGTAACAAGGGGCCACAAATTTACCACAAAAATTTGTCACAAAGTACTTTAAGTGCACATACAACATTTAATGGCAATACAAGAAATCTGCACAATTTTTTAACCATGGATTGAACAGATATTGTAATCCCGTGGAATTATGATTACGCTGAAAAATGTATGTTTACAGTATTTTTCTGAACATTTACAATTATATCCTTATCCTCTGGTAATTATATTCCTTACCAACTGAACAGAATGGTCCTTCCCAGCCTTTGGCACAGATACACTCAAATCCACCTAGAGTATTGTTACAGGTTGACCCATGTAAACATGGGAAATTCAAGCATTCATCAGTATCTGTTAAAAAACGAGAGAGAAGAGTCTTTAATTTCTGCTTCTTTTACACACGAAAAAATTGTCAATTTTTTCAATATCATAGTGTTCTTTTTAGCACTTTACTGGAAAGTTTATTTGTGGCAAATTTTACTAGGAGGACTCAAATTTTTTTCTTCTGAACTTTGACTAGCTAGAATTAGAATATACATGTAATATGATAAAGATATGAAAAATGTCTCGCTGGAGGTTCAATGTATTTTTAAGCCACTGAATCAGAATCATAAAAAAGCTGATACCATTAGCACAGTTGAGTCCCGTCCATCCTTCTTTACAATTACAGGTATAGCCACCAGGTGTGTTGATGCAGTTGGCTCCATGCATACAAGGATTGTTCAAACATTCATTTATATCTACAAAATATTCCATTTTCATTACATGTATTTATCAAAATAATGTACGAGAATAAAAACACCTATGATTTAGTGGAGACTGATTAAAAAAACAGAGTTTAATTAATATGGAAATGAAATTCAACATCTGCTCTTAAAAGTGGGTTAGTATTTGTAAAACTGCTGAATTGATTAGATACACATAGATGTTTTCCCCTTTCTGCAGTTTTCAGTATTGTAAATGTTGTAAATTTTGTTTGTCAGTAATTTGAGCTTTTTGTCAGTAATTTTATGTTGGCAGTACCCTTGTTCGATATTGCTATGTACATGTCACAACTTCTAAATATAAATTGCTTTTTATTGTTAACATCTGTCTTATTAACATATATCATACTTAGATAACAATGTAAGTATAAGTGTACAGTATTTCAGTATCTTTGATGTCTTTATGTGCATCCTTCTCATTGCTAATGCATTCAAACATAGAAAAAAAATTTCAAGCGTAAACATGTACATGGAAACTAAAATCTGTGACAATTACAGTTTTTCTGTAAGAGTGAATGCCTCTGGCAAAGGAATTACTGATACAGACTCCTGTTAAATCTACATTACAGAAAATTAGTCTTCCAGTTAAGAAATCCTTCGGTGACACAGAATTAATATGTTAACAAGAAAACTGTTAATGACACAAAATAAACTTTTCCAAGAAAATTGTTAATGACATGAATTTATGCAGTCTGATCATACCTATCACAGCTGAAATACAAGGGACATTAAACTATAGCTACAAAAATCTACTGTAAAACTGGATTCCACTAATTAACAGGGGTGAGCATGGTCAAGTCATTTTTGTCATAAAAAAAAAATAAACTTGGCTTTTGCTTCAAAATCTTGAATAATATTGCAGTAAAGGGATTTTTTTTTTACCCTTTTCACAGAGGGGTCCTTCGAATCCTGGAGGACACCTGCACTTGTAGGAACCATCTGTGTTGATACAAGTGGCACCATTTGCACACAGATTCATGGTTATGCATTCATTCACATCTGCAAGAGAAACAGTACAGTTTGAAGTCACTATAAAGTACCTGTGCATTTTATTATGTTTAAACTGCACTTTAATTGTGTTTTTTTAACCAGCATTTCCTATTTGTTCCTGCATAAAAACTGGATCCACCACATCATTTTTAGCATACCTATTCCACAGTTTTTGCCCCTCCACCCAGGGGGACAATCACATTTGTAGGATCCCTCTGTGTTGAAACAGGTGCCCCCATTTTTACAGATTCCTGGGAACTGCAGACATTCATTGGTGTCTGAAAGGTAAGTACATATACAATTTCAAAATTCTACAAGACAGGCTCAGAAACCTAAAGGCAGAGAGGATGCATACAAAACATTTTGATGGACTCTGATAAATGCTTGACCTCCTCAACTCTTTTCTTTAATATTGAAGTAAAAAACCTTTTGAAATTTTTTTACTTCACATATAATGTACATCTCAATGATATTTCTATGATATATACATGTATATGTTTTATATAAAGTTTGACAGATATATCAATATTACCATTTCCACACATCTGGCCAACAAATCCATCAGGACAGACACACGAGAAGGATCCCACTGTGTTGTAACAAGTCGCTCCATTTAAACAAGGATTTCTCTTGCACTCATCCTCATCTATAATAATATCTCAACCCATAAATACTTGTTATACATGCAGTTAACAGGTCAAAATTTACAATTTATACATGTAAGTACATGCAACTTTTCAGTACAAGTTAAGAATTTTACTTTAAAGGTAAAGCCAGACCTATTTCACAGTTCTTTCCTGTCCAACCATTAGGACACCTGCACTGATATGAGCCTTGAATGTTGATGCATGTACCTCCATTGGCACAGGACATTTGTAAACACTCATTGAAATCTGAAAACAAAAGTGATAAATACTTGTTATTAAGATGAACATACTGTAAAAGATTTCTATCTTACAGGACTTACTCTACTTTCACAAAACAAATGCACTGTATTTATCATCACACAAAACTGAATTTCATTACAACATAGACAACGACAAAGGTAGAGCAAAAATCCATCAAATATCAATAAAAATAAGATTCAACTTAACAGATTTCTGAAGATATTTGTGATGTACTGAAGCTTCTCAATAATTCTTACCCTCCAGACAGTATGGCCCAGTCCATCCTCTCGGACAACGACAATAAAACGACCCGTAAGAGTTGATACAACTTCCATTATTGAAGCATGGGTTCCGCAAGCATTCATCAATATCTTTACAAATAAACAGAAACATCTTGTTTCAAACAATTTACAAAAATCACTTCCAGTGAAGAGTTATGTTCTTATGTATACCAGGACAAAGCACAATTATTGTATAGATTTTCAGTGATTCCATACTCCTTCACAAAGATATTAAAACTTGATTTTTTTTTAATCATTGTAGACTGCTTTAAAATGTGAATTTTAATATCTGATCCAAAAACCCTGAAAATTCCTACCCATTTCACAGTTGGTGCCTGTCCAGCCATCCTTACACATACAGGTGTATCCCCCATTGATGTTAAGACAGGTGCCCCCGTGTTTACACGGCGAAAAGAGAACACACTCATCCACATCTGTTTAATGTTTGTCACATGATATTGAAAGAGTCAGTCACAAATAAAGTCATTTCATATTTCAAATTCAAAACTACTTTTGAACCAATTACCATAACAGTTTTCATTGAAAAATTTGGAATTTTCACTCTGATAAACATTTAAAAATATTACAAACGATAACAAAAGATTAGCAGGAGAAACAAAGTCTTCTTGTAAGTTCAATTCACTTTCATTAATGAGAGAGATCAATTTCTCGCATATCCTTCGCCATATGGATTTACTATCTCCCCTCAACTCACCGTCCATACAGTTATGTCCTGTTCGTTCTCGTGGACAGGTACACATGTAAGATCCCCGAGTATTCAGACACGTGCCATTGTACATACACGGATTTCTCAAACATTCATCTACATCTAAATCAAAGAAAAATATATGATAAAGGACACGTACATTACAAATCGCTATTAGTGCAAATCTCAACAAAACAAAATCCTTTTTTACAGTACATTTTCTAACGTGTATTGTGCTGACAAATTCTCAATACTTGCTACACTTATCTATTCTACTTCATATATAAACATTTAAATTAATAAAAATCCTGCTGCATAATCTGACTATACCTTAACATGTATATATTCAAAATGTACATGCCTAGTTTTCCTAATAAGAAGTTAAGATCTTTTAAATTTTACTTCATATTCCTATCGAAGTTTCAATGTTTACCTGTTGTACAGTCAGGGCCAGTCCAGCCTTCCTTACATTGACAGAGATAGGAACCATCAATATTCTGACAGGTCCCACCATTTCTACATGGCTGCATTGTATAACACTCATTCACATCTGAAAAATTACATCAGATTAATCATAAACATTCCATTTTAAGCACACAGAGAACAATTTATTCAGCTAAACTACTCTAAGATGTAATCCACTAGTCTAATTAAATCGCAGGCTGAGAGGCATGTTTCATTTGATCAGACCTATATTTTAATTACTTAATACTAAAATGCATGCCTGATAAAAAGTTCACAATTGCAAAAGTTGAATTTCTGATTTGACTTTTAGAAAATAGTGCAGATATATACATGTACATGTAAAGTATGCCAAACTCCACATCTGAGTGAAGTTTCAACTACTGTATACCGGGTAATTAATGCCTTCATTTTATTTTTGCCCCATATTGTATTGGCTGGTGCTCTATTTTTAGATATTTTTTTCCTTCAAGCTTTGACAATATGGTAAAATGCTTTATTATAATAAATATTAATTTTTTTTTTTAAAAACAAAAACAACATTTAATAAGCAAGTTATCTTGTAAATATTATGAATAAATAAATTATAAATTAATACTAATGCATGATTAGTAGACGAGGTAGTTTAAGAAGGGTTAATGTACAATTTTTGGGGTTTATTTTCTTACCTTTTTCACAATTCTTTCCCATCCAGCCAATAGGACACTGACAAGTGTATCCCCCTTCAATGTTAATACAGGTACCGCCATGAAGACAAGGGGGGAAGCTGTTGGAACACTCATCCACATCTAACAAAAAAAAAACCAGACAAATATACTCTACAAGTCCACATACAGAACAACATTCACTGAAATGCCATGTATCTGTATATTATGGACCTTACCTATCTCACATCTCTGTCCTGTCCAGTTAGGGGGACAATTACACCTGAATGAACCCATTGTATTGAAGCAGGTGCCTCCATGTAGACAGGGGTTGGATATCAAACATTCATTAATGTCTATAATGAATAAATACATATAGAACTAATATAGACTGTGATTTCTAACCACTCTTTTCAACTTAAAACAATCTGTAAATTATGCCTTTTGATGTATAAAACTTACTGCTTCATTCCTAAACTAAGATGACTTTAATCTAAAATCATCATTTTTTTTCCTTCTTGTTAGAATACATTTAATAAGAAGATTATCAAAGAAAAGATAACTCCTCAATAAGATACTGACCAATTTCACAGTTGTGTCCCTTCCATCCCTCCTTACAGCGACATCTGTAGGAGCCGTGGGTGTTAACACATGTCCCCTCGTGTTGGCAAGGGTTAGCTCTCTCGCATTCATTAGCGTCATTCTGACAATACTCCCCTGTGTAAGCCTGTGAGCATTCACAGCGAAATCCATCCTCCAAATCTATACATCTTCCTCCATTCATGCATGGGTTTGTCAGACATTCCTGGATGTCTATATACACAAAAGAAAATTAATATGAATTTATGTATAGTCTATGCCTCAATCAGTCTGATCTTTAGACAACTGTAAACCTTATAAATTTGTTAATCAATTCACAAGCTAGAGGCTTCTTTCAACCTTCATTTTCAATACATGTACAAGGGATTTATTAAATTAAATCTAATTTTATGCTAAGAAGATAATTATAATGTTTAGTGTTTCATCTTTCAACCTTCATTTTCAATACATGTACAAGGGATTTATTAAGTTAAATCTAATTTTATGCAAAGAAGATAGTTATAATGTTTAGTGTCTTCTAAAATTGTATTAGGAAAATCAATGAAAACTGTAATTGTTAATTCATCCTGCTTCCAGCCAATGTTTTTGATCCTATACTTACTAATTTCACAGTAGTCACCTCCCCTTCCTGGGGGACAGATACAGTAATAAGATCCATCAATGTTATTACAGGTGCCTCCAAACTGACAAGGGGTGACCAAAGTCTCACACTCATTGATGTCTGCAACCAATACAATGTAAAAGATATTGTAAATGAACATTTTAAATCTGTTTAAAAGTTATAGGCATTTATTAGCTCCTAAGCAAGTCAAGAACTAGTTTCAGAATACTGTATATGTTTGTGTAAACCTAAAATATCCTTTCTAAATTTTTCTACCACTTCTTGATTTCTGGACAATTACTGCTCGATTCCATGTGGGAAAGTCTATGACTTATTTACTTCACATTCAGATGAGTGACTAGGTTTCATCTTGAACATTCCTGGGAGTATATTTACCTATATCACAGTGTACCCCTCTCCATCCTTTAGGACATATACAGATAAACGTTCCATTTCGATTGTCACATGTTGCACCATTCAGACAAGGGTTTCTGTCTTTTGCACATTCATTATAATCTGCATGACATATCAAGGAAAATAAGTTGAAAATAAGCCTAGTATAAGTACCACATGTAACAATTTATAATCTACAAACGCAAATGCATAAGGGCTAAAGCTTTGTGCTCTACAATACATAAAACCGAAAGCTTTGACTTTCTAATTGGAATGTTTTTTTCCCCAATACAGCACCATTAATTAATCTTCTAGCCATTGAATAGTAGAATTAACATCAATATCTACCTATGTGACAATGCTGGCCTGTCCAACCCTCTCGACAAGAGCAAATGTAGGATCCAACCTTGTTAATACATTCCCCTCCATTGCGGCAGATGCTCACGTTTAGGCATTCATTTACATCTGGTAAATTAAAAATTTAGTTGATGTTATTCACAAATAGCAATGCAAATTCATCATACAAATGGCCAGATAAGTCATGCACATAGTAGATTTCTTTCAAAATAAAATTCTTCACAAAGTAACTGAATAATAGAAATTAAACAACAAAAGAGATAAACATCAGTAAACATCTGTGAATTCCTAGTGAGAGATCTAGGAGAATGATAAGCCCCACTTACCAAAGTCACATATAGGTCCAGTCCATTGTGGTGGACACATACACTTAAAGGACCCCACTGTGTTCACACAAGTTCCCTTGTTTCTACATGGGTATCCCTTACACTCATTGTCATCTACAAACAAACACACAAATATTATTAATGTAAAAATTTAACATGAGCACACATTGACAAGTAAGTATGGTTTGGGACCTAAATAAATCAGTAGCTCTTGGTACCAAACAGTAAATTTCCTACCAAAATATCCAATGACATGCATTATTAAATACTGGATAATTTAAGACTTACGAGGGGCATTTGAAAAGTTCTGAGAACTGCTTGCTAAAATATTAACCATTTCAAAGAAGTTAATAAGTTTGATACCAATGAAAAGAGCTGAAAAATTTGCACTAATATGAACGTCATTTTCTAATATTTATGACGTAATAACTCCAAAAATGCCGTCAGAATCTCGAATGTTAAGCATACTGAAAAGTCGCGTTTATTGTTCACATGAGAACATTGAAAAAGTGCTGTCAAAGGCTTCTTTGAAAAGATATTGCAAAAAAATTTGCATGGAAGTAGAGTAAGACTATAAGATTGGTACGGTAAATCAGCAATTCGACATTTTAATTTTTTCTTAGTTACTGTAGATCACGTTTTATTCGCAAGAACTTTATTTTCGCGTAATTACGCGAGATAACCTGCTCGCAAAAATTTATATTTGTAGTACAAAAGATTATATAGAACAATATTCAAAGCTCGTGAAAAATATGTCTCGCTAAATACCAAATGTCCTTCTCGCGAAATTAAAGTGTCGCCAACATTTGGTGATCTACAGTAATAAGCACGGTAATGTTATCTTAGGCGTTTATAACAGATTTTTATTTATATGATATAACTGAATTTTCGGTCTATTATAAAGCTCTCCACTATATTAAATAAAACATATTCTATATAAAACTGAAGTGTAACAATGCAGTTTTCCACAAATATATCTTGAGTGTCAGGACTCTTACCGTTTATGAATAAGACGTACAAAAGTCTTCCCAGGGACAAGTTTCTGTGCGTATTTTTTCATATTATTTCAACTTCGGCAATCCAAAACTCACTATTGCTTTTGACTTTAGACTCAAAAAAATAAATCTGAGTTTCATTGCCATGTATAATCTTATTTATTTTCCATGATTGAAAATTTTCGAACATATCGAGTTACAGTGGGGTTAAAACTACACCGGCGCCATTTTGGTTTTTACGAGAAAATATGGGACATCTTTAGCTTAACCTCTCTTGAGCTTTAATCGTTCCCGCATAATTGGTTAAAATACCTGACGAATTAATGCCAGCAAAATTCTGTAACACTTTCCACTATTCTACTGTGGTTTTAAACTTCCTGTTTTTCTCACAGCAGCATCTTTTTTACCCAATATTTTGCGTGAGATTCGATAATTACATGCTATGTTTGACACGCTCTTAAATCACCTCAGAACAATAAGAGTTCCTGAATATAACATCCATATGATAGACTGTAGTCTATGTAAACATTCTACCAATTGGTAGTTGTGTCCGTTAACGTGCATCCGAGTAATGAACAAATGTTGACTTTAAAATTTTATTTCACAGAAATTGCGTCTCTTGTTACGTCATTTTTATGGTCAGTATGCTAGACATTCGAGATTCTGACGTCATTTTCGGAATTATTACGTAATAAAATTTACAAAGGGACATCACAATATGTGTATATTTTTGTGATCTGTCCAATGATATCAAACTCAGTAATTTCCATTTAACGGTTAATATTTCATCAATCAGTTCTCAGAACTTTTCAAATGCCCCTCATATTTAAATTAAGAAATTCAGTGAAAATTTGAATGCAAGTATTGTAATGTGCCAGTGGAAAACAGGTTAAATTATTTACTTTATGTTTCTTTAAAGGTGCTTGGACACAGATTTGAAGTTAATATTTTCTCAAATTTTCTGTATAATTTCATGACTTATATGTTGCTATAGCATTTCATACTAAAATAAAATAAAAATCTTATTTCATCTCGAAGTTATTGAAACTTCAAATTTCTGGACGCGTTTGATTGACACATCCTTGCACTTTCACAAATTTTAATTTTATTCTTAATACTTAAGAAAAGTGGCAATTTTGTTGTGTATTAATGAAAAATATTAGAACTATAATCCAGAAAATTCAGAGTAGAAATGTTCGAAAGCAAAACCCACTCACAGTATTGTCTGTCCGTGCTCAGTGGTGTGTGCAGACTTTAACAATTGAACACACCCGGTGAATCGTAAACATTAACAATAACAGAGCTCGTGCCCTGTTTACAAAAAAAGTTTACGTTTCACAGGTGTATTCAATTTGTTAAACTCTGTACACAACACTGAGCACGGGCTGACGATATTAGTGAGAGGGTTTCCTTTGCACATTTCTACTCTGAATTTTCTAAATTATATATGTAATGTTTTTCATTAATACACAACAAAATTGCTTCTTTTCTTAAATATTAAGGATAAAGATAAAATTTGTGAAAGTGCAATGATGTACTAATCAAACGCGTCTAGGAATTCGTAGTTCCAATAATTTCTAGATAAAATAAGTTTTTAATTATATTTTCGTGTGAAATGCTATTGCAATATATAAGTCGTGATATTATACAGAAAATTTGAGAAAATATTAACTTCAAATCTGTGTCTAAGCACCTTTAAATTCTGTTGCTTTCTATGTCATTATAAGTTTAAATCAAATAAATAAAAAATTCATAATTCATCTTCAGTTAATGCTGTACACTAAAACAGTGAGGCTGAGATTTAATAGTGTACAGTAATAGGTAATTGTACTTACCTTCAGTACAGTTGATGCCCGTCCATCCTGGGGTACAAAGACACTTGTACGAACCATCAGTGTTGATACACTGACCTCCATTGCCGCAGGGATTGGCCATCAAACATTCATCTATGTCTACAACGTTACAAACACATCTCTGAATACTCAAAGCATTTGAATACTTAGAAATAGTCAAAATCATTTCTGAAAGTTTAGTCCAGCATTAAATCCTGATGAAAAATAATTTGTTGTTAAGAGTTTCTTTCAAAATAGAAATCCACATTATTCTGCAATTTTTATTTTTAAGTAAAAGCGTATGCATGTGTATTTATATAAAATCATACAACTTATTTTTCAGTTTTTCTTTATAAATAATTATTTTTAATTGTGAGAACTTAATACCCACTAAAAATCTAGTTTTGGATTTTATATAAGTGCAGAGCTGACTATGAATTGAAATTCCTGCATCAATGCAAGAATGCAGGATTGACAAAAAGAATGCCATGCTTTCTATGATGATAAGTTTTTCTCCTGAATTATATTTTAGATAAATTTTATTTTATTAAATTGCAGAAAAATTTCTTACCAATGACACACGTGGGTCCTGATCGACCTGGAGGACACACACACGTGAATGACCCAATTGTGTTGATACAAGTTCCCCCAAACATACACACAGCTCTCTCAAACTGACACTCATCCACATCTAAAATACAAAACAAAAAAGCTTTATATAACATCTATGTCAAAATATGCAAACTTGTGTAATAACTTTGCCATCTAACATATTATTGTGGATGTACTAAGACATCCTATTTTGTTTCTTCAAATGTACTGTGTGTTTTTGCAAACTTGTATAATATATCTTTACTATATTCTAGTATATTACTGTGGGATAAACTGAGACATCTTAATTTTTCGTCTTTTCCAATATACTGTGATTCTGCGATCGTACCTAGAGTGCAGTTTGGACCTGTCCATCCACTTTTACAGCTACAGTAATAAGATCCAGGAGTATTGAAACACGTTCCACCATTCTGGCAGGGGTTGTTGAGGCATTCATTGTGCTCTGTATAGAAATTACAATCAAAATATCAAGACTGACATAAAGGTTTATATGACTGAGAACTCTATTCTTACAATGGCATTTTCTGGTTCCTTGTTCCATATTTTTATGCTCAAGATCTTTGTTATCTCATCTGAATGTACAGTATACCATGGGATCATTTTCATTCATAGTGGGGGTCACTGTTCGTGGGCAAGCAAAATTTTACTGGTTCATGGGGATGTAATTTCGTGGGTATCTTGTCTAAATACACAGCACATATACAGCACATACATATCATGGTACATTCAATGAATCAATACACTGACAAAATAATGCAGGTGTAAATTTGTGGGTAAGGATCACCCAAGATATCCACGAACATTGGTCCCCCAGGAACAATGATGATTCCACAGTAATAATGAGCTACTGGTGTCACATTTTTGGAACAAGTACTACTTCTCCTTTATAACGAATTACTGGAAAATATTAATTAATCGAGTAAAGTATTCATTTAATTCAAACTATTGAACATAAATATCAAGTTTACCCACAGTGATTACTAGCTCACTTTTTTTGGATTTCACACCGTTATCAAAAATTTTGATAGCTTTTATAAGTATGGGTATTCAAGACTGCAGCATTTAGTACAGTACATTAATTGGTCATACTTGAGACAAACTTAGGCTTTAAAGATATCCAAGTTATATGCTCTGATATCCTGCGTCATTGCTACTGACCTATCTTACAGTGGGGTCCTGAAAATCCACGGGGACAAATGCATTCATAGCTCCCTGGCAGGTTAATACATGACCCTCCATTCTCACAGGGCCTCTGCATACACTCATCCACATCTATAAATAGAATACATCTCATAGGAGTGGATCTTGGGTAGTAGTGAAGTTCCATTAATGAATAAATTCATGAATATTAGTCAAAATGGATGAGAAGAGAATCAATATTCAAAGATTTTCTTGAATTTGGGATTTATAGGAGTTTTTTTTTTTGTTTTTTGTTAAAAAATGTTTTTATCCATGTATGAATCACACATATACATGTATATGATTTATTTTCTTACCTATTCTGCATCTAGGACCTGTCCATCCTTTGGGACATTTACAAATATAAGACCCCAGTGTATTGGTACATACTCCCTTATTTTCACAAGGGAAGCTGGGACATTCATTTATGTCTACAATTGGAAAAAAAAAACATTATGCATTGACTGATTTACCAGCAAAAGAGAGTACATCTACATGACTTACTACAGTTAACTCAATCTGAAATTTAAAATAATGAGAAAGATTAATGATTTAATTAAATGAATGTTTTAACAAAATGAAAATAAAATGTCACCTCTTTCACAAATGTTTCCTTCCCATCCTGCTGTGCACTGACAAACAAATGAACCAGGTGTATTCAGACATGTTCCATTGTTCAAGCATGGATTCTTCAAACATTCATCAATATCTAAAGAGAGGTAAACAGAATATTCTTCTACTCTTCCACTTTACAGTTCATTGATATATAGTACAAAGTTTGATGTCTTTATCATCAAAGTATGCTAAATAATTTTTTTTGTAAACATTATTTTCTTGGATAAATTCCAAAACAGGGGATCAAGTAAATTAATCTAATAAATTAATTTATGCTTAGTTAATAACCTTTGATCTTTGCTTAGTTGTTAACCTGAAGGGATAAAAATAAATTGAAAATGAGGCTGACCTATTTGACACTCCGGTCCTTGCCAGTTTGGAGGACATGTGCAATCATACCGACCAACACTGTTCGAGCATATTCCATTATTTAAACATGGGGCACTTATACACCAATCATCTAAAAAAGCAATAATCATTCCATCAGTCGTCTTTAAATTTATTAAAAAAAATTGATTTAAAATGTCTGGATAATGTAAATTCAATCCATAATTAATAAACAAAACTGTTGCTGAAAAAACAGATCAATTTTCCCGATTTTGTAATTTGTTTTTTTTTTTTATTTAATACTAGTAGCTACAGCTTGCATGTTTAATTATCATAATACTTTCCTGTATGAAACCAAGAATAAAGACTTAACAATCTAATAAATTTTTTAAAACAAAATATTTCAGCAATGCCTACCAACAATTTCACAGTGAATTCCTGACCATCCATTGATGCAAATACACTGGTAACTTCCTGGTGTGTTCAAACATGATGCAGCGTTCCTACAGGGGTCATTAACACACTCATCAAAGTCTGAAAACAAAAGAATTCCCATTTAAAAAGTGTCAACTGATATTCAAACCATGTGCTACAGCATATTCCAGAAGTAAGTTGGAGGAGGGGGTAGGGGGTAGGGGGTGGGTAATGTTTGTAAAATAATTAAAAGCACACTGAAATACAAACTGCTAAAAGTGACGACAGTTTACCCCAACAAAACACATTTATTCCCTGTCTTCAATTAACAAATTATTATCTGAAATAAAACACCTGGCTTTTTTCACTTTGACATTGACAAGTGTTTAGCAAAACTTTGTCAATAAAAGAAAAAGAAAGAATGATTATACTTGTTATGTTTGTTAATTTAGGGGGAAAAATGAGATACCCTTCCCACAGAGGGGTCCAGTCCATCCAGGGGGACAGCTACAGTAAAAGGACCCAAAGGTCTCCATACAGGTGGCTCCATTCAGACAAGGATTACTGGTACACTCAAACTCATCTACAAAAGTCACAGTCTCACAGAATCTCATAGTTTACAGCCCCATATATATTGTAACAGATAAAAATTTAGACAAATAAATTTTGGATTTTTCAAGTGTATTACTGTATACAGGGAAAATTTTGCCCCGTTTTATTTTCACCCCTACATAAAGATGGGTGAATTTAAAATGAGGCGAATTAAAAAAACACAATGTAATTTCTTAAACAGAACCGTGACTGGCAAATTAAAAACAGGGCAAAATTGTTTGCAAGTGTGAAAGAGCGAAAATAACCCTGTATACAGTACATGTATGAAACAATTTTTTTTTTTTTTAAATTCTACGTTTTGAGAATGAACAAAAGGAATATTTCTTGTGTACTAAACTTTAACATGACATATTATATGTATTAGGATTTTTCCCATCACAATTAGCATTATCATGAGATATAGAAATATTACAAAGGGATTTTTTAAAAAATATCCTGACATAAATCTTGTATTTTCAGCAGTGGTGAATTGAATGGTAGCCCTACCTCCTTCACAGTGCTTGCCCCTGAATCCAGGTAAGCACTTACACCTGTAGCCACCGTCCATCTCTATACAGGTGGAATTGTGTTTACAGGGCTTCAAAAGGCTACACTCAGGTATGTCAATGTCACATTGAATGCCCGTCCACCCTGGGTTACAGATACACCGGTAGGAACCCATCGTGTCTATACAGTCTCCGTGTCCCGAGCAGGGCAAGTCCATTGTTAAACATTCATTAATATCTATAAAATAAATAATTTCAATTGTATTACATTCTGAAGGTTTCATTTATAAGGTGAAATTATGGTATTCAAAAAAATATTTTTGTTCACTGGAACAATTCTAAATTCCAAGTACAATGACTGAATCAATATACATGTATTTCTCAAAGCCCCCCCCCCCCCAAATCTCCAACCAAATAATCCTTACTTTTTAACATTTTTCTGTTCATTATACATGTACATTGTAAATGGGAAAAAGGAATAATTTGTGAGACTAACTAGACATTTTTACTAGCTTTACTTACTAATATCACAGTTCTGTCCCGTATATCCAGGGGGACATTCACACTTGTATGAGCCCTCCAACTCGATACAACCCAGCGAGTTTTTACAAGGATTGGTCAGACATTCCTTAACATCTATCCATCACAAGTACACAAATGATTAAAGTATATAATTAAAAAGGGATTCAAATCAATGAAGAAATAGAAATTCAAAAAATGATACTTTAAAATACTTTACAAAGTATCATTCTGTTAATAACTACAGGTAAAATATATATACATTTCCGAGTACATGTCTTTTACATTAACAAATGTTAATCATTCAAAAGGGTAAGAAAGAATTTTTATTACCCAGAGTGCAATTATCTCCTGTCCACCCAGGAGGACATGTACAGATGTATCCACCCATCAGATTACGACAAGTTCCTCCATTAGAACAAACATTATACTCAAGACATTCATGTATATCTAAAAAAAAAAAAAAAAACATGAAGGATTTAATGATTATCAGTAAGGCAGAAAGGAGTACATGTACATAAATATGCAAAAAATGTACATAAAAAAAAGCAATACTTGACTAGTTTCACCGACCTCTTTCGCAGTATTTTCCTGTCCACCCTGTTGGACATAGACAGCGATAAGACCCTGGGGTGTTCAAGCAGGTGCCCTCATGTTGACAAATATTGTTTTTACATTCATCAATATCTAAAAAAAATTATATAAAATAAATTATCTTCCACACATCCACTTCAATTTGTCTTGAATAAAACATTATTACTCTCACAAACTTCTCTTTACCAATTATTTTACAACTTCACTGGTGCTGATTGCTTTCAGACAATATTCTGCAGTTACTCCTGTAGAATAACTTGTGTATAACTTACCAGTCTCACATAATGTTCCTGTCCAGCCAGGAGCACAGCTACAGTAGAAAGAGCCAGGTCTGTTGAAGCAGGTGCCCCCATTCTGGCAAATATTCTCCTGTAAACACTCATCAATATCTAAAAGAAACAAAAATGTTCACAATTCAATTATACACATGAGCAAATGTATTCTAAGAAATACTTCCATTAAAAAACTATACTTACTTGTACATATTAACACAGAGATAGAGGGAAAGGGAGATAACAGATTATGGTAAAAAAAATGTCATTGTCATAATTTCTTTTTCTGGACAATAAAGACTTTATTGTATACCTACCATGTTCACAGTTTTTGCCTGTTCTTCCTTCCACACACATACAGAAGTAGGAGCCTGGTGTGTCTACACATGTACCGCCGTACAGACAAATGTTCTGGACATCACACTCATTCTTATCTGAAAGGCACCATTCATACTTTGTATTAATTTCAATACACATCTGGATTTATAAGGATTTTAATTCTGTTCAGTCTTCACATCCATAAAAGAGCTTAAATTGAGCACATGGCGGGTGTGACTGGTTGGCAGGGGATGCTCACTCCTCCATGGCACCTGATCCCACCTCTGATGTCTTAGAGGTCCGTGTTTGCTTTGTTCTTATTTTGTAATGTTTAATGGACTTTTGAGCTCGAATATTGTTCGTTATCTCCACATATTTCATAGGTCTACTATTTAAAACTTAATATTTGTCATAATTAATGCTGTTAAACTCCTTACTGATTTCACAGTGGACTCCCTCCCATCCTGCATCACATTTACAGTAGTAGCTTCCGATGGTGTCCACACATGTTCCACCATTCATACACATGTTCATGTTACATTCATTGATATCTGCAAAAGAAAACAACATTTCAGCTCTGATTATTGTGCACATATTTTATATAAGTCAACATAAGAGCATTAAAATGGAGAAAATAAAAGTGGAAAGGTTTATAAGCATTCCTACATATATGATCTGAAAGGGCTTTAAATTTAACAATCAACCTTTTTTCTGCATAGAAATATGCAGCGCTATATTGTCACATTTTTTTTTATTTGTAACAATCCAAGGTTTTTATCCACGTAAATTTAGAGACACTGATAAACCATTAGAAACACTTACTGACTTCACAGTTAGGACCTGAGTACCCAGGAGGACACACACAGTTATACCAGCCAGATATTGACTTCAGACAGGTGCCCCCGTGTTGACAAGGGTACCGCATACAGTGGTCAATTTCTGCAAATGATCACATGAAAACATGACTAAGTTATAAAGATCACTGAATATACTCGTACATCTATGGGGAAAAAATATTTCCATAACAATCTCATTATTGAATTACTTTAAAAGATTTGAAAATATCATTCAAGGAATACAACAAGTAATTTACTTTATCCTGAGCAATTTTTTTTCAATTCAATTACAGTAAAACTTGTCTTATCCGGCGACCAGTGGTTCCAAAATTTTAGGCCGGATTAGACAACATCCGGATTGGAGAAAATTGAACCGTTATAGCAAGTTAAAAATTATATAGATATAAACAAAGAGTGGTAAATAAATACTTGATCAAATGTGTCATTTTTTACGTTTAACTTAAAAAAATCGTCTATTTCCGTTTGTTTTGAACTCTTCAGAATTCCCATTTCTGTTTAAGTTTTTTATTCAGTATCGAAATATAATATCTCTTGGTCATTTATCAAATTTGAAAACTGTTAAATGTTTAAAACACACCCCAAAACCTCATCGTAGCTGTAAATACTATTTAATTAGGAACAGATTCCTGATTAATTTCTTTCTTTTAAAATAATATGTTTGAATATTTAGACACTGTATTTGTTAATTTCAAATGTTATACATGTAATGAATATTGAACCAAAATCTTATGTCATTATGGTCGTTGTAAACTAGCGACACAAAGGGAAGTAATTCGAATTGCACGTCGTGCATGCAAAACGAAAGTAGAAAGGAGGTCATGAATACATCTCCAAGTTTTTATACAGACATGCTACACGCAACCATCATTATCACTCATTCTTTTGAGAGTTTCCTCGCCTTACTTGAGCCATAATGATTTTTTTTAATCACGTTTTTTAAAATCTAAACTGCCGATACAGGATAGATCATTAACGGAACAATAATTACCCCACGCGAGACTTCTCTAATGACCACTGGGCACAGGTAAAAATAAGTGGCCGGATTAGAGGAGATAATTTGTACTAATTATGAGCAGTTAGTTCTTTAAATAGCGGCCGGTTTACAGAATAGGCAAGATCCGGATTGAACAACATTTATTAAACATGAATTACAAAGAAAATTCAAGGGACTAAAATATTACGCCGGACTGAACAACATGCCGGAATGCACAACATCCGGATTCAACAAGTTTTACTGTAATACTCATTTCCTCTTTATTAAAAATATACATGTAAATTGCAAATCTTCCTCACCAAATGAGGGTCCCACTGGCAGGGTGGGGGTGGCAGTATGAATGGGGTGGTAAGTATGCTCCATTTCGTGAGTCCAGTTTACAGGTTTCATCTGAATGACACAGGTTCCTGTCTCTAAAAACAGCTTCCCAAGATCTACGTAAGTTTTACTGCCAATCTTTTTGTTTGTAGATTTACTTTCTAGAATGTTGACAGCATTGCTTTGAAGGCCATTTGTCATTGTGTGGGCAAAATAAAGTCCAAACTGAACCTTCCTTGGTGTTACATATCTAAAGAACAAAAATACAAGAAATTTAAATACTAGAAATATTGAAAAGCGAAAACTTTTTGTAATCACTGCAATCAAATGGGCCGCCTTACTTGAAGTCCTTAATATAGCATTCCAAAAAGTGTGGATGCAAAACACTGTCTGTATAACTTTTTTTCACCTAGGAAAAAAAATCAAAATTTGAAATACCATGTACATGCATATAACAATTATTAATTTTGTATCGAAGAACTTGTCTGTTTTAATTATACCATATTAATGCATTTCAATGAGAGAATATTGTTAATTGCAGAATCATAACATAGTTCTTACATCTTTACAGAAGAGGTCCTGTTGTTGTTTGAACAGGTAGTTGGTTCTGTCGGAGAACTCTATAGGGATGCTCTGGTTGTACAGATCACATGTAAACCTCACCTCTGTGGCAGCTAATAAGTATTCACTAACTCAATACACAGATTTCATTTTGCCATTTTCCAACAGAAATAAGACAAATTTATTGATCTTTGATTTCTTTTATTAATTACATCTTGCAATTTTATTGAGACTTAAAAATTTTATTTAATGACAAAATGGTTCCTCAATTCTTACATAATTCTTACAATACATAATGAAACTGCATAAAATTCTTACAATACATATTAAAACTATGTAAAATTCTTACAATACATAATTTTGCCAGGTCCCAGAGTGCTGGGGAAGTCCACGGTTCCTGTGTGGGCTACATCAGTGGCTGTATGTACAGTGTAGTTAGTGACCTTCATATCAATGTGGTACCGATTCCAGATCAGACCAAGATCTCCTACATCCACCACCTCAAAGCCGTCCTTCAGTCGGTGAGGGGCCATGTCCTTGAGAACGTGGGTAATATTCTCCATCACATAGGATCCAATAGGTGTGTTAAAGAGGAGGTGGAACTTTACATTTGTTGGGAAATTCCTGTAAATAAAAAAAAAATTGTTCATTGATTGAAAATTCAGTCACAAAGCAACCATAAAAGCACAAGTTCTGCAAGTTGATTTTCCAACAAAAACATTAGTTTTTACGATTTTTCCCTCTAAATACTATTTCAATTTCATATGGCATCAATTTTAAGTACATTATATTTAAAAAGAATTACAACTGAACTGAATGAAATTATTGAAAATGTTCATAAAATTAATATTAACTGCAACTTACGTGAATTCATCAATTTTACAGTCCTGTAAAAATTTGCCAACAGCTGTCCTCTCGACATAACGTCGAAGCTGAAAAATAGTCTTCCAGGTAAAACTGAGTAACACATAAATGTACTACATGTATATGTATCATGTATGGATTTATTTGTTTATCCAGATTTATCCATAGTATAAAAAAATAAAAGATTAAAAGATTTCTCATAATTAACTGTTTAATGCTCAAGGTAAACTTACATCATCACAGAAATGAGCCTGTAAACTTGCAAACTTTGGTGAATTCCTATTGGCAAGATCAGAGGTGTACTGGAAGTCATAGAGTCCTGTGGTGATGTTAGCATACGTGGCATCTGTAAAAGAAACAATTTCATCTGTTACATATTCAAAGCCTAGATATGGCAAGCTCAAAATCTTGCACTATGCTGAAATCATCTATATTTGTCTAGAAACTATTTGAACCTGACAACTTCAAAGGATTTATTCAAGACATAATTTTTTTGTATCCTCCTTCATGGTCAGTAATCAGAGTTACTTCTCATTATTACATATATGCACTTCATTTACATCTCTTAAATCTCAGAAATCTTTGCACATTTCTTTTTAAATATAATGATGAAAAGTTAATGCAAGATTGAAACTGAATTTTGAGGAGAGGAAATTAATACAGCTGGAAAAAATATATATATAGACAAGAGGCTAGACTTCCATGAAACATAGTAAATTTTGTTTGTGCATTGCTGCATGCATGTATACATTACACAAATGAATAAAAGGATGTAACATAGAATTGAAATCTAAAAGCCTTACCATATAAATTATAAACTGTGGAAGTGCCATGAATGTGTGATGGGAAAATAGTCAATCCTGGAGTGTTGACAAACACGTTTGAAGTAATAATGTCTAGAGAACTATGTAGAGTAGCGGGTAAGAAAAGTGTGGAGGGCATGATTGTAACGGCAGTACTCCAGACCACATCAAATCCGGTTTTATCCAGAATCACAAGGTCGTGACCCACCAGATAGGTGTACAGTTTGGTCAGTGCTTGAAGGTCTGTCTGTACAAACTCTGGAGTCCGGGATTTGATGAGTCCTTTGAAGTGTTCTGGTGAAAACACGGATGGATGTCGGAATCGAAGCTTGAACTTGGCCTTGGTATATAAATGTCCTGGATCTGGGGCCCTGTTAAATTTCCATCTTATAGGTTTATAACAAAATTCTCTTGATGCAAGTCAAAGAATCATCATAAGCAATATAATTTTTACTTTTAAGTTTTATATTTCAAATTGCAAGTAGTACAGTGCATTTCAACTTTAAAGGTACTCACATGTAATCAAACATTTTGCAGTCAATAAAGAAATGTTTCAGTGAAGATGACATGTAAATTTTCTCAATCTGAAAAATAAAACAACAGCAACCATAATAAGGATAAAACATACATGTATGTAAATCATTTGCATTCCATGACTCATTATCTATAATATAATTATATTTCTGAAAATTTTATCATTTTTATATGTCAGCCAAAGTAAGTGTTATATTTACTTACATCTTTACAGAATGCATGAGCATGCCTGTGAAACAGTGCAGAATTTTCATCTTCTAGTCGCGGATCATAAGTTAAATTGTATAAGTAAACTGTGATATCTGCTATGACAACTTGTTCCCCTGAAAAGCATTATGATGCAGACAATTAAAAACACAAAATCATGACAAAAATAACTCTGTAATTTTCTTTCATAAATATAATAATGTAGAACCTTCGTTACAGACCTGTAGGTGGAGGAATAGTCTTTGTGGGCTGAATGGTTGGGGTACCTCCAAGGTTGAGAGTAATGTTTAGAACATCTATTGAGGTCCCTCCCAGAGGTTCAATGAGGAGGTTCCCTATCATCCTTAGCTCGTTATTCTCAGGGCCCAGGACCCTCTTTGCATTGTCAATTATGATTTGTAATATGTCACTCCTCATGTTTTGGTAAGCTTTGCCTTTAAATCTCAAGTGGACAACCACATTTCTGGGGTCTTTTCTGTGTTGAAAAAATCAATATTTTTCTCAGTGTTCAGCAATAGTTTTGCCAGTATAATGTGTTTTATAGTCAATTCTGCTACATTTATCATACTGTACATACCCAAAAGATTTTACTTGGCAGTCATAATATCTTTCCCTCAGTGGACTTAACCGAAAAATCTTGTCGAGCTGAAAACATATTTTAAAAGATTTTAAGATCCCTGCTGCACATATACATGCATGTTAACTTTTTTTTAAACAAAGAAAGTTTATGGATGAATTGCAATTTACAAAACAGCATATGCTTACATCTCTACAGAATGGAACAGCGTAGGAGTTGAAGGCTAGGGAGGTGTTAATTTTGAGGTCACTGGTCCAATCAGTTAGATTGTACACACTCACTGTCAAATTGGTCAGAGTGGCATCTGGAAAAAAGAAAATAAGAAAATTATTCAAAATGTGATAAAAAAGGTTAATATTAAAGGATTTATGCATTAAAAATCCTGCATTGCTATAAAATCTTTTTTGCTTTTCTTTTCCATTAACAGTCAATGAATATGGTATGTATAAACATACATGTAAATATTCATCTTTGAATCTTAATGAATGCAAGAACAAAAGCAGATCTTTCTGCTTCTGTAACTTCTAGAATATATTAACATGACATCTAAAATTATTCTCTTCATTACTATTTATATTTACCTATGATATCAATATGTGGTCCCCTTGTTGGTAGAACTGGAGGTTTAAGTATTTTATCGACATCAATGACAAACTCCCCAAACTTGAAATATCTCAGACCGTCCTTGTCTTCATAACCAGCATGTGCTCTCAGTATTTTCTCAATCTCTTCTCGGGTGATCTGACCACTGAACACAAGGTCAAAAAAAACCTTGGCTCTCTTTCCCTTGCTGGACCTACAAATACATGGATATTTCTTACCTGATCATAATTGATGTTGGTAAAATAATAGTGAATAGCAAATAGTCAAATAAAGTGATGCTCTAGCTGTCAAATTAATTAACATCTTATAATCATTTTCAAACATATGAGGTGCACTGAAGACAAAAGAATTTAACCTCTTTAAAATTGACAGCACTGTAGACTTCACAACAAAATGTTCCACTGCATGTGTCTACATATTTCACAGATGTAACATGTTCAAGAAATTGCAGTAATTTTGGATTTGCAATGGATTTAAATGCACTTGGAATTTAAAGTCAGGAAAAAATATCTTTTTTTATATATCTTATGGTGAGTTTGTATACAAGGATTTTAAAAGGTCAGAAATAAGTTTGTCAGAATTAATTTCAAGAAATATATGTGGCTCAAGGTCCTTTGAACTTCATTTACATGTATAATCTTCATTTGAAATTTATGCAAGAGCCATTAAAACTTCTCATTCATCATTCCATGTCCACTGTAGGTCATCACTGGAGAGGCAGTTTTTATGACCCACTCAATTACAACAAATGTGGACAGAAGGAGAGGTGAAAATTTGAATATTATTGCTATAAATATCATGAAAAAAAAGCAAGCTCTCCCTCACACAAGGACACAAATAGAAATTATTCCAGTGTTTTACTTTCCTTGTTAAATCTAACACTTGCAGTGATTTGATCAGAGGGAATTTCCATGCCTTTACAACAAAGAAACCATGGCTCTTAACACATTACCTGTCAGCCTATTTCATGCTTGACTTTAATACCAGTATATGTATTTGTATTCACGAACTTTAAAGATGATGAAACATGTCACTATTTGATCATCCTTATATTTGTTCATTTCACTGGCCAAAACATATTTATTAGATCCTTTTTCAATGAAACTGTAAGTACAACTTTAAAAAGACACATAATAATTCTAAATTTTGAAGTGATTAATTAAAACATGTACTAACCAAAATGCAGTGGATTTAAAGCAATGTAGAATTATTATACATGTACATTCAAAGTTGTCAATATTTGTCAATATAGTCAGTACAGATTTCAATTATCAAAGAAGAGTTATGTAACTGATATTTAATTTGATTTCATAAATAATAAGATGTTAAATATGTTCTTACACTAGTCCACTAGAGCACTTGCACATGATGGGTGAAGTTTCTGTCTGTCTACAACAAAATTATGAGAAGTGTTACAATGGAAACTTTTAAAATACATGTAGTAACAACACATGCGATACTCCCCACCCCCTCAATAAAAGAAAAAAAACACATGAATGGAGGACCAAACTGAATCTTGAATTTCAAGTTTATGTATTTCCAGAATGATTTATCATTACTCCCAATAAATTTGACAGTATGAAAAAAAATATTAAATATTGAATTATGCCATCCAAGCTATAAAACCTCTCTACTTGGCAATCTGTGGTTTGATACCTAACCATCTCGTTATTAATCTTACTTGATCTGTCTGACAGCACATTCCTTGTATTTGCCAGCCAGTGGACTGTCTTTCAGGTACTTGTCAATCTAAACACATAAATATTAATAACTCATAAAAACTCAAAATACAGAAGTAAATTTGATATGACATGGTGTCACAGAGGAAGCAGGTACACCGGTCTTACAACAGATATTTTACATTATTCTTTAGTTGATAAACCTCATAAATTTGGTAAACCTGGGTTTATTGCTACAAGTAACAACAGGATGCACTCACATTCTTTCCTGAATAATTTACTTACATTTCAAGTTTCATGATACTCATGAACATGTTTGAGAATTACCAGCAATCTACCCTCTCCTCACCAATATGGAATTTCTCTTTAGTTATTACAGTAAACCAAGCTTATATATAGCCAAATGCCAGGGATGAGCAATTTGATTCAATATAAGTGTAATTCTTTAAATCCAGCAAGTTTATATTATGTTTAAAAGTTATGAGGAATGCATATCACTTTACTGTATGAATTCGTTATGTTTTGTTGTAACCCTGTTTTACTGCATAATATTCTTACAAAAGATGCAGATTTAAACATTTAAAAAAAAAAAATCAAGGTAAGTTTACCACAGTGGGCAAAGTTTAAGACAATTCACAGTTGAAGAAAGAAAGTTAAGGGAACCTATAGTAATTTATCAGAATAATCTCCCTTAACAGAGGGTCTTTCCCCCTTAAAGGATTCAGTTTCCTTCGATTTCTTTTTTTATTTCTAGGAAAGTGACACATGTAGTAATGATGAGTTCACTACCTCTGTACAGAGGGGTACAGCCAGAGCCTGGGCCTCTGCTGATGACACATTCCTCATGGCTTCATTGTATTGTCTGTTGAGGATTGGCATGTTCATCCTGGCTTTGTAGACATCTGTAACCACAAAAACAAACATCAAAAATCTGGAAAAACAACAAAAGGATGTGGTAAACATCTAACAAACTGTTTAATAACTTAATCATGTTTAACAAGATTAGTGAAGCAAAATTTTTTTTTTTTTTTTTCAGTTTTTGGATTGGTTAAATAAAATATTTAAACTTATCTTTTCCTGTGCTTTACAGATATAATTAAATTATGCAGAAAATGAATTATGCATTCTCAATCTCACATGCTCATGGCATTCAATTTAAAATCAAATGTGAGAAGCAATCTGGTGATAACAAGCATATTCAACTTAATAAGGGGTCAAGAACATACAATTTTTTTAAAGACTGTAGGCAACCAAAATACAATTCACTTCTCTGATATAGAAATGAACTCTTATATTTTTCACTGTTTTTTTCCCTTGAGCAGGTCTAGGCGGCCTCCGTTTTTGGAGGATAGCTAAATTCAATATGGCGGCCAAATTTTTTACCATGTATGGAAACCGCATTGCATTGTGGGATAGTTTATCCTCCAATTTCAGAGGATAACACAGGTAATTTTCAAACGCCTCATGCCTACCTTTAATCAAAAAGTGCAAGCACCAGAGTACATGTATATTAAAGTTCAAACATTAAACTATCGATTGTATGTGGCGATTTGAGATTCTATGTCTAGAATTTTTACAATACGCTTTCAAAGTTGGCACTTCTTGCACTCCATTTTTACTTAATATTTCTTGGCATTTTGTTATATTTTTATGCTTTTCCCTATCAAGACAAATAAAAAGGGACTTAAATAATATTACTTTCATATTTTCTCTTAATTTAAAAATGAAGAAAAAAAGAAACACACAAGGACACGTATTTTAAACACAAAATATACTCTGCCTTATAATTTAAACAATGAATGAATATAAATTAAACAGATATATAAATAATATTATAAAAAAAAATAAATAATTTGAAAAGCATATAAATAAATAAAATAGATAATTTAACATGTTTACTAAGAAATTAACATTATTATATACATGCATGTACATACATATGTATAATAAATTAAAACAAAATATTACAAAAATGATGTGTTTCAGGATTATTCATTAAATGAAATACTAGTAATACTTAAACTTAATTTTTCCCAAAAAAAAAATATTTATCAACATTTGTAAACCATTTTACACATAATTACGGTACAGGAAAATCGGCTTGGTAATAATTAACGTCTCGGACAGGTAAGGGTGATCGTTGTTAACTAACCTTTAAAGTTTAATTAAAACTAAACAATTGATTGACAGCATTTACAAAATAAATTATGTTATATTGATTTAATATCTAGATATATCCATCATCACATGAAATTTTACGTTTTATTTGTTACGGTTCATAAACTGATAAATGCAAGAGTAGCTGTTATTTGTTTGGTTAAGAGTTAACTGTCCTTTGTTTTGAAAAAACCGGTAGGTGGCGACACCTCTATCCTCTGTTTTTAGAGGATAAAATCTATCCTCCAAAAACAGAGGCCGCCTAGACCTGTTGAGAATGACAGTTTAAAACACAATTTTACACCAAGTTTATCTAAAATTATACCCATATGCACCTTACTTGACCACTCTATAGTTATTTTAAGCATCATTTGAGGAATTCATCTCTCAACATTTCAGGAAACCGTAGATTTCTTTCGTTTACTAGATTTTACATTACTTGGCCATGGTGAAAAGTAAATTAACAGTCCCACCCCTTTCGATCTCTTGTTGTCCCTACGCGAGCGTGTTAATCTTGAAACTAGAAACTAAAACTGTTTCTGGCAATAATATTCCTATTTTAAAATGATACCTAGTTTTCATTTAAAAATCATATTTCGTAAATCTGACGTACACCAACAAAGGCATGTTTTGGTGCATTTTTCATGTATCTAAACACAACTTCCAAGAGTCGTCTGCGTTGGGCACTGGAAAGCTGATTATGTTTTTAGATGCAGTGGTATCGAGACAATAATTCATCGGACAGCAATACAAAACGATCTAAAACTTCTTTAAAAACCATCAAGGCAACACACGACCACACAAACCACATCCTTTCCTTTTGATTCATTCTGAAGTTTGGCGCCATTGATGTTTAAAAGTGTGAAAATGATATACAGACCTTCAAATTCCGAAAAGGATACATACCGTGATTATACAACCCAGGTGCTACAAAAGAAAACAAACACAAAAATAATAATTGTACAAATAAAGAGTACCTTTTAAATATTATGCAAAAGTTTATGGCGAACAAGCTCTGATAGATGATTAACTTTGAAAAGACCAACTCCATGATTGAGCATTATACTGTTATAGCGCCTATATTATGTATGCCGGTGTACCAGTGAAAACTGTCCACGGTTACACCGGTAAATATTGAGCGCTTTTCCTGCACTTTATATTTTTATTTTAAATATCCCAGATATTAAGCAAGCCCCTAGAACGCAAGGGGGGGGGGGGGGTGCAAAGAACCTTTATGTGCAGAGGCCACACCTCTTTAGCAGGGTTTGTTACATGTGATCATTTGATAAAAGTGATGCTCAATTTTCTTTATTCGTTAACACTGATATTAACGGTAACAAAACCGTTGCAAAGAGCTGTGATTCATTTCGTTTTGCAAGTTTTTTTTTTGTTCAGATTTCCGATATATATGTATACACTAACAGCTAGGCCCGTAGGAAGCAATTTCACTGTGAGGGGGCACAACCATACAATTTCAGTTGAGGGCACTATCAACTACCAAAATCCCTTGACAAGCAAAAAAAAAAAAAGGAAAAAGGGTCATCAGACGTTATTATTGAAGGGCACAAGCATATAGTAGCTATGCTTTCTGTATTCTATATATCGGCAAAATTATGGGGGGGGGGGGGGGGAGGGCATGATGTTTTCATTACTACTAAAATTATATCACTGTTCTTGACTATCAATACCAGTTAAAAAAAAGAGATTGTTCCGCGACTTCAATAAATCTCATGTCCACAAAAAATTATGGCAACCTGCATAACCCATTAAACTGTTCCCTTTTACTTTGGTCGTTAAAATTTTGTAAAAAGATGAAACGGGTCATCAGTTTTCAAAAAGATTTACCTATCATTAACCACCGTGCCCCCCCCTCCCCCACTTTTACTGAGTAAAGTATTTTGCTAAAGTAATTTTTTCTTAATATGCTGGTTCCCCCCCCCCCTTTTTGTTGCAGTTAGGTCAAGCACTAGCAAATTCTTGTCAGATTATTTTGTGTAGTTGGCCCCCTCACTTTTTGGTCAGTTTAGGTGTTTTTTTTTTGTTTTTGTTTTTGTTTGTTTTTTTATTCTATTTTATTTATTTATTTTTTTGGTTTTGTTTTGTTTTGTTTTTGTTTGTTTTTTTTTTTTTGTGTGTGTTGTTGTTTTCATTTGTTTGCTTGTTTATTTGTTGTTGTTTTTTGGGGGCTTGTCAGATTTTTTGGGACACCCCCCCCCCCCCACTTTGAAACCGTTGCTACGGGCCTGCTAAGAACGACATAGGAAATGGCATGCAAGCAATATCTCAAATACCTCAAATATTTCAGAAAAAAATTCAAAAACTGTTTCAGTCCTTAATCAGTAAATACGGCTTTATTTCATGTTCAATGCAAAGCAGTTTGTCGATGTATAGTTGAGTATAATATGATCCATGAAATTAATAAATCCTAACATGACCCCACCCTCCCTGCCACACCCCATTCTAGAACTTCAGACCGAATCAGCTATATAATTAAAATCTTTTAATTTATTTTAAATAAAGTCACTAAATTACATTTTCTCTTAATTCATCAGCATACATAAAACTGTAAGTTTGCTGAATATAAATCCCTAATATTTATAATTTGTATGACTTCTGTCTTTCACTAATTAACAATTTTCAATTGCCAATGAGTACATGACTAATTATTTGTCATGAGGAAAACTTTGTTTTCAAGTTATATTTAGAATTCATAATTACAGTGTTCTATTATTTTAAATATTACTTGAAAACATAGTTTTCCTCATGACACTTCTATCAAAATATCTATAGCTGTAAAAAGATTATACTCATATTTGTAAAATTAATTATATAAGAATCATTTTAATTCAAAATATATATACTTACTTTCCATCAGAAGAAAATATATAAGTAATCCAATTCCGAAAGCAATTAACAAAGCACCGATTAACAGTAAAAGCACAAGACCGAGTCTTTTTTGTTTCATCCTCTCCTCGGATTTAATGGATTTCCTGCTAATTATTGTAGAGTCACTATCTGATTGTCCGTGGATAAATTGTGCGTTTCCACCCCTTAGTTTTCCGTCTGGATCCTCCCCATGTCGATGGGAGGAGTGATGATGTCGGTGGTGGTGTTCCCTCCTGTGAAGTGAGTTGTAATCGTTTCTGTCACCCCCGCCGCCCCGATAGGATCGTGATGGATACTGAAAATTGAGTACTTTATATCATTAATGGTCCAGAATCATGAAAAAAGGCAGGTATTTTGAATGCTAAATCTTTAAAGACTGTTCTGTGAAAATTTGTAGCAATGATGCTTATATACTCGATCTTGAAAAAGAAAGAAAGAAAGAATATTTAGGGTGAAAAATCCCTAACACATAACTTCTGAGTTTGATAGAACTCTGGTTACAGGGGGGGGGGGGGGGGACTAGGACCTACTAATATTTTTTTTAAAGAAAGACAGAAATTGAAGATATTCGTAACGAAAATTTCAATTTGCTATTGATAAATTCTTAAATCACAAATTTTGGTAATATCCCCACTCTTCTGAAAAATTAAACTCCAACTCGAATGTTAAAATATCACAGAAATATATTTTTAATCCGTTACGATATTTTCTGTAATGGACCTATTGTCTTCGAGCTACCGACGTTTGACCGTACTGTAGACTTCCTGCATTTCACTAACCATTATCTAACGATCCAAATACACTCCGTTACTTGTTTAACTGAGGTAACACATTACTCTAAAGATGTTATCTTAACATTCAGTTTTATATCTATATACATACAGCCGTATAAGGTTACAAAACAGATCACACCCCCTTGAGCAGGACGCACATTTAACACATTTTATTCAACTGATTAACGCTTTATCCGTAGTAATCTGCAGTCTAATTTTTCATTGCAGCCCTTGGGAAGGCGTCGACCCTATCCAGGGGGGACGACAGGCATTCTGCGTATATATTATAAATGTCGTTTGTAGTTTGTACAGAAATTAACTCGTGATCACGATGCACAGGCGGAGATTGCAGTGGATCCAAAAAGTTTCAGGCCATATGCACTTTCGACATTTAACAATTTCATTAAACTTTTTCGAATATATTATAATTATGTGTGTTCTTATCAAACACTCAATCCACGTGATTTCAGTGCAAACGTATTTATGAAGCTTCCTAATATCAGAACTTTTCCGTGTTATGCGTACCTGTATATAATTATAGCAAATATGTTTTTGACCAATGGAACATGCAAAATTATACTGTAAAGACTTTACACTCCACTTTGCATATATATGTATATTTTCTTTAGTTTTGTTTTATTTTGTTAATAAGCCAAAGTGGACGTAGGTCTTAGCCCCTCATCTCCCAAAAGATTAATTAGTATGAACGTGATAGGTCTCTCTGGGAAAAGTGAATCGGGTGTACATATAAATATAAAAGTCATATCTCCCTCCCCTATACTCCAACCCTTTCCCTACAAACTAGCGTCTCCCCCCTTCTTTTTGAAGATTATGCTTTTGATTTTTCCTTGTCACAAAGTTTTGAAACTTGTTTATCTTAACTCTGGACATGCAGTCTGCACTTGACTCTGAGTGATTAATTTCATGTGTAGCATAGGAAAAAAAACATATAACCTTACTTTGATGCTTATTAAAAATTTGAAATTAACTCAAATCCCTTAAATACAGATACTCAAATAAAGTCTTAACCTTGTTATATATATAGTATTACAACAAGAACATTTGGTGAATGTATTTTAGCATATAAAACGGTACTATAACTTATTAACAGGCCTTTCATTGGTGCCAAAACAATATTGTGTTTGTAAATTGTTCTAGAAACCCATCTTAAACTTTATAATTTGATGAAACAGTTGTATATGAAACGCCAAATTAACATATACATTTGTATTCAAATATTTGAACCTACCTTCAAATAATTGTACCTATCTTCAAATGATTGAACCTACATGTATCTTCAAATAAATTGAAGACATAGGAACAATTGAATTAAAGATAGGTCTAAATGAATTAAAGATAGGTGTAAATAATTATACCTATCTCTAAATAATTAAACCTAAGTTTAAATAAATTACACCTATCTTTAATGGAATTACACCTATGTTCAATTCAATTAAAGATAGGTTTAACTGAATTATATCTATCTTCAATTCATTTAAAGATAGGTTCAATTGACTTGAAGATAGGTACAATTGATTTGAAGATAGGTACAATTGAAACATATCCACAAAGGATTTGAAGATAGGTACAATTTAATTATACGTAGGTTCGTTTTGTGTTTTGAAAATAATGGAAGCTCCCTCTAACAGCGTCTTGAACATGGAGGGAACCGCACGGAGCATATTTTATTGGGAATAGTTGTTATTTTCAGTATCTTTATAATTAAAGATAGGTTCAATTCAATTGCATCTATCTTTAAATCAATTATACCTATCTTTAATTCATGGCATTTGTACCTATCTTCAAATCAATTGTACATGTACCTATCTTCAAATGAATTAAAGATAGGTATAATTGAATTAAACCTATCTTTAATTCATTTGAAGATAGGTACAATTGATTTGAAGATAGGTACAATTAATTGAAGATAGGTTCAAATATTTGAATATATATATGTTAATTTGGCGTTAAATGCAGTTGAGGGAAAAAAATCAAAGTGTACATGTACTCTACCCTCCTATATACATGTACTAAGTAGGTTTCTGGTTAAGTGTTCCTGTAATGAGTGTACATGTATTCATCCTACGGCTGTTCCTTATCTGACCGCAATCTGTAATTTTATGCTTCTTTGTTGTATTTTCATGCATAACTTTAATCTATATCTTGGAAATCAATTGACTCGATAATACAAACAAAGTCAGACGAGTCTATATATTTCTCTGTGTTTAATTACATGTATTATAAAATAGAAAAAAGTCATTAAAAGACCAATCAATTACAGCCAATTTCCCTTCAGACTGTACCTTTGTGCTTTAAACATTGTTTTATTTTATTTATTAAATTTTTATTTGAAATTAATTCCCTTTTTAAACCTGCATGAGTTTTGTCTATCAACCGACAATTAAAAACGAAGACAACGCTGTGTATTTATTCATCCGACATGCAGCCACGATTTCTTTGTATTTTGCAACGAAAAAGCAATGGTTAAACGCTTCACCCTGACTTATACTATTATAAACAAATAAAGGTCCATCCTTTCACAAGGATGTCCATAATACATTTAGGTGTGGAAGCATCGAGTCATTATCACTCCATTCTTCAGAAGATACTAAACATGCGGGGCTTTCTCTGACGTTTTTTATTTATTTATTTGTTTATTTATTTTGGTCTCCTGAAAATTTAGACATCTATCTGACAGTTTTCTAAACATTTTAGCTTTTCTTTCTAACAAGTAAACTAAAAATGACCTTATATCGTAAACAGTAAGATTCTTGCTAATGTCTAATGCGATCTTTAATTAAGAATTTTTGACGCACTGGAAAACGAGGCATATTTTTCTGGCTTATTGTCTTTTAACCTTAAGATCTTGTAATTGGTTAACTTAGATCAATATAATGTCCATCGAAATCTTTTCGTCTCTACTTTGAACATAAAAGAAGAATGTCACTCGCAGGAACTCACATATGTCTTCTCTACGCTATAACGGAGATAAATGTTTAAACGGTCACAACGACAATTTTCTGCGATGACTTTTTTTTTTAATTCTTCGTCCAGCGAATGGTTATAATACTAGTGGCTTGCTATGCATTGCGTCTGTGTGGATTACTTTTATTACATACATTGTATGGTGTACATAAAAAAAAAATACCCCTTCCTCTTCTGGAAAAAGGTATATCTATTATTTTGAGCATTTCGTATCAAAATGAAACATGGCATGTACATTTTAGAATTTTACACTTAATTTACCAGAAAACTTAAAAATTATATTAAAAATAGACTCACTCTGTGTTTATTAGTATCATGAGAGTGCCGAAGTTACCACACTTATTTAAGTTTGTCAAATAAATCTATACACCAACCAGTCCATTAATTAAAAATCTACATAGTGACGCTATATCTCATTTACAGGAAGGCCAGACTCGGGAATTATTATTATAACGATAATGAACATAAAAAATAAACATAAAATCCCAGCATCTTGGGTCAATTACAGGTAAAACACACCTGTAAAACAAAGGTGTGTCACTGCTGCATGAGATGATGAGGCCGTCAGTTTACTGGTATAGTATGTCAAAGCGGGAAAGCCACCGCGATGAAAGACGGCTGCTAAATTTATGACAGAAATAATAGACGGGCGCTCACTAGATGTTTGAAATGAACAACAATAACTGCACCTAACCGAGACTCCTATCTCCCCCTGGGGGAAACAGCTCATCTGAAATGTCACTATGAAGGGCGTTACCATTGTGTGTTTGCCAATATCTGTGACGGAAGGTGATTTAGTTTCTAAGCCTTATGAAACTCTTGGCTATCTGCCGATTAGGACGCAGTCTTCTTTAAAATCTGTTGTTTCCTCTCTTTAATATGTGAACTCATCGAGGGAAGGGGAGGGGGAGGTTAAAAACTCCCTGTACATAAAATCTTTGTGTTATTTTTATACAGTCGTTTAATTAACCATATTGAAGAAAATAATGCCCTTTGAAGCAACCTGCATATGTTTGTTCCATTTAAATGTAAAGTAACGATTAACCTCATGTGAAAGGACAAAGTGGCCAGATTGTTGAGAAAATTATTACAAAAATGACATAAAAAAAAAAAGTTCATAAACAATCGAGGAATTCTTTTTATGTGGGCATCGGGCTTGTTATCAGTTTCCTCTAAAATTCTAACAACTTCCTATAAGAACCAGAAAAATATTTGAACTTGCATTAATCGCTTGTTTTTCACACACTTGGAAGAACAAGAATTTCCAAAAATTAAGAAAAAACATAAAAACAAACATGATTTTACAACAAAGCATTTTGTTCCCGGACAATTCACATGTTATCCTCGGGCATATTTTGTCCGTTAAGATCTCATGAAGTTTGGTTTTATTTTATTTCAGAATTTTAAAATAACTTCGATTTGTAGGACGAGCACTACTTTGATGTTTTAATTTTGACGTTTAGTGGGATCTGCATTGAAGACAATGTGATATGCACTAACGCAACTTGTTAATAGAAACCAATATATCAACCATAAAACTGACATTTGATTAGCAGCAACACGATATTTTTGTCTTTTTGATGTTTTATAGGATTACAAGGGTTATTTTATTCATTTTGAGATGAAGGACAATTAGTATTTATTATTATCTAATTAGAATGAGGCAATATACATATATGGCATAAGCTTATGTAGAACATTGCTAAAAAGAAACAATAGATAGTTTTTTTTTCTCTAACAATATTAAACGGTATATTAATATTATTAAAAAGTATGTACTGCAATAAAATTTTTAAAACGAGGAATCGCGTAGGTATAAATATATAAAGTCAATTTTGCTTTGATTGATAATCGAAAATGCGATATTATCTAAGAATCATAAACATTAGTGAAAGTTAAATGAATCACAAAGAAAACAATCATTTCAAAAGTATACATATATATCAAATATATCCAAAAAATATCGATATATCGATAATCTGATGATCTTACCGTATCGTGATATGGACGGGCGATTGTGTCTTCTTTCAAATGCTCGATCCAATCGGGCCGCCGTTCTCTGTCCATTATTATTATTTCTCACTACGTTCACTTCTCAAAATTTTTTTATTAATTTTGTTATTGGATGCCTTTGTGTCTGTGTTACATAATTACAGAATTTAAAAAAATTAAATATGTTTGATATCCGGGCAACGTATCCAAAATCTTTTTACACAAAATTGCTTGTATGTTGATAAGCACTGTACTTCCTTTTTCAATATCCCAGTTTCAATAACTGAAGAAGATTTAGTTTTGGGCAGTTGTCATAATTTTCACGTCATGTAAAATGATGCATTTAATATACGCCACCTTTCGCTCCTCTTTCATCTAGAAAGTTGACCCCACGGTCAGCATATTGTCTTGTGCTCGCTCACTCATCCATAGACTAGGGGTCTGTGATAAACGCTTGCCCGGGGGGCGGGCGCAACCAACACTTGTCCGGATCAGTAATGTTTCATTGCGTATGTATCAGAGCAAGAAAACTGGTTAACACGCTGAAACTATTGTAAAATACGTGTTTTACGCAACCGAACGCACGATTGAAAAGTGTGTTTAATTACAGGTGATGGAAACTTATTCAACTTCGTAAAATGAACTTTAAAAGAAACTTTTTTTGTGAAAAAAAATTAATGAATGAACATGGGGCTCATCTCCTAATTTGTATTACTTGTAATAATTAACCATCATATTTATGGATGCTTATATGTTTTGTCAGATTTAATTAATTAGAGATTGTAATGTCCTTTCTTTTGTCTAAAAATTAATTTAGAGACATGCATCCGCTGTCACCCCATGTCAATTTCACACCTGTAAACAAAAAAAACCACGTGTTCTCGTTTGTCATATCTATATGCTGGTGATAAAACAGCTGACGTAGATCATTGTCAAATGAAAGAAGGATATCTATGAAAAATGGGTTTTTGAAATAAATCGACATAAGATTTTGTAGGGAAAATCAGTTTGATTGACAAAAACATACAGAGAGAGAGAGAGAGAGAGAGAGAGAGAGAGAGCAAACATTATCAATTGGTATGAATATTGCCACTTCATGGTTCACATCCTTGTAAGGAATATATCCCCACTCTTGTAAACAGTGAGGATCGAGAAAACATTGGTTTCGGACGCTGTTGGCATCGTCGGATACCCACGGGTGATCTCGTATTTTACTCAACACCCGGGTGATGAGTAAAAGACGAGAGGGTATCCGATGATGGACTATTGGCACTCGTTAAATGTCTGGTTTCAGGTACTTTTTTAAACTACAAAGTGAATATCAATTTTCATAAAGTAAAGTGACCAAATAAAGCAATTGTATTGCTTTCATACCCCAAAGACGCCCAATAAACACGCATTATACATAAATATAGTTACAGTTGAAGTTCGTTTTCTCCAACAACGATATCTCGAATACAAGGGATATGTTGAAGTGAATAGGTAGCCCTTATACCGGTATTTTACTGTCTAACCTAAAATGTAAATGATATACAAAGTAAGTTAAATAACGCTTCTTTTCTGTTGTATTGGAGGACTAAATCCATCAAAACTTAGATCCATATCTGACAAAAGTTTCTGGATCCACCCCCTGAATGATGGAAAACCCGCACGGAGAACTTGTGTTAATATTTTATCAACTCTTTTTGTAGATGTGTCGTTTAAACTGGTTTTCGTCATAGTTGCAGAGCTGTAGCCATGTGGGAAAGAAAAAGACAGACAGACATAGAAGAGCATTTTATTTCTGTTCGAATTTTCTTTCCAAGAGATTCTGCAGCTAGTTGCTGTCAAAGTAACGTTCATAATTCTACACTGCTAAGTGTAAACGGGCTAATCCAAAACAATTATGTTATCCATCTTCTTCAATACAGATCTAGGTTTTCCGGGAACAAGTTCATAAACAAAACAAGGAATTGGCTGACAAAAACGACCTCAGTCACTTTGGCCCTTGGATTGGACAAAACTTATGTTACCCTCGAAAACAAGTCAATAAGCATGGTTTAGAAAATACCCTGCTAGCTTTACAAAAATCCTGTACATAGTTCAGTTTTCATATCTATGTTTTCAAAGAAATGAATCACAGAAAATATTCTATCGTAATAACAGAGACAAACTTCTAGAAATAAACTGATAACAGAGAGTGGCTTTCTATGAGTTCTCAGAATCCGTTGTTGACTTTGATTTTGTTCATATCTCATTCATCAAAATCACCAATCGCACAATTAAGGAACTGAAATTCTCTTTTGATCCGTATCATTGCTAGTATACGGGCCAGTTGCTATCCAGTTCCATAGGATATGATTCGGTTGTTTTATATCTTCCATCTGGATCCATTGGATATGGTCCAGTTGTTCCATATTCTCCCGAGTCATTATCTGGATCCATTGGGTATGATGTTCCATATCCTCCAAATCCACTATCTGGATCCATTGGGTATGGTCGAGTTGTTTCATATTTTCCAGATTCACTATCTGGATCCATTGGGTATGATGTTCCATATCCTCCAAATCCACTATCTGGATCCATTGGATATGGTCCAGTTGTTCCATATCCTCCAAATCCACTATCTGGATCCACTGGGTATGGTCCAGTTGTTCCATATCCTCCAAATCCACTATCTGGATACACTGGGTATGGTCCAGTTGTTCCATATTCCCCAGAGTCACTATCTGGATCCATTGGGTATGGTTCCGTCCTCCCATAACCTTCCAATTCCCCATCTGGATCCTTTGGGTATGATTCAGTTGTTTCATATCCTTTATACCCACTATCTGGATCCATTGAAGTATCCCATTCGGGAGTTGAACCCATTCTTCTCCTGTCAATGTCTCTGCTGCTATCTGTTGCTTTCAGGTACTCAAAGATAGCCTTCAAATATTCAAGCTGCCCTCCATCTGCAAGAGTTATAAATATGACGTCAAAAATGCAATAGTAGTCTCCGGGCATTTCAGTGCACGCGCGGGCTTATATGGCTCTATAAAAGCCCGGGTTCTCTTTTTTATTATCAACATTATTGAGAAATATATATCAAAGTTTGTAGAAAGGAAATTTGATCCTGCCTTTTGTGGTACTTACTGAGGAACTCGGACACAAAGATGATGATGTTGTCCATGTTTCCAGTGGTCATGTGGGTCTCAACCCGGTCAAAGTTGCGCACGGCCCCCCTCACATAGCCTTTGTAGACTTGGAGAATGGCTTTGATGACAGGCGCGGGGTCACTGGTTAGGTATCTAGGTACCAAGTATTTTGTCAGCCACTCCCTTGCTTTATCTAAGTGTTTGTCCTCGGAGTACCTATATTTATAAAAATGAAAAGTAATATTTGAAAAAAAAATTAGTATTGGTTGAAAAGACCCATACCAACTATTCATTACGATATTTCACATTCCATTCATTCTCTGTGGTATTAAAACTTAACCTTTAATATGTCTAGTAATATTTTACTCTTGGTGGTAGTAGTAGAAATAAGAAGGACTTAGTTTCAAAACTGAAGGGAGACTGTTTTCCACCAGCTTACCTTTGTTGAAAACGCACCGCGAGTGTCCGGTGAAAATCCCATAGATCTTGCAGGCGAGGACATTTGAAATCAAAATTATTCCCCGACAAAAGCAGCTCATTTAATTTTTGGTCAAATTCTGTAACACTCCACTTCTCCTGCCTAGCTCTATATAACAAGATCTTCATTTTGCCAAAGAATTCCATGATATCTGAAGTGTTGGAATAAAATTTGAAATGGATGGATTAACAAAATTTTAAACCTATCTTTTCAGTGTGTGTGATACACAAACATAAGTATGCAATAACATCATTGGTAAATGGTTTGCAAAGAAGAACAATTCAAAAGCACACTACCTATACCTTGCTCAAATATAAACAAGAAAAAAAATGCACTTTAAATAGTGTTGCAGTTATGTACCTTTAAAGTAGAAAAACTTAATGTACTCCATAAAGTCTCCAAAAATATGTCTATGAGCAGTCTTCACAATCATCCTGGCGACATTTTCTCTCGTGGTATTGTTCGTTATTTGGTTTTCTAGGATATTTCTGACATAGGTGTACATATTCTGGTCCTCTTCTGTCATGACACGCTCCTGGTCCTTCAGAACGTCTGAATAAATACGCAAAGTTGTGCACAATATGTCAATAAATATTTAAAAACAAGGTGTGTTTGTGAACCACTGATGCCCCCGCATGGCAGTTTATGGCAAAGGTTAAAGTTTCTCAAATGCAAGTCAAACTCCAAAGTCAAGAGATCAATAATGTTGTTACCCAAAGAAAGGACTTATATTATTGGATATAGCTGGTAAATATGAAAGCCAAAGCACCAACATTCAAAATTTATAGTCAAGGTTAATGTTTTCTAAAAGTGGGCCAAAGTCAAGGTCAAAGGGTCAAAATTAATGGTACGTTGGGGAAGACCTTGTCATAAGAAATACACAAGCAAAATATAAAAGCCCTAGCACCAACTATTCAAAAATTATGGCCAAAGTCAAAGTTTTTCAAAAGTAGGTCAAACTCCAAGGTCAAAATTGGTGGGATCCAAAGGAAGGTCTTGTCACAAGGAATATACCTGTAACATTTGAAAGCCCTGGTACTAACTGTTCAAAAGTTATGTCCAAGGTTAAAGTTTTTAAAAGTGTGACAAACTCTAAGGTCAAGGTCAACAGGTCAAAAATATTACACCCATCGAAAGGTCTTGTCACGATAGATACTCATGTGAAAAATGAAAGCCTTAGCACCAACTGTTCAAAAGTTATGGCCAAGGTTAAAGTCTGGTAATTTTTTTCAAAAGTGGGTCAAACTCAAGGTCTACGTCAAGAAATCAAATATGTTGGTACTAAAAGGAGGGTCTTTTCAAAGGTGAAATATGAAAGCCAAAGCTCCAACCAGTCAAAGGTACTGGGCAAGGTTAAAGTTTTTGCGGACAAACAGACAGACAGACGGACGGACAGGGCAAAAACTAAATACCCCGAATCTTCGATTAAGGGGGCATAAAAATGACAATATGTCTTTACTGTTAAATCAGTTTTTTAAATGAAAAGATTTGATATGTTCGAAACTAACATGACTTGTTACCATCAGTAACAGTAAACCAGTCATTTTCTTCCAACCCCTCTTTAATTGACCGATCAAAAATTTTACAGAAGTTTAAATTTCATATCGAGCTAAATTGATTTACTTCCCCTTGTGCAAAAATTAGATTAAAAGTCCCTTGTTGTCATTTAAACCGAAATCTGATAGAAGAAAAAAAGACTTAGAAATTAAAGCTGTCCTCATATACTTACAGAAAACCATTTGGTTGATTTTTGCTGTTGGACATTGGAAAATGGCTTTCAACAAAGCACTAGTCATGTTGAAAAAAGCCTGTTTCCGTATCTGTACTAGATCTGACGAATCCCTCGAGAGCATGGTCATGTACCAATCATTCGCTTCTTTCACAAATTGTTCACGTGTCAAAGGCAAATCTGATGAAAAATTACTAGACAAGTTGTTCAAATAAAGTCGACATATATAAACATTTTATTTTTTCTGGGTATTAATTTTACCTACTCGTGAATTGGAAATCCCCACTCGGAGCACTACCGAAGTACGGTCTTAGAAGCATGTCGAAGATTCTGTGCAGTTTGTAAGGGGTGCCATTTTTGTCGGTCTTCCCATGTGGTCCCGGTGGGAATTTGGTACCAGTGAACCAGGGTCGGTCAGAGGTCTTTTCCTTTGCTATAAGTCTCTCCAACTTTCTGACGACAACACGTAACTCATCCTCAGAGTTCATTGAAAGGGACACTTAAAAAAGAAATGCTCACATCACGCAGATTTCCGTTTATCTTATTAATTTGAACAAATTACAAGCATCGCATTTTGTGTGTGCTCGAATTGTTTCATTCTATTTCATGCGTGTTCGAATGGTTCAACAGTCAGGACAGTTGATCATTTGAATTGTTCTTTTAATTTAAGGAATATAGCTGGGAATTATAATGAATAAACAAACTTACCATAAAAAAGTGACAGTAAAACCAAGAGAACTTTTAACGACCTCATGTCAATCGATTCTGTCATCTCTGCTGTTGTCTCGATCCGCACGCACTCACCCGCTCATTCTCTATTTATATACCCGTGTCGTGGTCATCCAAAATGATTGGCTGTCTAAATGAAGGCATTAATGTGTGCGTTTGATTTTTGGAAAGGATGACTGCACGTGACGTCGGGTTTGGGGTCTTTTTAGGTCACTTCTTTTGCTTTTATATCTTGACCTAATTTCAATATTGTTTATTTATGAAAGAATCTTATCAATTTGAACCAAATTTAAAAGTTAAAATGATTTTAGACTGTAATACAATAAAATAATTTTTTTAATGTTTTGTGTTTTCTATGTTTGTCCCAAATATAGATAATTCACACTTACCTGCCCCAATTGAACATTAGGTTGCTAAAATATATGCATGAGAGGTGGAACTAACATTGTAAGAATGTATCTAAAATTAGACTAGCATAAATAACATGTATAAACAAAATGCGTTTGTGAAACACTGATGTCCCTGTATGGCAGCTCATTGCGAAGGTTCAAATTTCTCAAATACAAATCAAACTCCAAGGCCAAGAGATCAAAATTGTTGGCACCCAAAGAAAGGTCATGTCACAATGAATAAACTTGTGAAATATGAAAACTCTAGCATTAACCGTACAAAAGTTATAGCCAAGGCTAAAATTTTTCATAAGTAGGTCAAACTCCAAGGTCAAGGTCAAAGGGTCGAAATTAATAGTGCCCAAGGGAAGGGCTTGTCATATGGAATACACATGAAATATAAAAGCCCTTACAACTACCACACAAAAGTTATGGTCATTATTATAGTTAAGTAGGTCAAACTCCGAGCGCAAGGGGAAAAAAAAGTCAAAACTGTTGGTCCCAAGAAATACACATATGAAATATGAAAGCCATAGAACCGACCATTTAAAAGATGTGGCCAAGGTTAAAGTTTTTCAAAAGAGTGTCAAACTCCAAGGTCAAATGGTCAAAATTGTTGGTACCCATGGGAAGGTATTGTCACAAGAAATATATCTGTGAGGTATAAAAGCCCTAGCACTATCCATTCAAAAATTATGGCCTAGGTTAAAGTTTTTTTTCAAAAGTGGGTCAAACTTAAAGGTCAAGGTCAAAGGGTCAAAATTGTTAGTACCCAATGGAAGGTTTTGTCACAAAGAATGCACATGTGAAGTATGAAAGCCCTAGCACTAACCATTCAAAAATTATGGCCAAGTTTAAAGTTTGGTTAAATTTGCAAAAGTGGGTCAAACTATAAGGTCAAGATCAAGATGTCAAATATGTTGGTACCCAAGGAAAGGTCTTGTCACAAGGAATACACATGTGAAATATAAAAAACCATCGGGAATAGCTTGAGCCAGTCAAAAGTGATGGGCAAGGTTCAAGTTTTTGCGGACAGATAAACAAACAGATAAAGATGGACGGGCAGAGCAAAAACTATATATGCCCCCGAATCTTCGATAACGGTTATCAATGATTATAGTTTATCACTCTTTCCCCATCTACCTTTCTATTTTGTATTGCACAAGTACACTATTTGCAAAGGTTTCAAAACAAAATTAACAATATAGCCATCCCTGTAAGTACAGAAGATTTTAAATCAATGTCTGACAATTTTAAAACGTGTTCGAACAGAATGTCTTAGTTAGCACAAAATATGTTGGAATCTTCTCAACTTCTTCTTTAAAAAAAAAAAAAACAAAACACTTCCGAAATTTAATCAAAGTGCCCCCCCCCCCCCCATTTAAGAATTCAAATTTTTTTGAAATAGGCTTTTTTACTTTTTTGCTTGCCAAAGTATTTTGCTACACCCACTCACTTTAAAAAAAGTGCCATGGGCTTTTAATGCATTTTTAAGGCAACACAATTACTGATGAATTACAGTTTTGATAAAAAGTTTAAATGTTACTTACTTTAAAACTTCCATATACAGTACATGTATATTTGCGTATTTTTACTTGGAATTCGAAATCACGAACATTGTGTTTAAAATTTCCTTTTGTATGAATCAATGATATTAATTTAGGTATTATTGGAACTGGGCATTTCTCGATGGATCTCTTCTAGTAAGTAAAGTAAGTAAGTAAATTTTATTTATAGTCGGACTATATGCATTTAACAAAAAAAATTAAAAAAAAATAAAAATAATAATAATAATAATAAAAAAAAAAAACATGAGCTTTAAAGCTCTTTTACCGACTAGTAACATAGAAACACATTTAGCACAAATAGAATGTACATATAGATATAAGAGAAAACATACTTAAATTTCACGTAGACAGAAGCACATAAAACACAAGAAACTAGGTAACTTTTATAGATTTAAATTATGTTATAATCACAGCTATTTTTTATATTCTTTAGATACCGTTAAATGCGGCGTAAATGCATGTAACCCCCTTTAATTAAAGCCAAACATTTTCAGTTGGGGGGGGGGCACTATCAACTAATCAACTATCAAAATTCCTTGACAAAAATAATCAGCCGTTTTTATTGAGGGGGCACAAGCATAGCATATAGTAGCTAAGTTTTCTATAGTTAAACTTATTGGGGGGCACGCCCCCCCCCCGTGCCCCCCGGTTCCTACGGCCATGACGCTGACAAGCACATGCAATCCCTTACATTCCCGCCTTCTGTCATAATTCGGGAAAAAAGTTCACTGCATGTAACCCCCCCCCCCTTTCCGCTCTCCATGTATAAAAACATTGACCACACGTATTTATTGAATAATAATTACATCAATATTCATTTATTCTAATAACATATTCATAAAATTATTTTGAATAATTAGGAATTCAAGTTTTTTTTTTAAAATACACATTAATTTGACATTAAAAAAAATCATCATAATGGCACTTTTGGATAAATTCAGAATTTCCTGATGGGTGTATTTTGTGAAATAGTAATGTAAACATCTTTGTCATTGTTTCATCAGCAATGATAATGAATTAATTAAATAAAATATTTAGCACAGTTCAAAGTTACGTCTCCAAGAACATGTATTAGATCCGCCGATGCTTTTAATCACTATAAAGGAAAACGAAAGTAGACAAATTCCACCTATAAGTTATCAAGAGAAGAAGAGGTTTTCCAGACACTCGATAAATACGAAAGTACAGTACATATTTTACCATAAGTAGATGTTACCCATGTAAGGGGACAAGTAAATAAAAATGTGTGGCAGAGAGTCTTTATCGAGACGATGTGTGCTGGTCAAACAAGTTCCAGAGGAGTTGGAAGAAGATTGTATTTACAGTATTCATGGAGTAGAAAAGTTCCACCGCCATAATGAACTCAGTATTGGCAGTGGGGAAGTAAGATGGATCGTCTTGTTGACAAGCCAAGACGGTAAATTTATATTTATGATTTATAAAGTTTGTATTCAATTGATAAACAAATATGACTGTCTATTATTTTCTTCTGAAGAAATGGGGGTGGGGGGTAATTTCTTACATTGATGAATTCTAAGAGAGAGATGATACAGATATACCGGTACTGCAAAATTAGGATGGATTCTGTTGAATGATATGAAAAATCGACACACAGCAAAAGTTTACTCAGAAATCTGTTATTAGATGTCTTTCATTGCCTAAATCATATTCATCATGCACAAGTGGCAGTCAGACAGGTTCAATCGTCAGTGGCCAGATACCACAGATGGTATAGACCACCTGACTGGAGATTCAGGGGGCCCCGGTTCGAATCCTGTTCTGATCAGACATATTTTCTCCTTTCCCGTTACATTTGGTGCTGTGCCATGCCCTCGAAGTGGCAGGTGAAAGACCTGCCAGGGTCAAGAGCCTGGGTTGGTGTCTTTGAGGGCTGAAGACCTTTAAGGAGGGAGGAATGTGACGGTCAGATGGGTTCGATTGCCAGTTGCCATATAGCTCAGTTGTTAGAGCACCAGCCGGCCTGACTGGAAATTCAGGGGGCCCGGTTCGAATCCCAATCTCACCAGGTCTGTCACATTTTACTCCTCTCCTGTTACACACATTATACGATTTGATTTATGATATCCATGTCAATATGTAAGCCATCTCACACAGTTTATTTTTTAGGACAATCATAGTGATCAAAATTCCCAATCCCAAAATGAAAGTACACTTTATCTGTTTTTTTTTTAAATCTATTCCTAAAGATGCAAGATTTAGTATAAAATAGTAGTATGTACTGTCCATGTATGTGACAAAAAGACCGGAATGAAATGTGACTAACACTTTTGTGAGCATTTATTTTCTGCTTGAAGTTTTGACTGGCGACTTTATATTAGCATATTTTAGGGCTGTCAAAAAAGTAGTACTTTTTCTAATAAGTATTTGATGGTACAGTTAGTAACAAATTGTGTCCTTATTGACAGGAACTGTATGAAGTTAAAAAAACAAAAAAAAACTTTTTGCTATTTCCTGGAGAAACTTTTAATAGAGTTGTAAATTCAAGAAATAAAATTGAATTAATTAAAACCCTAATACAGGACCTGCTGAATAAAATAATTAAGTGATGTTCATGCAAACATACACAAATATATGTTTTCTTTATTGGCCGTTCACATTTTCATATCAGATTTTATTTGAAATTTTCAGAGGCAGAAAAGCTAATGAGGGATGGCCATGTTACTTTAGATTCAGATGGACAGAAGTTGGATCTTCCAGTTGGAGGCTGTCCAGAATGCATCATTCCAGATGAGTGGGTGGAGAATACCCCTACAAGATTGAGTGCCCCAGTGAGTATTGATCTAAAGAAATCGAGAAGTTATCGTAGTTGATCCTTGTTGACCAGAATGCCAATAATTACGAAGTTTCTCATTTTGGACAAAATTTGTGGGGAGCAGAATTTACATTCATATCAACCAATTATGAAAGGTTTCAGTTTTAGTAATCCAGATGCTATATTAATCTGGATGCTTCATTAATCCAGATGCTTCATTAATCCAGATGATTACTTTTGGAACACAGGCATCTTGATTTTATAACAAGGCTCTACTAAATCTTTTTGGAACCCTTTAGCACTGATGCTTATTTACTTAGAGGAGTAGATAATAAAGCAACATTGAATGTAATGATAGGCAAATTTAGGGCCCAGCATCAAGATGGGAATGCCCTGGGTCTGCCCATCTGTCTGCCTCTTCATCTGTTAACACCAGCAGGATGAGATCCTTTCAATACCTTGATTTTTGAACCTGACCAAAAGTGACCAAATAAATCTGTGTCCCCCACATAAACAATACAACATCAGTGGACTGTGGTTGGAGAAACACACTTAGAGATTTTGAGTTAATTCATTACTATGTCCAGGTCAAAATGTTTTTTTTTATATATTTTACATGAACACACTTACCTGTGGTAAAAAAAGCGAGAATTTTTTTATTAGCCATGCAAACTTCTTTTAAAAAATTTATGCAATTAAAAGAGACCCCCTTCCTTTTGAGGTTTCAGGTCAAAATCAAAAGGTCAAGATTATTAAGTACACTGCATGGCTCTGTATGATAGATATTAATAGAGAATAAATTCTTATGATTATAATTAAACAAAAATATGAATACAGTCAAAACTGTCATAACTACCACCTGTATTTAATGACTCTCTGTCATGTGTGACCATTAAATTTTCTTAGAATCTTTCATTATATTTTACCTGTATTCTGTGACTCCCCATCTAATGTGACATAACATCATTTTGATTGTATACATGTACAAAATGCATTTCAATACTTAGATTTCCAAATACAGTCAAACCTCGTTATCTTGAACTTTATGGGACTGAGAAAAAACTTTGAGATATCTGAGGATTTGAGATATTGAGGGTAAAATACTAAAAGAATAAGGGGTTGGGGCTTCCAGATCACTTTGACATATCCATGGTATTCAAGATATAAGTGTTCAAGATACCGAAGTTCAACTGTAATTTAAATCACATCCTGTACGAATACTGTAAATAAAAGAATTTGTTCTGCCTTCTTTTGCTTTTTCTGATACTAGGAATGACTGTATAAAAGAAAACAAAATATATGATGGTTTTTGAAGTGGTTTTACCATGCACTTTAAAACATATGGTGTTATCAGTGCTATTAACATGATGAATGATAATTTTTTTTTTGCTTTCAGTTGTCTTTTGATGATGAAATGCTGCAAGACAGTATAGGAATGAAGAGTATAAGATGTAGAGAGAGAAGCAAAAACCTGGGTAAGTGTGACGTATATATAGGAGGGAACATTCTGTATATAACTTTCACCATTTTTATCGTAAAATCTACAAGAGATATTTGCAAAATTAAATAAATTATTTTTAGTAAGTAATTCTGTGGTAAGTTTGGCTCCATACAGCCCAGTTTACCACATATCAAACCATATTGTGTAGTACTGTATGTTGTAGCAGGTATGTTTGCAGAAAGCACGTACAGTTTGAAAAGATAATACATATAGTTTGATAGTTTTGATTTCTTTGCACTGGTCAACACTTTTCCATTCTGTCATACATTTATTACACAGAGAGATTGGTCTGAAGGGTATATCTATATACATGTATAATGTAATACTTAAAAATATATATTTAATTAAAATCAAATCAATATAACTTTTTTGAAATGTAAACTTTGCATGACTAGGTGGAGGGATGACGCGAGATTCATTGCTGCAAGGTTCAGGTAGTTATTGTAGATCAAAATCATTGTGTAATGTACTGCTTATAGTCTCAATAACCCCCCTTCCCCCCTCCTACAATAAACCCACAGTGTACTTAAGAATATTTGATGAAATTGACAATTGGTTAATATATAGTATTAATTTTTCCACTCTTCAAATATCTCATTGCTGTTAAAGAGAATATTATTTGCTTGTAGACTTTTATAGTTCCAATATGTCAAATTTTTCAACCCATCATACCAACCAAGTTTACGGTATATGTATTATCATGTGGTAATTATGTGTGCTTCCTTGTAAAAAATCCATAATCATACTTATAGTTAGATCACATAAATACGTGTATATCATCTATACATATTTACACTGTATCTTTTTATAATGGTGACTTATCTGATAAAGCTGAAGAATGCTTGTTAATCAATTCACTATAGAAAAGAAGTGTATGATATACATGTAAATGTATCGTATTTATAAAGTACTTGTATTTTTACCAGCTGCATGAACTTGTTTTTTTTTTCTGAATTTAACATCATTTCTTGTTAAGATCAAGTTTCAGTTAATATATTTACATCACATCTCAGTAAGTTTTTGACAGGAATCATTGTTACGTAATTATGACAAAAGCTACAGAGTATCTGATCATTACACAAACTAAAAAAAAAGCCAAAAAAAAGTTTACCATTCTGTTTATTCATTTATTTTCCAGGATTGAACCCATCTCATTTCATTTCTCATAAATTGTTTCATAAAATGAAGATAATTCATATGTGCTTTTTGTTGGTAGATGATTATGTGAAAGTGGAAAAACCAATATCAGCAGAAAAACCAGAAGAAAAGGAAAGCACAGACAAATATGTCCCTTCCTTTGTCATACCTGCTATAAGTTCTCCATACAGTCAGTTAAATCTATCAGACAGTAATAATTCCCATATGTACTCTAGTCTTCAGTCACAACAATCAGACACGGAGGAAGTGGAATTTACCAACATAACATCAACCGAAGAAACACAAACCTACACACCCATGTCACCTCCAGCAAATACAGATAACTTTCAACCTGCACAATTCAGTGATGAAGTCACAATGAATATGTCTATGACTTCAAAGAGTAGATATGATGAAGACGACCCCTATCATACTATTAATGATGTTGCAGTAAGCTCACATCTGGGTCACGATGAACCCCCTCCTCTACCCCAGAGGCTGAGTAGATCCGAGAGCAAGGAAGTGTCCTCTTCAACTTATATGGAACCAGCATCAAGGAGTGGGAGTCATTATGACCAACCACAGCCAGTTCTACATTTAAAGCAGGTGAATGAAAAACAGACATCTAGGATCAATCCCCAGGAAAATTCACCTGGTAAATTTCCTGTAAATTCTCACTCTACTGCTTCTGGTGCTGATACTTTAAAAACAGGAAGTGGTGATAATGGTGAGTCCCCATCTGTACCTCAGAGACTTAGCAGAACTCAGGACAGTGAAGTGTCTTCTTCAACATACATTGAGCCTGTATCTACAGGACAGGTCCAGTCTGCACCAAAAACCAATACCAAGCCTGATATTCCACAACCAGGGTTAAAATCTGAACAAAGCCATTCACAAGCATCTGGAAGAAATTCTTTAGAACATACTCCCAGCAGTGAATTTTCAATGAATTCTGAAAAAGATTCTAACAAGATTTTACATAATGCTGAAAGCAATATAGAAAGTATGGCTAGTTATGGCAAAGACCCTAGTCAGAACCAGGCAACCTCAGCTGTGATAAATGAACAGAGGACACCAGGTGGTCAAGCACAGCAAGGACTACTGGACCAGAGAGAGATGCACAGAGACTCTGGCAGTCCTATTGTAAGACACCATGAGCCTGGTAATCAAAGAACATCAAATCAAGAGTCAGGTGGTCAAAGAGAAACAAATCAAACACCAGGTTCACAGAGAGTAACAGGCCAAGGAATGGAAAATCAGACAAACAGAAATAGAGAAACAGAGGGTCCTGATGCAGTGTATCAGAATTTAGAAATGTTCAGAAGGCCAGATCAAGGTCCAAATCCAGGTTTTATGATTGCTCCAACAGGACAAACTAACCATATGAATCCACAAAACCAACATGGTGCCATGCCACCAGGACAGACTAATGGTATGATGAATCCACAAAACCAACATGGTGCCATGCCACCAGGACAGACTAACGGTATGATGAATCCACAAAACCAACACGGTGCCATGCCACCAGGACAGACTAGCGGTATGATGAATCCACAAAACCAACATGGTGCCATGCCACCAGGACAGACTTACGGTATGATGAATCAACAAAACCAACATGGTGTCATGCCACTAGGCTTTATGATTGGACCACAAGCACTCAACCAACCTGGTTTTCCACCATATCCATTTCCAGGCTTTCCAACTCCTTTTTTCCCCATGCCACAACTGCCAGTGCAAGGAAATATGGTCCCACCAAATGGAGGTATGTTTTTAGCTCAGTCATAGGTAGAAAGGTGTTTTTAAAGATCTAAATTTTGTGCTGTTTATGTATGTCTACATTCCCCAGGACATTCAGCTGTTCCTTTTTATAAGTCACTTATAAAATTAGCTGGAATTTACAATTTATCCACTATGCATTCCCAATACAAGGTCTAGGAATAAATTGACATTTTATTATGCACATTTAAATGTGTGGCCCATGTGAGTCTTGTTACTTTTATCAAGATAAAAACTTTTTTCTTTTGAAAAACTTGGAACTAAAAAATATTCAAGTTTAAATGACTGTACAATATTTTTTATAGGCTTCATTTGAATCTTCTAGGAGCAAATCTAGAGGAGAACTGTATTGTGTACCAAATTATTGTTATACAACATTATTTTACCATTATAGAGAGAATTTCCAGGCCTGAACTAGAGTTACCACCACCTTCCACAGAAGGTGAGAAACAACCATCAGTGAGGAGGAGTAAAGTGATAGTGGAGAAACCACACAGAGAGAGACCCTCTTCAGGTAGATCAGAGGAAAGGGCACCTTCACCTGAGGAGGAAGAAACTGATGAAGGTATAGTATTAATTAACTTTTTAAAAATGCATGTCAATGCAATATCATACTGAAGCAACATTTCTAATTTCTTGCTAGAAAATTATCATATTAAATTTTCTTTTACAATAATTTTGGTTATTTTATGTAGAATTGTCATATTGTATATTTATAACATAAAAGGAAAATGCTGATATGACCTCATAAGGGACCTTGTTTTTTATTTCCATATCTTTGACGAATCAATAAGTCATATCAATGTTGGAAATGAATTCTGGAGACAAAATCTCTGCTATTCGTACTAACCTCTTCATGTGTTACTACCAAGGAATTTAATATGTATGTTTAAAAGGAAACGATTTTTTTTATTTGTTTTATTTAGAAAAGTCATTTGACACAGTCAGAGTAAGACTAAGGAAGCCAGTGTCACAGGATGCCGTAGAGAACTATTTTGAGAACAAGAGGAAGTCTGGGGGAGGAGATATCGAGTCCTTTGAAGTCATCAAGGAAGAGGATGAACAAGTTATTGAAGCTTTGATCAAATTCAAACAATCTTGTGGTAATTCTACGTATATATATATCTACTATTTACTTACACTGACATTTTTTTAATTTTGTAAGAGGGAAATGCATGTTTTAATTATTTACAGGATGTACTGATAATTAAGGTACTAATTAACATGGTGTGAATTTAAAAAAATAATTAAAATTGTCCCTGACACATGCATTCAATTTTGAACATGGTAAAATTAGTATACATAAGATAAATCTTCCTATCCCTATGACTTAAAGAAGACTCCTATTGATTTTGAGGTCAAAAAGGTCAAAAGCTAAAGTAAGAAATTCATATGTTGCATAAAATGGTGTTTAGTTCTTTTGAGCTTTAGCAACGATGAGTGTAACTGAAAAAAAAACACACACATTGATTTACGGATCAAAGGTGAAAGGACAATTCTTCTTTTTTCTCAGTCTCCCTTTACAATGTTTAGGAATTCTACCCACTTTGTTTAATTGGCTTATTTTTGGACATAAATTATTTAAATTAGCTTGTTGTCATTGGAATTTGTTAGTGTCATATTTTGATTAACAATGACTAGTGAGTTGCTAGAAAATACTGCTAGTTGTCTGGAATGACAGACTGCCTGTTGCTAAAAAAGCTTGCCCATTATAATTGAATTTCATTTATTTCATCAGATGCCAAGTCCTGCTTGCAGAGGAAACACAAAATAGGTGGTGCAAATTTAACAGTAGAAATATATGATACAGACGACCCAGAAATGTGGGAGATGCACAAAGTTCTGGTGAGCAGACTCAACCCAGTGACAACTGATGATACACTGATGAATTTTTTGGAGCCAGCTGCAGAGGCGGATCCAATAGATGTGGTCAGAGGGTCAGAACCTGATACAGTCATAGTGGTGTTTGATGAGAAACCAGGTAACCATAGAATTATCATTGATTGTGTAACATGTGAAGTTTTGATACATGTATATGTCCAATATGCTGTTTTTTTTTTATTTTAGGTCATCTGAGTTGCATTATGTTATGATTTTCTTTTTTCATATCAGATTTTTCCAATATGTCAAAACGGTGCAATTCCAAAAAACTTGAGGGCAACACATTGTTTATACAAATGGTAGAGAAATGTAGATCAGTTTATGTCCAAGAAATTGATGAAACCATCACATATGACACAGTGGAGAATTTCTTCTGTAACAAGAAAAGAAGTGGAGGTGGAGAAGTGGAGAAGGTGGATTATCATCCTGAAGATGGATACTGTGTTGTTCATTTTGAAAATCCAACAGGTGCTTGCATGTTCTTCAATTATTTGTACATCATTAGCTCACCTGAGCCAAAGTCTGTGTCTGTCATTGTCTTAAACTTTTCACAATTTCATTTTCTTCTACAGAACAAGTGTGCCAACTTGCCACAATACATCCTTGGTTGAAGGGAATTCAAGATCAAATGAAGAGTTATGCCCTCTTTAATTGGAAGATAATAAAAATAGGGAAAATTGGGTGGGGTCATTTAAAAATCTTGTTCTCTAGAACCATTGGGCAAATAAAGATGAAAATTATCTGAAATCTTCTTGACATAGGGCATATTCTAAATTTTTCAAATCATAGCCCCCTGAGGATAGAGTGGGGCAACAGTGGAGGATATGAGTTTTACACTGGATTATATAGGGAAAAATCTCTAAAAATCTTTTTCTCTAGAACAGCAAGGGGGCAATTATTAGTTTTATCTATATGGAAGCATCCTTGGATAGTGCACATTCAAGTTTCTTTGATCAAAGTCTCCAGGGGGTAGGATGAGGCCACAATGGGGATCAGTGTTTTACATTGGAATATATAGAACATTAAAGTAAAATTCCTTTCAAGAGTATCAGGGCCATATTAAGTCATAGTGATATGCAAATGTAACCTAGTAATGTGTTTTTTTTTAATATGGTCCAAGGGTTAGGTTGGGGCTAAACTTGGGGTTAAAATTTTGCATAATTCATACATACAGGAAAAGTAAACAAACCTTCTCTAGAAGAGCATGCAAGGCCAAGTTTGTTATTTGATATTGTGGCATCCCCATGTTGTATGGATTCAAGTTTGGTTTGGTCATTCCTATGGGGCTTGGGTAGAGGCTTCAATATTTTTCTTGTGAACATAAAGGAGAAAAATTGTTTTAAAAATATTCTAGAGAATAACAAGGCCAAGGTTACTCAGGTGAGCATTGTGGCCCATGGACCTCTTGATACCAAATGACAAATATATGAATACATTTTTGTTTTGATACAGATGCAGAGAATGTGGCTTCAAGAGAAAAGTTTACAATCAGTGGAAAAGAATTTAGAGTACAAATGTTTTATCCTCAACTAGGGTTGCCAGAGCTACCAATTAATTGGGAAGATTTGCCTTCATTAATTCATCCTTGTGATAAACACTTTATAAAATTTGTCAAGAATTGTGGGGCAGTAGCCAAAGAAATTGAGAAGGCACTTCAGCAGAAGTTTGTAAAAGTTGAATGGCCGAAATCAAAATCAGATTCAAATGTCAAACTGCTTTGTTCAGTAACTAAAGAGGTGGAAGATGCCAGAGGTATTTTGAAAAAGTGGAAGGAAGAAGCCAAGAAAAGCATGGAAAGCTTGGTGGACATGTATGTAGTCCAAAAACACTCAATTTTACCAGAAGCTTGGGAGAATTTTCTAGCCAAGTTAAAAACACTCAATATTGATCACCCAGAAAAAGTAGCTGTTTCATTAGAAGCCAAACAACATAAAATTGTTGTAGTTGGATTAGAAGAAAATGCAGAGGCCCTGACAAGAAAAATCCTAGATATTGTAAAAACAGAGGAGTTGAAAATAAAAACCCAGAAAGAAAAGATTGAGAAAAATGTTCCTTTAGATTTCCACAAATGCCAACAGCTTTGGAAAACACAATATCAGAAAAAGATTAAGAAGGAATTTCCAGATGTTGATATGAATATTGAGATTGATAAAAAAGAAGTCAACTTTTCTGGGAAATCAAGTGAAGTGAATGAAGCTATGATAAAGATGCATGAATATTTGATGAATACAAAGTCAAAATCTTTAAGCATATCTAAAGGGAGACATGAAGTGTTTAAAACAAAGGAGGTGAGAGATCTTTTTCTGGCAGAAATGAAAATGAAAAACAACAAGGCTGTATGGAATGTAACAGAGGACAAAGTGGAAATGACATCATCAAACATGAAAATGGTTGAAGAGGCCTTAAAACTTTTTGAAGAATTTATACCAGAGAAAGCAATCAAAGTAAAACAGCTAGTGAAAGTTTTGACCACATCAGAATGGCAAGCTTGTTTTAAGAAGTTACGAGAATCATATGGTGAAAAAATGTACATTTTGTCTTCTGTTTCTGAAGTCCGTGTCACTTCCACTAAAGATATTTTTCAGCCTCTATGTACAGAAGTTGAACAAGTTTTAGAGGAATGTTCTAAGAAATGCTCTGTTGATCGGAAGCATGTAAGATTGACAGAAGCACAGTTTAATTATGTGAAATATTTTGGGGAAAAAGAGTTGAAGAAGTTGTCAGAGGATGCCAAAGAGAAAGATTTAAAAATTACCAGAAATCAAGGTGACAATTCTTTAGAAATCAGTGGAAATGATGAAGATGTCAAAAAAGCCAAGGAAGAGTTGAGGAGGTTTGTGGATCAACTGAGCGAAGATACCTACAGTATAACCAAACCTGGTGCTAAGACCTTCTTCAATTCGGGGAAAGGACGGGAAGCCATTAAAAGAACCGGTAAAGCCACTTCCTGTATCATCATGAATAAAGAAGGAGGGAGAAATAAGAAAGAAGAGAGGGGCAGTGGGTCATTTGAGAGGCATGGTGCAAGGTCAAGGCCAAAAATTCCAATCAAGCTGGCTGAGTGTGAATTACATATTGGTAGTCAAAAGTTGATTGTTATGAAAGGTGATGTAACAAAGTTGACAGTTGATGTCATCGTGAATGCAGCCAATGGAGATTTAGATCACTGTGGGGGTCTGGCTCTGGCTATTTCTAGAGCAGGTTAGAATTTTTTTTTATTTTGAGAAGAGATAAACAAAATTTTTACAATGTTATTAAGAATTTCAATTAAAATTTCAAATCTATATTGTAAGTTTTTGTAGTACATTGAAATCCTTTGATAAAAGGAGCTAGTCTCTGTGTATCAGTAATCTCCTTTTAAATTAATATTTAAAAATCTTCAAAAATCTAAAAATGTTTAACCAAAAAAAAAAAAAAAATTAAATATGCTTAACAGTAAATGTTATACTTGAGAACAATTTATACAAAGTAGTTTAATCTTGTCAATCTTTGTTTTGACAATAGGGGGTGAGTCAATCCAGAGGGAAAGTAAAGGCTACATCAAATCTAATGGAACTGTTCCAGATGGTGGGGCCATCCCAGCAAAACCTGGTAAACTCCCTTGTCAGATGTTGCTCCATGCTGTTGGACCGCAGTGGCAGGATGGAAAAAATGAAGAGGAAGTGAAACTCAGAAAAGCCATTTTAAAATGTTTGGAACTGACAGACAAGAATAACTACTCCTCTATAGCTATCCCTGCTCTCAGTGCTGGTATTTTTGGGTATCCCGTGGATCAATCAGTTGACACTATTGTCAGTTCTATTCAGTATTATTTCAAGTCCAAAGAGGGCAAGTCTTCCAAAATAAAGGAGATCCACTTCTGTGATGTTGACGACAAGATCGTGATGGCATTTATCAATTGTTTGAAGAGAAAGATTGGACAGGATGTGAAAGAATTTAATGGAGATGAAGGTTTGTTAAAAACAAAATAAATATTGAATTATTGATTATAAAATAAAAGAAATTAAATCATTAACAAGGATAAGGTACACTCTGGTTAGCCAGTAAATTGTTTAACTTAGAAATAAGTTTAGTCTGAGAACCTGTGGAAAGATCTACATGTATTAGTCCAAACAGTACATCAAAAATATTTTTGAAAATTATTTATGTTATCATAAATTTAGTTGACCTGTCCAAAAACTGGTACATTTACTTCTTGAGAACTAGTTACCTGGTGGCACATGTGTAATTTTTAGGTAACCAGTCACCATCTAGAGATGAAGATTCAGATGAGGAGGCTCAGGGAAAATGGAGAAGGTCCTCTGATGATGCTAAAAAGAAGTGGAGAAGGTCCTCGTCTGGTGATAGTAAGAGGATGAAGATAGAAGTCTTCAGTGGAGAGTTAGCTAAAATGAGGGTGGGTAATTGATGTATGTGTGTAGTTTTTTATGCCCCCGCTATAAAATGGCTGAGGCATATAGTGTTACCCTGTTCCATCATTCTGTCATTCTGTCATCATTCACTTTCCGTTCATTATCTCTACAACAGTTACACACATTCTTCTCAAAGAAATATGGATACATCATAGGAATATGCAGGTCAAGTTCGAATTTGGTCTTTTGATTTTTGACAGAGATATCCCTCTTGAACCTAGAAAAAAATAAAAAATTTTCAGTTTCTGCTCTCTAACTTTTGTAGGGATGTATGTATAAGGTTGAAATTGCATATGCAGGTATTTTACCAGAAAAACAGGTCAAGGTCAAATAGAAATTGAAAACTAAATATGGCATTTGAAATTTTGACCGCCTGCCGGGGCATTCATGGCGTTACAACACATCTGGTTACTGAATATGATATGCTGACTGCATGTACATTGTTTTTAACTGCTGACATTGAAAAGAGGTTATTTTTAAAATCAGCTTCAAATTTTGTAATTCAAATGATTTATTTAATAATTTTATTATATCTTAAGAATTTATTTCTGGTTGTAATGTGTAATTTGATTGGATAGAAAAATTCAGTTATATCATATAATGTGTTGCCTTATAATGTCACAATATGACTTAAATACGCCAAAAATGTATCAACCCACTTGATCTAACACTTCAATTTAGTACAACTTGAAGTCATTTTTGAAGGAAATTTGCCTTAATTGAAAGGAAATTGTCTGAATTTTTAACTCAATGATTGAAAATCAAAAGGAAAAATTTCATAGGTTTAAAGCATAAACTGCCTCAGCCCTGGTTATGTGGGGTATATACATGGGTAGCTATTAGATTCATCCTTTAAGTACAATGTATTATGGAATCATTTTAATTCATGGGGGTCAATGTTCATGGAAAAGCAAAATTTTATTGGTTCATGGGGTCATAATGTCATGGTAACTCATTTATAGAATTTGAATAAATTGATCTGTTAACGTAATAATTATTTATGGGGATGAAAATTCATTGGTAAGGGTGCCCCACAAGAACGGCAGTATTCCATATTAGTAACATTTGAGTGCCCATTCATTAGTTATACATTGTAATTTAGTTCACTATTATATTTGTTCCTTAACTGAATTGCTCTGATTAGGAATGATGCCTAGATAAGTAAGAAATACTGTATACAGGGAAATTTTCGCCCCCGTTTTATTTTCGCCGCTTTTGCCCTGACCACAGATGGGCGAATTTAAAACGGGGCAAATTCAAAGAACACAGTATAATTTCTTTAACAAAACTGTGACTGGGTGAATTTAAAACAGAGCAAAATTGTTTGCAAGTGTGGAAGGACGAAAATAACAGCTAGGGGGTGAAAATAACCTTGTACATGTATACAGTAATTTGCAGCTGAATTTATTAGGGAAGAACTGAAGAAGTATGTATTATTTGATGTATTTTCAATTAAGAAAAATGATAACACCCATTTAATGTACAGATATACTTTTCTGTATGATTTAATTAAATACTTTTTGCCCTTCATATAATATGTAACTCTCTGTAGATAAATAATGGAAATGCACAGCATAGAAGCTGAAAGAGAAGTTTGTTCTCTGTTCACAGTAACATACTGTACGTGTACATAAATTGGCGTATTCAAAATTAGCGCAATCACTGGGTATTCAGTTGTTGGCATATTCATGAATTAGCGCTATGCACAAACTTGCCATATATTGTATTTATAAATGATTTATTAGTGGTATTCATGAACTAGCGCATTGTTGTCCGCGCCAAAGCCGCTAAAATATGAAGCCCGCTATTTTAAGTACACATACAGTATTTTGTAGTTTACATAAATTCAAATGAATAATTTAATAGGTGGATGTAATAGTAAATTCTGCAGACAAGTCCTTGGATCTGTCAATCGGTAACATATCCAAGAGTCTGTACAAAGCTGGTGGAGAAACTCTCCAAGATGAATGTAAAACAAAGTACAAACATGGAATAGAGCCAGGGAAAGTAGCCATGACAAAGGGAGGCAACCTCAGGTGTAAACAGGTGTATCATGGGACAATCAAAAGATGGGATCATTGGAAAGGGGATGCTCTTGGGGTGAGTTCGGTGATTTAAAATATAGGTCACTTTGATTTTGTATTAAAGAGTAATTCAGTAAAATATTGTCGTGAAACAATAAGGAAAGCCAAACATTTTGTAATGTTTAATATGATTTAATATACCAGTATCCAGTCATTATTTTACTAAGGTTGAAATTTCTGACGACAAAAAATAACCTTAAAATACTTTGTTATAATTTAATTTTGGTTGTAACGCGTCATTTGATTGGATAAAAAATTTAGAATATATCGTATAACCTAGGTTGCCTACATCACAATGACTTAGGTCAAAAGCGTATCAATCTGCTTGACGTTACATTTAAATTACGTACAATTTGAAGGCATTTTTTATAGACCGCTTTGAGGTTTAAAAAGCCTAAACTGCCCCAACCCAGGTTATAAGAGTATAACGTGGGTAGTTATTTTAAAAATTCACTCCTTAATTAAACATGTTTTTGTTTTAATCAGAGATTTGTAGAGTACTCACTAGTATAATGTTATATAGCAACTAATGAACTAGATAATGTTTTATAGCAATGCATACATTTACGTGTGCAGACTATTTACATTTGCCTTATTAGGTAACAAAGGAGTATTTATACATGTATGCATATCTTTTTTTCCCTGCATAGCAAGATCAAAATCAAGATTTTTTTCTTCTTCATATTTTTCAGAAGTTAACAGATTTTGTAAAAGAGTGTCTAAGAATAGCAGACACAAACCAGATGAGTTCTATTGCCTTCCCGGCCCTAGGAACAGGCAGACTGGGCTATCCACCAGAACTAGCTGCACAGACAATGTTCAGATGTTGTAGAGATTTCCACAGTAAAAACAGAGACAGCAGTCTGAAGGAAATATTCTTTGTGATATACTATAAAGATGCAGACATTCTTGAGGTAAACAACAATATTCCAACATACCTGATCATAACTTTTTATCATTTTTATGGTATGAACATTTGAAAAGTAGATGTAAAGTGTAATTTTTCATGCAAGAGGTAAATTATCTTTTCTTTTAGTTGAATAAATGTGAAAACTAGAAGATACATAGAGGATATTCAATGTTTTGTAGTTGGATATGGAATTTATTTCATGAGTGGGATAGAATTTTCTTGTATTTTCACGAGTGCGAAGCTCGAGTGAAAATACTCAAAAATCCTATCTCACTCGTGAAATGAATTCCATATCCAACTACAAAACATTGAATTTTCTGTTTATTACATTTTCTTTGAGTTTCCCTTTGCCTCTATCTTTTCTTAACATAGTATCGTAGGCTGTGTTGAGCATTTGAGATGTCATAGCTTAGCAATTGTGAGATTGATAACATTGTAACATGGATTTTACAATATATTTGGGAAGAAATCGGCAGTTTAATCTTTACCTAGATGATCTAGCTACTATCTCTATCTTCTGACAGGTCAGAAATTTATTTTTTCTTACTTTGATATCCTTTCACATTGTGACAGAATATCATTTGGTATCTTTTCATACTGTGACAGAATGTCACTTATATTCATAAATAAACCATTATCTCACTGTTGAAAATGTAATAAAGTTTTCTAGTACTACTTTGAATTATTTAGTTATTTAATACGAGGTTGTATTTTATTGATATGCAAGACATATATTAATATAATCATGTATTATTATTGCAAAACCTTATAAAAAGAAATATTGTTTGAACATGGTGATAAAATGGAATTATTTTACTTAGTGTATTTCCTTTGAACAACAGAATAAATTAAAACAAATTATTTATGGTAATATAAATGGATAAATTGCTTTTGTATCAGGCATTCAAAAAAGAAAGTGAAAGTGGAGGTGCAGGGACAGAGACAGGTCGTCCTGATTACAGACACAGGGGAGGGGGAAAACCATCCACAGGTGAAATCTTTTGCGTCAAAAAGTTTATCTTTTAAAACTTTTTTTACCTAATGAAAACAAAAGTCTCATTGGAAGACAATTCATGAAGGAATTTTGTTTACATAATTAGATACAGGTAGTGGTGACGGGAGGAGGAAAATAAATAAACTGAACGTGGAGATCAGACAGGGGGACATAACTCAGGAGAAAACTGATGCTATTGTCAACAGCATAACGGGAAATCTGGATTTAACTAAAGGCATGTGATTTATCCATGTTTGAGTAATTTCTTAAATACTGTACATAGATTCCTAATGTATATGAGGAATTAATTATTGCATAATTTCATGAGAAGCACCATTTGCAAAATAAGATAACTTTCTTTTATTTTTATGGTGCTGAAATCAATGTAAAATCTCTAGATTAACTGTCCACTGTCCGATTATTGTTCTTGCGATTTGATGTCTAAGGGTCATTTCGTGATATTAAGTACTCCTGTAAAATACAGCACATTGAAAATCAGAAAAGTTCCCTCTCTATTTGTGAACTGATTGTATTAATTATGTTTTTGAGTCTATTGTAGGTGCTGCCTCTAAAGCTATTCTTAAAGCAGCTGGAGACAGAATACTGACAGAATGTAACAGAGGAGGTATATACTGTAGACCACTAAATTTTCGTGACACCTTATTTTCGTGAGAGGTTGTTTGGTATTTTTAAGCGAAACAAAATTTTCACGAATTTTGATTATTGCTCTATACAATATTTAATAATGGAATTATATGCGAGATTTAAATTTTCTCGAGCAGACGGACTCGCGAAAATAAAGTTCTCACAAATAAAAAGTGATGTACAGAATAAAGTTTAGGCCACTGTAGTGTTATCTTCAAGAAAAGATGCCTTGAAAAACAATGCTCTAGAAATTTCAGAGGTGGGATCAGGTGCCTAGGAGGAGTAAGCATCCCCTGTCTACTGGTTCGCACAAGTCTTGAGCCCTTTGTATTGATCAGGTAGACAGAAAAATCCATAGTCAACTGCAGTGAAAAAAGTTTTTAGGTTACATTGTTATTAAAAACAAGCCTACTCCTTATGGTTGAAAAGATGCAGAGCATTTTGTCATTATGTCACTATGTAAAGTTCAAGGTCATAAGGTCATATTACTCTGTACTTTCCTATCTGTTGTACAAAAGATATGGGCTGTGACCAAAGAAAAAAATCTCACTGTCAGACAGATACCAGGTTCAGTGATATTAAATTGTTACTTAATTTGTTTTGCAGATTACATGTATATCCATGTTTGAACACAAAATTTTATTGTACTTGCATGGTTTTAAAGCAAATTGCACTGAATGTAATTATGTGTTATAAACTTTAGTTGGTTACTAAGTTTACCGTTAATAATCGGGTATGGGTTACTTTGTGTTGTAGCCCAGTCTTTCTCATCAGAGGGCTATGTTGTTACATCAGGAGGACGGATGGGTTGTAAGTACATCATTCATGTGAAAGCCCAGAGATCGGCAGAGGAATGGGAGCATATGGTGGCCAAGGCATTGGCTCATGCTGACAAGACAGGGTGTAGGTCCATTTCCTTCCCAGCTCTAGGAACAGGTGAGAAGGAGAAAGAAAGATTTCTTTGTAGACTTTGGACAAGATCAAACTTACATATATATTTCTGTCTTGTCAACAGTCAACAGAGATGCTATGGTTACTAAAAATGGGAATTTTTAAGAAATTCTTTCAAAATGCCACTTCTTCCAACAGTTTTGCTCCATTTTCCATAAAACTACGTAAAAGTTTAGAGAATGTTAGGATGCATAAAACCTAAAAAGAAAATGCAGGTGCAGCTTTTCTCTTCCACCATGAGATTATAAGAGGAAACTAAAAATCAGAGATTTCTGGTTTATTTTCATGTTTAGATCAGACAGAAATATTTTGATTATTCTCTTCAATGGTGACTTTGAATTTGATGTGTAAATCATTTGAAGCACTTACTTATTGCTATAGCCTTTGATTGGGGAGTGATAAAAGCAGGAAATTTAAAGGGACATTGTGACAGATTTGAAGTTTATATCCTTGAAAATATTATATATGACTTACATGTTATAGGAGTGTTTCAGGCTGATGTATTATAAAAACATTTTTAGAAACTTCTTTTATCCAAAAAGTATTGTAGGAATTTAGGCTGGACCGAGGACATCGGCTTGGAAAGCTTTGTGATTAGAGCATCTAACTAGCAATGCAGGGTTCCTGGATTTGATTCCCAGTCCAGCCATTTTTTTTTTTATTATATTATATGTATTTATGAATTTTCAATGTATGTTAACTCATTCCTCCTTTCTATACTACAGTATCAAAAATACAAATTTTAGGCATGTTTGATTATCGTACAATTCAATGTAACATTGCAGTTTCAAATACAGTACTCATGTTTATCCTTGATATTTAAGAACAGTGGGAAATCAGTAGTGTATAATACAAATACATGTGTATAAAATAAGATATAAAAACAATAATCGAATTAAATCAAAATAGAAATGTAAGAAAGCAGAATAAAGAAACCCTTGTTTTCAGTTTGTGTTTGAATATGTGTGCAGTGCTTAGCTAATCCACATAATATGTAAACAAAAACAACAGAGTTTGAGTCCATGTTAATAAACACAGGTATTGGGTGTTTGGTTATTATGAAGGATGCTGTGTCATTAATTATAAAGACTTTTCATTTACCGCTAAGTTGAAATTATTTAACTGAGTTAACATATAAGATAAAATTAATAATCACAAACAAAACAGCCATGCAAGTTTTTCCCTTGAAATCTGTGCATTTCAAATTATTGCAACACCAAACGGAATCCAGAGTCACTTTCCAGAGAAGTTTACTTAAAGTTCTGGAACACCTTTATTTAATACCACGATCTACATCATGTACTGTAGGCTAGCCTATATTTTTTTCAGGCGTGAGAAATAGTGATCCTGCAGAGATTGCCAAATACATGTTCAAAGCCATGAGGAAATTTTCACCAGAGAATCTAGAGACAGTGAGAGTAATTGTTTTCCAGAGAGATATGGTTTCAGTATTCCAGTCCTCACTTGATACCCTCCCCCAAGGAGCTTTCACACAGATTAAGGATTTTGTCACTGGAAAAATCAAAGGTATCACAACATTTTAAGACAAGGTTACAAGAAACAGAGTAAGAAGATAATTAAGTTACCTGAAGCAAAAGCTGATATTTTTTCAGAGAAACATTAGTAAAATGTATAGTTAATTCTGTTAGATTAGAAACATTTATTCTACATCAAGTAATACAGTGAAAACTGTCTAATCTGACACCTGTGCAATCCATTTCTCTGTGAATTCCAACCTTAATTTTTATACCCCCGCTCCAAAGGAGAGGGGGGTATACTGTTTTACCCTTGTTTGTCTGTCTGTCTGTCTGTCTGTGTGTGTGTCTGTCTGTCCGTAACAAATTTTGGTCGCAGTTTTCTCAGCAACTACTCATTACAGATGCTTGAAATTTTAGCACAATCTTTGTTTAGGCATGCCATATGGTGGGATTCATTTTTGTATGAATTCGATGTCAACTTCCTGTTTATCTGTGAGTCTGTCCGTACCATACATAACAAATTTGGTCGTAGTTTTCTCAGCAACTACTCATCGCAGATGCTTGAAATTTTAGCACAATCTTTGTTTAGGCATGCCATATGGTGGGATTCATTTTTGTATGAATTCGATGTCAACTTCCTGTTTATCCGTGAGTCTGTCCGTACCATACATAACAAATTTGGTCGTAGTTTTCTCAGCAACTACTCATCGCAGATGCTTGAAATTTTAGCACAATCTTTGTTTAGGCATGCCATATGGTGGAATTAATTTTTGTACTAATTTTTATACTAATATGATGTCAACTTCCTGTTTATCCGTGCGTCTGTCCGTACCATACATAACAAACTTTGGTCACAGTTTTCTCAGCAACTACTCATCGCAGATGCTTGAAATTTTAACACACTCTTTGTTTAGGCATGTCATATGGTGGGATTCATTTTTGTATGAATTTGATGTCAACTTCCTGTTTATCCATGCATCTGTCAGTACCATACATAACAAATTTTGGTCTTAGTTTTCTCAGCAACTACTCATCGCAGATGCTTGATATTTTAGCACACTCTTTGTTTAGGCATGCCATATGGTGAGATTAATTTTTGTACTAATCTGATGTCAACTTTCTGTTTATCCGTGCGTCTGTCCGTACCATACATAACAAACATTTTATTCCTAGTTTTCTCAGCAACTACTCATCCCAGGTGCTTTAAATTTTAACACACTCTTTGTTTAGGCATGCCATACGTTGGGATTCATCATTTTTGTACAAGTCCGATGTCAACTTCCTGTTTATCCATGTATCTGTCCATGCCATACATAACAAATTTTGGTCTTAGTTTTCTCAGCAACTACTCATCGCAGATGCTTGAAATTTTAGCACAATATTTGTTTAGGCATGCCATATAATGGGATTCATTTTTTACAAATCCGATGTCAATTTCTTGATTATCACTGTGTTTGTCCGTAACTGAACTTGTGTATTCACATCAGAGTGGGGGTATTATTAGTGAGCATTGGCTCACAGACTTCTTGTTATTTTCTTTTTTACTTATTTCCATGTTTTTTTAACACTGTCTAATTTGACACTCTGTCTATCCCCCCTCTCCCCCCCCCCCCCCCCCCCCCCAAAAAAAAATGTCTCCCAGCTTGTGCATGTCAGGTAAGACAGGTTTCACTGTATACATTTATTAATATACTCTGGGTACAATTAGAAACTTTCTAGGCATTAGTATATGAATTTATGAATAACTCGTATGAATTTTATTAAGATGTCATGGGCTCTGATGAAGACGATGAAAGAGACACTCGTAGAAAATGGCATGGACATAAGAATCATGACCATGGATACAGAGGTCAAGGACATGGGCAAGGTCAAATGGATGAAAGGATTACCTTTCTAATTCTTTCAAACTCTGAGGAAAAGATCAAGAATGCCAAAATTAGCTTAGACAGAGTGCTTAAGAGTGAATGTGAAAGGAAAGAAATTGATGTGTCAAAATACACATTTAGTTACAGTCAGGTAAGGGGAGCTTATCAGTAAAACAGTATGCTTTGTAATTATAAAGGCATCTTACATAATATAGTACTAGTACTGTTTAAACACCATGTCACTACACAGTATGTCCTGTAATTCTTTAATTAAGTCGTTGAGTACTGTGAATTGATATGTGTATTTTACTCATGATATCATTTGCAGTTAGCATTAAACAAACATTGTAAATTATGGGATAGTTTAGACTTGGTTCTGATTATGGTGACAATGCAGAATGAACTTGCATGACATCTGCTCTATATGAATAGGGCTACTTGAATGTCAAGAAAGTGTTTATTTTGATATGATTAACTGGTCATTGGGTCGGAATGTCTTGCAGATAACCAATTCGCAATTCTTTGATGGCCATCCATATAAGAATATAGTCCATTTTTATCTGTATAATCCATTTCCATCCAACTTTATCATAATTACAGTTATGAAATTATATAAATCATAGCGTTGGAGTTATTGATTGCTTTACAATATGTTTGATAAATATGATCAATTATATAGTTTTCTTAAAAAGAAAAATTCTGCTTTGGTAATTAAGGTTTAAAACATATTTATATTTGAGTCAAATGTTTTAAGAATTGTAAGAATTCAACAATATTGCTTTTGAAAGAAAGTTACAATTTGTTGTACTAAATATTTTTGGTAATTGTGAAAAGTATCTCAGAAGATGTACTGATAATTATGAAACCAGAGCGATTGTTTTGTAGATGGATGAAATTAAAAGAATTGCAAAAGACACCAAAGTCATTGTCAAAGAAGGAAAAATAGAACTGCTGGGCTTAACAGCAAATGTAAATGAAGCAGCTGTAGCTATTTATAAGTATCTACATGAGGTGAAGGACCAAGAGAGTGCTAAGACTGTCCAGAAATACGTCAAATGGCAGTACGAAGCCTCTCCTGATAAATGGTCAACATTTAGGGATGACATCAACTTACAGATTGAGAATGCGCACCAGGCCAGAAAGGATTCATGTATTGTAAAGGACAGTAAAGGAATTGAATATGTTATTGACTTAAAAAAGATGGAGGAGCATGAGAAAAACAATTATAGGAAAAAGTACAAGATCAAACGAGTAGATAAGGGTAAGGATTAGTAGAAAACTGTAAATGTACTTAATATTTTTGCTGTAATCATATATGAGTGCCTTTTGCACTGTTTTGCACTACTTCCTGTCTGTGAATTTAAGCTTAATAAATAAATACATGCACATATAGGAGCTTTTCTCGAAATGCACTTATACATGAATATTTACTTTTACAACTGCTTTATCTCGGTTAATTTCTCAATATTTACAACTGAGTGAAAATTTTGCCAAGTGAAAGCTAGATCAGGTGCCTAAAATGTATTCCAGAGCTGTAATTGTGTCTGAAATCAGTTTGTTTTTAATCAAATTTGGAATCAAACCAAGGAGATATATGTAATAACTTGTAAATGGCAACAAATTTAGAAAGAAACAGCTATTGTATCCTGGTTATAGATCAAGGCAATATTCTACGGATACAGTCATGCATTGTACAGACGATTTTCAATACCTGCATGTACCAACAAACTATCTTTTAAAAATATTGTGAATTATGAACAGTAAATCAATAGAAATTAATGAAATGTATCTACTTTGATTGATTTATTGATTATAATGTACATAATTTTAAGGTGCTTCCTCTGTTGGATTGCCAGCCAAATGGGCTCATATGAAGAATACCCAGACGATGGTTGAAATCACCTTGAAACCTGGGGACAGTGAGTACCAGATGGTCATGTCAAAGTTCAAGGCCTCTAGTCAAGGAGCTGTCTCGGTGTCAGAGGTATTAAGACGTATAATATTTTCTTCTTTAAGTTTTGCAAGTAAAATGTGACAGAAATTAAAGACAAAGAAAAAAATTAAGTGTGAAAATTTACAAAAAATGTCATTTTATTTGTTGAAATGAGGAGAAAACATCATGCACACTTCACCTACATCTCCTCTTATTGTAAATTATAAAGCTATTTAAGTGCTGACCAGGTGAAGTAAAGTATATATGAACTAATCAAAATATTCCTGAAAGTCAGAAAATTAAAGAAATATCCACAGGGGCAATAATATAATCACCAAGGATTGCAGCACACATTTTATTTTTTAATTAGTTTCATAATAAACAAATACATGAACAAGCATACATGTATTACATATCTTGTGCAAAGAATAGTGCAGGATAAGTATATAAAAAAAAATAATAACCAAATGATATTTCATGGCTTTATGTTTTTATCATGAAATAGAAATTATACAGAAAGCTGAAGACTCAGTTATCAGCCTCATACGAGATGTCAGACATTGTAGAGGTTGGATTTCAATCAATTAAAGAATGATCTCTTGTGCATGTAAATGATTCAAAAATTCTCACATCATTGAGTAGAAAACATGTCTGATTTTTTTAATAGCTCATTTGATCTCAAAGAAGTTCAAGTGGGTCTTGTTCTGATCACTTTCTGTCTATCATCTGTCTTTTGTCCTCAACTTATTGTTTTTCCAGAATTCTTAGAACTCTTATCAACTAAAAAAAATCACAAATATTCAAACCTGTGCACATTAGGGTGACATCAGGCACTAGAAGCTGGGGGTGGGATGGGGGTGGCATACAATAATTTTGCTAGTATATAGTAGTACAGTAGAAAATTCAGCTAATTTAAGGTTGTTCCCCATCAAAATGTCTGATGACATTTTACTATTTTTATGCCTCCCTTCAAAGAGGGAGGGCATATTACTTTGCTGCTGTCTGTTGATTGGTCTGTCGGTCCACCAACAGTTTCTGTTCATTTTCTTTGCAGAAGTTGCACTTACTGAAATGAAATTTGGTATAAAGATTTATCATAAGAATATATTAATCAAGTTCTGTTTTGGGTAAGATCAAGCAATTTTTGACAGAGTTATGCCCCTTGGACTTAGAAAAATTCCAATGATTTGCAGTTTCTATTCATTTTCTTCACAGAGGTTGCACATGCTGAAATCGAATTTAGTTTACAGATTTATCATAAAAATATCTATGTCAAGCTCTGTTTTGGGTCTACTGAGCAATTTTTGACAGAGTTATGCCCCTTGGACTTAGAAAAATTTTAATAATTTGCAGTTCCCATTCATTTTCCTTGCAGACATTGCACATTCTGAAATGAAATTTGGTATACAGATTTATCATAAGAATATCTAGGTCAAGTTCTGTTTTGGGTACGATCAAGCAATATTTGGTTATGCCCCATGGATTTGGAAAAATTCCAATGATTTGCAGTTTCCGTTCATTTTTTCACAGAGGTTGCACATACTGAAATGAAATTTGGTATACAGATTTATCATAAAAATATCAAGGTCAAGTTCTGTTTTGGGTAAGATCGAGCATTTTTTGACAGAGTTATGCCCCTTGGACTTAGAAAAATTCCAGTTATTTGGGGGGGAGGCATAAGTGTTTCACAAACATCTCTTTTTTATGTTTCTCAAAGAATTTCTGTTAGGTTTTTGAAGTTGATCGTTGAAACCCCCCCCCCCCCTTTCCCAATGAAGTTGCTTCCTACAGGCCTGAACGCAGTGATATCCATTCTAGAAGATCTTGATGTGATTGAAATCTCAATAAGTAGTTCCAAAATGAGAATACAAGTAGGACAAAAGTAAATTTTATCAGGTATAAGACTTCAGTTAAACCAGTTTGTGTATGTTTGTGTGTACTATTGTTTTAATTTTTCTGTTTTCAAGGAAGGTAAAAACTGAAAAAAAAGTTAAGAATTAATAATTAATACAAAATAAACTTAAAATGGATAGAAAAATTTTCAAAATAAATGAAAATGATATTGTTCAGAAAATTACCGGTCATCATTACTGTAATCAAAGTTGTATATATACCTATACAGTGTATATCTGTGAAATTACATATTCATGTATTCATTATTCATTATGTATTCATTAAACAGCTGGGTTTGGAGGGAAAAAATAACAAAGCAATTTTTTTCCTTTTTATTTGATATATGAATATTCTTTACAAAACCTTTAGGTTCAACAGAATTATATAAATTTGTGTTGTACTATTAATGTGTTTGTATCATACGGTATATCATACCGGTATATATGAAGATTATTCAATATATATGTAGATACAAAAATGCATTTTTAATTTTAAATCAGGTTATGCAGTGTCAAAATCAATATGTGCTTGTGGTATGAGGATTTACAAATCCTAATTTGCATGAAGTAAATTCAATTCCTTTTTCTACTTTAAAGCTTCACAACTTACTCATCCGTGACATAATATATGGTTAATGTTCATGTCGTAGAGATGTAACATTAACAACTCCTGCGAATACTTGCCCAGCAAGTTTCTTTGAATTTCTTAGTTTCATGATGACATAAAAGTTACAAAACTTGTGTTAAAATCAATTATTGCTTACATTTGATGAGTTGATAAATTCCCATTTGTTTTCACTAGATATCACCTCTGGCATACCATCAAAAAAATTGGTATAAAATTTAAGAAAAATGACAAAAAACCAGCAATAAAAAGAAAAAATGACAAAAAACGAGCAATAAAAAGTGTGTGAAAATGTGATATTGCAGGGAAATGAAATATGATTTTGTTTGATGCATAGGAAATTTTGTAAGCATGAAAATGGGTTATTATGAGAATGGGGGTTAATCAAAAATTACATTTTTTGATAATCACATTTTCTCAAGGAATTTTTTCTTAATTGAAAAATAATTTTCTTGCATGCTAGTGTGTTAACTGCAAAAATTATCTATTTAGATACGAAGAGTGCAGAACCCATATTTGTATCAGCAATATGCCGCAAAAAGAAAGGAAATTCAGGTGAAGAATGGGAAAGACCCAGAAAAATGGTTGTGGCATGGGACCTACCCAGAAACTGTAGATAAAGTCATCAATAATGGATTTAATAGAAGCTACTGTGGAAGACATGGTATGTATAATTTACTGTGAGTTATTTTTATGTTGAATCTCATAAGTATTTAACTGACTTGGTGAATTGCTAACCTTGAAACCATTATGGCATGAACAAGTATAATAGTCCATGTATTATAAAGGAAAAGGTTAAAATATTTAAGTGTATAACAGTACAAGTGAAAGAAACATTCAACGGCAGTGAATGACTAAAATTTGTCATATGTAAGTATGAGAGGAAAGAGCCATTTTCAAAAATATTGAATTTTTCCCAAGAATTTGTCATTGATGTATAGCTACTTAAACAAGTTTCCTCACCAAAAGTTGAGGTAGTACCTTACCAGGCATTTGGCCAAGATACCAGAGGGTGATATTTCTTATATAATCCTTATGTGTAATCTTTGAATTGCTAATGTCACAATTTTAGGTGTACTTATTTTTAAAAAAACATATTGAAAACAATTTAGAAATCACAAGAGAATGACAATTATGAATAATTTTTGACATAATACTAAGGTATACAAAGCATTTGAGGAACGTGTCGTCTGACTAGATATAGAAGATGCAAGCAAGGTCGACAATTTCCATGCAGAGAACAAGGCTCCATTTTACAAAAATGATTTTTAGCTCACCTGAGCCGAAGGCTCAAGTGAGCTTTTCTGATCACATTTTGTCTGTAGTCCGTCTGTCCGTCTGTCTGTCTGTCTGTCCGTTTGTCCGTCTGTAAACTTTTCACATTTTCGACTTCTTCTCCAGAACCACTGGGCCAATTTCAACCAAACTTGCCACAAAGTATCCTTGGGTAAAGGGGATTCAAGTTTGTTCAAATGAAGGGCCACGCCTTCTTCCAAGGGGAGTTAATTAAGAATTCGTGAAAAATTAATTGCATCATTAAAAAATCTTCTTCTCAAGAACCACTGTGCTTGAAAATATGAAACTTATGTGGAAGCATCCTCAGGTAGTGTAGATTCAAGTTTGTTCAAATCATGACCCCTGGGGGTCAGGTGGGGCCACAATGGGCGATCAAAGTTTTACATAGGAATATATAGGAAAAATCTTTAAAAATCTTCTTCTCAAGAACAGCAAAGCCATGATTGGTCATATTTATATGGTAGCATCCTCAGATAGTGTAGATTAAAGTTTGTTCAAATCATGACCCCCCGGGGTCGGGTGGGGCCACAACAGGCGATCAAAGTTTTACATAGGAATATATAGGAAAAATCTTTAAAAATCTTCTTCTCAAGAACAGCAAAGCCATGATTGGTCATATTTAAATGGAAGCATCCTCAGATAATGTAGATTCAAATTTGTTCAATTCATAACCCAACCCCCCCCCCCTCCCCCCCAACCACTTTTATATTTAAATTTTTCAACCTTTCAAGACTGAACTGATTTCTGCTTTACCTAGCCATAGTGCTCAGGTGAGCGATGTGGCCCCTAGGCCTCTTGTTTAACTAAACTTAGTTGATTTTAGTGCATATGGTACACCTCACTGCTTCTATCAAATACTGTCAGTATCATGCATAGCAAGCTTTTCTGAGACACCAGATGCAATAAAATCAGCTTTTTTTTTTTAAACAATGCCCAATTTTAAGTTAATCCCACCGTCACATACATATACACTTTATGTGCATTTTCAAGAAGACCGAATTTATGCTTGAACAATGAATGATAATTTTTTTTTTCTATTTCTAGGTACGTCGTATGGTGCTGGTGTCTACTTTGCTGTGAATGCTTCCTACTCTTTAGGTTATTGTAGAGCTGACTCAAATGGACACAAACACATGTTCTCCGTCCAAGTCGCCACCGGTGATGCTTGCACTGGAAACGGTAGCATGAATGTACTTCCACCAAAACAAGGTGCAGGAAGTCATGTGACCTATGATTCTGCCTCTGATAATCCCAGTAACCCTGTGATGTTTGTGATATTTCATGACAGCCAAGCCTATCCTGCTTATCATATAATCTTCAAATAATCCAGAAGGCTCAACTGAGGTGTATGGCAAAAGCAAAAAATGCATGAATCGTAAATCTTGTGCAATTATTTTTGCAGATTAAATTATTAATCATTTATAAGATCATGTACTGTACTGTAAGTGACATAATTGAAACATATGAGTAAAATGACTTCTAGCAAAATCACAGTGTGTCATTGAATTACAAAGATTGTCCTCTTTTTGAAAATCATAATACATGTTATATGAAATTTACAAGAACCAGATAAAGACATACTACTTTTTTTAAACTTATGTATTTCAATCAGTGATCACTGGTCTCAAATCACAATTTTGCTATAACTATTTTGTGATAAAAAGTTATATATTGATAAGATGTCTGTTGTCTATCTATCTGTAAACAATTTCTCAAAATTCTTTTTCTTTCAGTAGGTTCCCCAGACCTGTTTACAGTTTCTCAGTGCAGTAAAACATGGTTACAGAGAACACACTTTAAATGAATTCACACTTTCAGCGAAGTGATTTTCTTTCCCCTAGCTAGTTTAAAAACATGAATTAAAACATATAACTAATTACATTATTACATTAACATATCAAAATTGTACCTCATCTGTGGCACTCTGCTATAAGTATTGTTTACTGCATTTTAAGTGTTATGGATTTACTAGACTAGGTTATGATACGCTTTACAGATTAAATTGACAAAAACATGACAATGGCTAACTTTCTCTATGTTTCTAAATAAAAAATAATTCGATAAATTTTCTGAGTGTATTCTTCCAATAAAATCCAAAAATATTAGAATTTTTAGTATATACATGTATATTTCTTTATCAGTTAAGGCCATTCCAAGTTTTTTCTCTGTTTAGTGTCCAACCATCTTTGAAAAACCTACCTACCTATTTGCAAAAAACACACAAGCCAAAAAATAAAACGTGTGGACTTTATAGTAATAAAAATGATGTCATTCAAAGGATCTGATTTCATTTATCTATTTTTCTCATAGAAAGATCTATTCTTCAGAAAATTTAAGGTATTAAATGCTTGAAATATTCCAAATATGGCATATTGTAGACAAATATTTAGAGAAATTAACAGAATTCAAAGATTTCAACCAGAATAGGACTCCTGATTCTGTTTGTTTGTTTTTCTCGCATGGGGTGTCAAAAATCAAGGCACACGTGGTTATTGTTAAGCAAAGATTTGAAAGATTACATCTAGAATGCTTCATAATGGTGTATTATTGAAGGTAATTGTTAATGATAAGACAGTATATGACAAACCCAGAGAACCTAGAGGTTAAAATCCAAATATTCTGATAAATGTCATCTGAAAGACTGGAAACCAGGAAAAAAAATCAACAGATCTCAGATTCCTCATAGTTCTGATATGAATATCATTGGACTACTTAAAAATGCATATAATTCTCAACAGAACAAAATGATGGTTTTTGTCGCCATGCTTCTACAAAAAAGTATAATTTTTGAAAATCCTTCAAAATGTCACACTTCCATAAGTTTTGGGGGATTTCAGTTAAACGTAGCTAGTTAAAAAAACCAAAGAAACATCAAATTGCATAATTCTGTACATGTAAAACTGAAACAGAAGTGTTTAATTTTCCTCAGCTACCACAGAGTTCAAAGCAATAGAGCTACAGTCTCCTCAGTGATTTTTGGTTTGGACATTCATCATTAATTTTTAATTTATTTTGAGGTTAATTTCTTGTTAGCTTGTGATTTTTCAGTGCAATTTTCCTTCTCTATCCAAAATGACTCGAATAGAAAAATGATACACTTTCATCTCATATAACCTAGGAAAAACATTTTTTATTCTATAAAGTGTTTGTTTTTTTTTTGTTGTTTTTTTTTTTGTTGTTTTTTTTTTTTTTTTACAGATTTATTTTTGTTGAAAGATGTTGTAGTTTCAATAAATCAACTCATGAAATGTTTATTTGTATTTGGTCTGATGAGCTATTGTGAACTGACAATACCGACAATTAAGTTGGCTTTCTGTAAGTACATGTATGTTATAATTGTCTGGTGCATGTCTGCATTCTTATGTCTTCAGAACTACTGATTAGCCAATTTGTCAGGCATTTTGAATTGAACACTGTGCAGTGGAGAACAGAAGACAAGCAGTAGTACTCTTCTTCTACATGGAATTAAACATACCCCACCATCCACCCTCCAAAAACGTCTTCTTTATACAATTCCTTCTTGTGATTGGTTGTATTTTGTGAAATTTGCATAATGTAACGTTCGATAACTCAAATGATGTCCCTTTGATCAACGTAGACATAACGATCATTGTTTTCCGCTTTATATTATGCAAATATTAAGTCAATGTTATACAACAGCAAGCCTGTATACTATATAAGACTTTAGAGTCGTTCATAGACTAGCAAGTGTTAACTTCAGAGTGACTAACGGTAAACTCTCTTGTTAGTGTGAATTTATCTCAATAAACATGCGCTACTAAATAGGACTTTATAGGGCATTTAAATGCTCCACAATTCTAATCAATGCTTTGACACGTCCGACGAACAAATGAATACACTTCAGATGTACCCAAACTTGGTCATTCAACAAAAAATCAGTAATTTGTAAATTTGTCGTAAAGTATTTTGACATTTTGATTGATTGCTGATTCAGGATTTATAAAGAGGACCATCATATTAAGATACATTGACAAAAATAATTCCATTCCATCCGTTTTTTTTTCAACATTTTTAACAAGCTAATTCAGAGAATATGTGTCCCTCGCTTATAGAAAGAAGAAGAGCATGTACAGTTCGTGGGGGGGGGGGGGGCGGACTTCCCCCTCCCTGGATTTGTAGAATTATTAAATGTATACATGAGTATTGAAGCAAATAAAAAATGGAAATATGGATGTAAAGATTTGATTGCTTATTCTTTAATATGTGTATAGAAGATTCTTTTTATATAGAATATTTATCACACTGTAATAATGATTTGATGAGTTTGTACAAGGCAGACGTCATAACTTTTTTCATTTCACATGCTGAATACTATCATTTAGTGAAAGCGGGGGACAAAAATGTGATGTAGAAAAAGTGTTAATTTGAACTTTATTGTCAATTAGATCATGTAAAACAAAAATTGACTAAGTTTATCTTGGTTGGCCACATTATCGGACGTTGCAATACGATGCACTGCATTGCAGCACAGGAAAAACAATAAGTATTAATTATATAACTTACTTGTAAAAGTTCAACATAAAATTTTACTTATCAATCAAATTGTAGAATTCATTCCATTTTGATGTTTTGCCTTCCGCAAAATAGTTAAAAAATCAGCAATATGTAGCTTAATTTTAAAGTCTTTTGACATTATTATTGATTATTATTTCTTATTCGTATAATGCATGTTTAGCGGATAATCATTTCAGAGGATATGTACAACAAATGTTCTATGAATTTCGTTTAGTAAATCATGTAAAAGTTTTTATAAATCACTAATTTGAAATTAATGGGAATTTTGAACAATATTTTCAATCGAAAGTAGACCCAGTTTATTTTGATTAGCCAATTAGGCAGACATTATACTGTATTGTATTTTCACAGGAACACTGTGCAGTAGAGAACAGTATACAAGCAGTAATACTCTACTTGTACAAGGAATTAAGCATCCCATACCATCCACCCTCTAAAGACGTCTCCTTTATACAATTCCTGCTTGTTATTGGTTGTATTTTGTGAAATTTGCATAATTTAACTTAGATGTCTTTGGAGGGTGGATGGTGGGGTATGTTTAATTCTATGTACAAGTAGAGTATCCTCAGAGTAACTAACGGTAAACTCTCTTGTTAGTGTGAATATATCTCACCAATCATGTGCTACTAAATAGGACCTTATAGGGCATTTAAATGCTCCAAATTCTAATCATTTTTTTGACACGTCCGACGAACTCGCATTTACCAAACTTGGTCATTCAACAAAAAAATCGGCAATTTGTTAATTTTTCGTAAAGTCTTTTGACATTTGATGTCAAATTTGATTGCTGATTCCCATCCGTTTTTTTTTCAAAACTTTTTTTTTTTTTTTAGAAATGTGAAGTGGAAAAAGTGTTAATTTGAACTTAATTTTCAATTAGATCACGTAAAACAAAAATTGACTAAGTTTATTTTCGTTGGCCACGTTATCGGACATTGCAATACAGCGCATTGCATTGCAAGACAGGGAAAAAACCAAGTATGAATTATATAATTTACTTGTAAAAATTTAATACGAAATTTTACATATCGATCAAATTCGAGAATTTATTCCATTTTGATGTTTTGCATACCCCAAAATAGTCGTTAAAAATCAACAATATGTAACATCATTAAAAAGTCTAATATGACATTAATAGTGAATATTATTTCTGGAAAATAATTTTAGAGGGTGTGTACAACAAATGCTCTATGAATTTTGTTTTGTAAATCTGTATTTTTTTTTTTAATAAATCATTGAATTTGAAAATAGTTGTAATTTGTGTATTCAATCAAAATTAGACCCAGTTTATTTTGATTAGCCAAATTTCCAGGCATTATATATTGCATATATATATATATATATATATATATATATATATATATATATATATATATATATATATATATATATATATATATATATATAATGTCATGCATTTTCACTGGAACAATGTGCAGTGGAGAACAGTTGACACTCAGTATTAGTCTACTTGTAGATGGAATTAAACATCCCCCACCATCCACCCTCCAAAAACGTCTCCTTTATACAATTCCTGCTTGTGATTGGTTGTATTTTGAGAAATTTACATAATGTAACGTTCGATAACTCAAATGATGTCCCTTTGATCAACGTAGACATAACGATCATTGTTTTCTGCTTTATATTATGCAAATATTAAGTCAATGTTAAACAACAGCTAGCTTGTTTACTATATAAGACTTTAGAGTCGGTCATGGACTAGCAAGTGTTAACTACAGTGACTAACGGTAAACTCTCTTGTTAGTGTGACTTTATCTCACTAAACATGCGCTACTAAATAGGACTTTATAGGGCATTTAAATGCTCCACAATTCAATCATTGCTTTGACACGTCCGACGAACAAATGAATACACTTCAGATGTACCCAAACTTGGTCATTCAACAAAAAATCAGCAAGTAAAGTCTTTTGACATTTTGATTGATTGCTGATTCGGGATTTATAAAGAGGACCATCATATTAAAATACATAGACAAAAATAATTCCATTCCATCCGTTTTTAAAAATGTGAAGTAG